GGTTCGACGTACTCTCACGTATATGTGCGTTTAGACTGAATACTGCACTCTCGCTGCACCCTATTGAATACCCCTGTTGAGAGTTGTTCCCTTACAGAGCTTTCTTTTTTTACAGCCCTTATTTCTGACTGCTCATTAACACAAAGTAATGAGCAAGGGAAGGGTGTTGAGAAGGAAAGCCTCAGAGGCAGATGGGAAAACACCCTGGTCGAACCTTGAAAAAAAAAATAGGGACCGAGGTCGGCGGGTGGTTAGCAAGCTTCTCGCCCTGTGAGAGCAGGTCAACGGCGTAGACATCGAGTCATAGCCGCTCAGCGGCAGGGAAGAACGGAGTGATGGTTTCTCAAACAAATTCCCGTCCTAAGAGTGAAGCTGTCTTGGACCACGACCCGCCACATTCTCTGGAACTGAGTGAGAGAATAGAGAAGCGAATACGCAGGCCAGTGCAGTGCAACCCCACTACGAGGCCACCTAATGGCCGCCGTAATAGCGGTGAAGGGCAGGGCATCTTCCAGCGGCAGGCAGCGTATCAAGACGCCGCCACCGCAAGGCCCTAGATGGAATCCAAATAAGATGGAACAGAGCGACACGGACCCCAAGCCCGGTTTAGGAGGCTACCTGCCTTGGTTGGTATGGATCTCTCTTGGTTTGTCGTATGTTTCTATTGCCAAACGAGCATCTCAATGTCCTATTGGGCCAAGGGATCGTGCTCGTTGTGGAGGAGCTCCAATCAGTAAGTAGTACATGTGCGGAACCTCCCACAGAGAAGCCCCTCAAAAGCCCCTACGGCAACTGTGACCTGCTTGGCAATCAATTGTTGCGCACTGGTGGAGCCTGCTCAGCGGGCTGCTGTCCGCGATCTGCCGAAGCTGACCTGTCATACCCTTAGTTAATGCGAAAATCACCAGATATTGATCGCTGCCTCCAGATATATGTGGTTCCAGCGATGTGAGATGAGCATGCGCTCTGGGTCAACGGTCTCCGTGGGGATTTGCTTTTGTTGCGCTGCTGTCTTAGCCGAGAATAATGTGCGTGCATGTCTGAGATGTTGTCTCCTTGCACATTTCCCGCACCCCCGACACTGTTACACAGCAGATCGAGGAGAATTAGCACGCTCCTGTCGCAGATCGAATAACGGTGTAGCCCCGTTGATCTTCATCAGAGTGTCTTGTCTTATACTGGAAGAACCAGTCCGGGCGAGTGAACACCATGATAGACAGCCCGTTCTAGCCACTGACTCTGATAGGCAATCGTATGGAACTACTAAGGCCCAGACATAAGGTACACACTAATGGGGATTGCATACATGCCTGTTCTGGTGTGGGTACTTGGAAAGAATTCTTCTGGAAGGCTCGGAGACATTTTTCGTCGTGACATGGCCCATAGGATCTAAAGGCAAGGCCCTTGTCAGGTGCCCGCTGAAACATGGGGGTCCGGTTCTCGTCATTCAGCTGGGCATTTTATCTGTGTCAGAATGAACTATCACTCTTCAAGCTCGCAGGCGCAATATGTCGCTCGCCATCAGACCCCTTGTTAGGTATAGGACGGCCAATAGTGGTTGGTAGCTCATGCTGCTTCCCTTCATTTTCCATGTCAGTCTCCGTCCCCGGATTACACAGCAGCAATCACAACGGGCGGCAGCGTGAAATGAAACCGGGCAGAAACGCGGGCAATCAATCGAGGCCCAGCCAAGACCCTTCCAATCTTTGGCCTCGTTTCTTCCTGCCACATGCAACGCATCGCCGTTTCTTGTCACACGTTTGACATCAAAAGCCCACACAGCAGCTAGCCCGGCATAGCCCGGCCCAACCCAATCCAAGCGACATGTCATCTGTCAGGCTGCATTTCGCCTGGGTTGCAGCAGATGGATCAAGGGCGATGACAGACTGGCACACACGCGACGAGTGGGACCACCCATCAAGTAAAGCAAACAAGGGCGCTCCATGGACTGGAGAACCAACCCGACCAGACAGCTCTCGCCAATCTGCGGCGGAGCACGCTGGTGCGAGAGGCCAGGCTGTGCACGTACGCATCACTGTTTTACCTAGGCATTAGTAGAAGTAGTTAATCTCAGAAGGGAGCACCCAGCGAACGAACGTGGGCCTCGTCAATACCCAAATTTCTTGCATTTGGCAGTGGTGCAGGCTAACCAATGTGGCCCGTTGTTATCGCCGTCCATTCTTCTGTTGGGTTCGCTTTCGCCCGTCCGGCCGCCCGTCTGTCTGTTGCTCGACTGGGATAGGCTGCGTTGGGCTTGGTTTGACAGTAATATTAAGCTGCAAGATGTTGGGCTGTCCCGAACGGCCGTTGTCGTTGGCTGGGGATGGCCTCTGAGACAATACGGCCAGCCGTCTACGAGCATCCCCCACTTGGGTTGTTCTCTGTATGGCCAGCGCCCAACCATGGGACCCCTCTTACCACACCTTGTTGCGGTTGCGCTCGAAGCTATGGGCCAAGACTAGTCGAGGTCGGGTCAAGTCGTGAATGACATTTAGCCAGACGCTAGCCTTGTTGCCGAGCGAGCTTCGCCGACGACTGCCAGGTACCAGGGTCCAAGCGTCCACGCTCGACTGCTTCGTGGGTTCTAATTATACGCGCATAATACGTAGCTCGCTCCCTTTCTCTTGCCCTGGTCCTCTTGGATTTAGGCTGGTTTTTCAAGATTTCGAAGTGTATCGATCGAGACTCCGTGGAGAAATGAGAAATGGTTCGATTAATCCATGTCTGAGAAGGGTCCGCCAGCCAGAGCTTGATCGATCGTGCCATTACTCGCAACGCTGGCGACTCCAAGCGCAAGGCTGGGCATGGCCTTGGAGTAATTACCGCCCGTCACACGTCGCCCGGAGCGCTTTTGGCAGTTCCGGGTTCTGTTTCCGGGTTGGAGGAGGAGGATCTTACCTGGCGGGCAATTTGACGACTCTGACCAAGCCTAGCCAGGGAGGGAGGCAGGCTCCTGTGTTAGGCGTGTGGTAATTTCCTGGGCAGGTATCTCCATGTAGATGCATCGAGAACAATCAATCGGCTGCGGGCTTGGGCCATGATGCGATGCCGATGCCAGCAGGGACCGCTAAAGGCGAATTGGCCTTGGCGGACCATGTGCGCGTGTGCGTGCTTGAGAAGTGCGAGTATCCGTCGGCGTGCAGCCGTTAGCTGTGCCGTCATGTTGAAGGGCTGCTGCATGCTGCATCTAATTACCTAGTAGCTGCTCTCGTCTGGCTAATAGGCACTGAGGTAGGCACTAGGGATCACCGATGAAAATCGTGGGCAGGCTTAGTACCGATCAGTACTTGCAGGTACCTATTTTAGCTCCCAGTTAGGTAGTGGGTGGTGGTGGGTGCTTGTGCTCGTGCGTGCTGCCCTGGTCCCTCCTTCCTCCCCCCAGCCCATCCGCTCCGCAGGTGCGTGTGGCCCCTCCTTCCCCCGACACCAGAACAAAGTTTCCTTGGGCCAGGACATTGACTTTTGGGGATATCATTCTTTTTTATTTTCGTAGCCAGGGAGTAATTAGACTGTTTGCGGATCGCTTCATACGCTCGTTCTTTTCTTCTCCTCCTCCGCCTCTTCCTCGTCCTCCTCCCCTCCCCAATTCCTCTTCTCCTTGCCATCACATCCGAGCAGCGCTCTCACCAGTCTCCCGCCCAATCGCTCACTCACTCGCTCTCACTCCGACTCTCACTCTGCTGCTACCCACTCACCAAGCCGTCTGGGCTGGTCTAGCCTCCGTCGGCCGCATCCTGTCATCCGTAACGCCGCCGCCTTCTCGGCGCCAGCTTCTCGCCTCTTCTCTCCTTGGGTTGTCTTTTCTTTTTCCTCCATTGCACCCAAGTCTCACCCCACGCATATCGACCTGCCCTCTGGTGGGGCAGCATTGGGCCGTGTATCACTAGCGGCCTCACTGCTGCGGCTCGTCTGCCCTGCTTTGTCCACCGAGCTTGGGTTCTTCACGTACATATTTAGTTCTCAAGTCGTGTCTCTCGCTTGCTGTGTTGTCTGCTCTGGTCCGGTCCGCCCTTGACCTGCGAGCTCGAGGTTTAACACCCTCCATTACCGGCCTTTCGCTTCACCATATCCATCCTCCGGCTTCCACTGCGCGACATCGCTACCACCTTACTATATACAGTTGCAGTGGCGTTCAATACCCCGGCGTTTTGCTTGTTCAGCTCTTCAATACCCACTGCGGTGTTCCTACATCGGCCAAAGTAACTGTTGCAGTGAGCGCCCCGTCAGCGATCCGATCCGATAAGAGAGTGTGTGAGAGAGAGAGCGTCAGAGGCACACAGCCTGATCGAGTGTGCCAAAACGTCATGACCTACATTGTGAGTCGCAACCCTTCATAAGTCGCCCTAGCAAGCGCCATGCATCCCTTTCTGCCCAAGCACTTCAAGACCAGCCCTGCTCCCCGGTTGATTGATCACATCTCACCCAATGTGCGCTCCTGGTCTCTCCCACGGCTCGTCAACGTGTTCAGGCCGGTGGTAATCATGACCACCCTCAAATCAAGGAGCTGGCATTCACAAGCAAGCACAAATATCACCACCTCCTTTATCAATACCACCACCACCATCAGCCTCTGCTACCACACCACACCCCGGCACACCGCCCTTGTGTATTCATCCTTCACGCCCCAGCTCCTTGCCTCACTTCACCCAGCACCCAACCGTCCGTGCCGCCAGCATCTGATCCTCTTCCGGCATCCTACTAGAAACAGGACGCTTGTTTGTCTGGATCTGCATAAAGGCATCCATGATGCCGTTCCCTAGCCCACCTTCCCTCCTCACTACACCATCTATCGCACTCGCTCCTGTTGGATAAATCTCGTTGGCTGTTGTCGGGACTGATCTATACCGCTACATCCAATCCGAAGCCACATACGCCATGACACTCTAATCTGCTATTCCCATAATACAATCTTATCCCTGCACACGCGCGTCATACCTGATTTGTCAACTTCTTGAAACACCTGCCTCCGTGTATACACATCTACAGCCGCGCACCAGATCATGGGCAGGACATTGCAACTAATCGCAAACTTACAGCTTTCGCTTGCCCACTACTGTGATATCCATGGCCCAACTCCGTTAATGGTGACCGAGGGCTTGCCCACCTCATGCAACGTCTGCTATGACGACTTCACAGTCAATGTCGATTCCTCACAACGGCCCACGGCTTCTCAAAACTCAAGGGCAATCACCAAGGCACTGCATGATCTCGCTATCCGCGATGCCCACGCCGCTGGCGCTCCTGGGGTTGAACAGGGGAAACAGGCACAGCACCGCCCTGCCTCTCACCGGACCCTGGGTCTTAAAACAGACAGCAGGGCAACCACGATGATAGATACGCCTCCAGGAAGCCCACACCAACCCCAGCAACAGTCCCGCCTTGACTCGAGCTTCCGCCGGACATACGACGATACAGTAACGAAAAAGCAAGGACCTTGCGATAACTGCGCAATGACCTTGCCCCGCCGATCTGCGAGTGATCCTGGAAACGTGGATGCCTCGATAAATACGAAAGGACCAACGCTCAGAACGCGAGCTCCTGCTGAACGGGTCTTTGGCGCGGGCGGCCAGCAATCACCTCCCAACTCTCAATCGTCTAGCGATACAGATGGGGAGCGAGAGGCGTCACGACGGCCTAGGCATAGAAAGGCGGTTCCATCAAACTCGAGAACTACCTCGTGCTCGAGCAATTCGATGGCGTCAGAGGCAGCACCGTTCCATGTTCACTATGTCAATTATACTTCTACACATGAACCGGTTCTCCCCAACTCCTTCTCACTTCTACGCTCCTCGTGCCTACGAACCCTGTCGTTCGAGACATTGCCCAGACCGCCCACGACTGCTGCGCCAGCCACGTCAGTTCAACCCGACGCATCATCAGCTTTTGTGACGACCCAGAGCGCCGGCTCGGCCGCATCCGGTGGTCCAATTTTTTTCGGAGACGTGCACACTGGATACACAACCGCCTACATTTTTCGAATTCCAGACGTACATGCTCGAGGCCACAAGCGAGTGTACGCGTTTATTGCTCTCAGCACCCACAAGGAGCGCCTCGCCATGAAGACGTTTGCCATCATCTCGGCGGCCTTTCGGGAGTTCGCAACCTGGATTCAACAACTCGCAGAAGCCGAGGCTGAACGTACAGCTGAGACCAGCTCCGGTAGTAGTACTTTCTATAGTTCCGGTGCCGGTGGCCTGTCTCAACCAACAGCCTCGGCTTTCGACCCCCCAGCCCCAGGAGACCGCGGTAGCAGTTTCCTTACCGGTGGTGGGGGTTTCACAAGACGAATGGGAGGTGGAGGTAGTGCAGCTGCTCCAAAAGCACGTGGCCTCGCCGACCTGGTGGGACAGCCTGACTTCTTTATCGAATTACACAGGAAATTTGTCCAACTTCTGTTCGAAGTTGGCGTCACGCTAAATGCATAATAAATTGTTATGCAACATACATCACCCGGAAAGGCACAGGATGGGGTGTAGCCAACACAAGGTGGCCCAGGACCGGCCATACATATCAAGCGACGTTACCTCAACTTCGGAACTCCCTGCATAGCGTTATCATATAAAAGACGAGCTGGTCACGTCTAACGGTTAATGGTAATGTCAGCATGGTTTGGCGAGGAAATATTTCCCTTCTTTGCAACGTTTCTTCAACCTTGATGGAAAGAAATCGTTTTGGTTTTGTTTTTTTCTTGGAACGATTTAATGAGAGTAATGTCGGCGTTAGAACGGAAAAGGTAATGGAAGATACAATAGACTCGATACACGGAAAGGGCATGGTCGTTCAGGGCACGAAAAGACGGGACGGGATGGGATGGAAGATACCCTTGGTGGCGGTTCAACAGGTTCAGCAAGCCAAACTGGATGGCATGGAGCAAGTCATGTTGTGTGAATATTGATTATTTGGGCACTTATAGACGATATGCCGGGACTCAAAAATAGACCATGTGTTTTTACTCAATTTAATACATACGAACATGACCAGCTTACAGTGATGAGCGTACGGCAATCATCTTCATCCACGCGATGTGTGGGACAGAATATGAAACTTGAAGCAGCGCTTTTTCATATTCTTCTTCTTCTCCTCCTATTTCCTCTTCTTTCATGGGGCAACGGCGTCACAATCCTATCATGTCCGATATTGATATGCGTCAACTCATGGAATTTCGTCTATGCAACTCAGCCCCTACTCAATGCACTCTACTAGGAGAAGAAACATCAGAGCCTATCCCAATTCCGGATCTATCTCATTAATTGTACACACAAGCTCAATTCCCATGATAGTAGGTCCATAATATTATGAGTTCCCTTCTTGATTTGTTCTTTGCTTTATTTGTAGAAGTCAAACTTGTTGTCATCCTGCGTTCCCTTGACCTGGCTCGAGTAGGCGTCCTCGAGGTCGGTCTGAATGATGTTGTAGCGGTTCTTGCGGACGGCGCGAAGACCGGCCTCTTGCATGATGGCGGCGATGATGGCTCCGGACAGCGGGTCGTTGCGGACAATCAGACTGTCGAGGTCTACCTCGGGGGCGAGGCTCATCTTGCTCGCAATGGTGGTGAAGATGAGGCGTCGCTCACGGCGGTCACGGAGGGATGGGAACTCAATCTTTCGGTCGAGACGACCGGGACGGAGGAGGGCAGGGTCGAGGGTGTCAGCTCGGTTGGTGGCCATGATGACCTTGACGTTCGCCGTCTGGTCGAAACCGTCCATCTGGTTGAGCAGCTCCAGGAGGATACGCTGAACCTCACGATCGGCACCGGTCTGTGCATCGAAACGCTTCGTGGCAATAGCATCAATCTCGTCGATGAAGATGATGGCCGGAGAGTTCTCGCGGGCCATACGGAACACGTCACGAACCATCCGGGGCCCCTCACCCAGGTACTTTTGGACGAACTCGGATCCAACAACACGGATGAAGCTGGCGGTCGTAGAGTTGGCTACGGCCTTGACAAGCATGGTCTTTCCGGTACCGGGAGGGCCGTAGAGCAGGACACCACGGGGAGGATCGATGCCAATCTGCTTGTAGAGGTCAAAGTGGGTAAGTGGCAGTTCGACGGCTTCACGGATCTCCTGCTTCTGCATGTCGAGACCACCAACGTCGGCGTATGTGACATCGGGCTTCTCATCAGCGCCAAGCATGGCGATGGATGAGTCGGCCTCGGGAGGGAGAATGTCGACGAGGGCATTTGAGTGGCGGTGGAGGGCAACCGAGGATGAAGCCTTGAGCTTCTCGCGATCGAGGGTCGAGAGGATACGGACAACGTAATTCGAACCTGTGCTTGATTGGACAATGCCAGTACTGATCCCTGGTTAGACGAAAGATCTCCAGTAGAAAGCCTTCGTTGGGGGGGGGCTTACTTTTGGTCGATAGCCTCCATAAACTGGCCGATGACCAACGGCACACTCTGAATTCTCTTGATCTCTTCCTGAGCTCGGACAAGCTCCCTCTTCAAACTCCTGGATAGAGGTCAGCGTCCGGGTTGTTTTCCATCGTGAAGGAGAAAGTGGCTTAACTAACCTCTGCTCATCCTTGATATATTCCTCCTGTAGCTGAATATACCTGTTCCGGGTGTAAGCCAATCAAGCAATCGCCCGTAGCCCAGGATTGACATACTCTAGTTGGCGCTGGAGCTTCTTGAGTGAAGCATAATCATCCCCACCATCCGCGGGCAAGCCCTCAAAGTTATCAATGCTTGGTATCGTCGAAGGGGTAGCCTTCTTGTGCAGAGCCACCTGGCTGACTGGGTTTTCAACTGCGATGTCGCCCATTGTCGCTTCTCGTCCTCACAGGGATCAAAAGAGACCCTAGGTATCGCGTAACTCGGATTTCAGGGTGCTTATTTGTCGGCAAATTGATTCACTAGAGTTGCAGAGTAACCGCCTAGTAACAGGGCGACAGTCTCGAGATGCGTGATGGGTGGTGCTGGGCCGAAACTGCGAGAAGATGATGTCGTTCAACCCCAAGTATGCTGGCGTCAACACCAGCGCAGCCTAGAGCTTAGGTAGAATGGACCTTGCAGCTTAGTCATCCCAGCTTCCATTCCAGCACCAGAGCTCAGCTTGTGTGACTGTGACAGTGCACGTGACTCGATAGTCTGATTGGCTATCTGCGCTCCACAGACGCAAGGCGGGCAGTGGAACAGTAGTGTCGTTTCATTGGCCAGCCATCGCCCACCTGCTAGGTAGTCGCCCAACAAGCCAGGTGGGGAGATCCGGCCCCCGGTCGCGGCACAGGGCGGGTCCCTACCAGTGGTTATGCAAGACTGGGCTCAAGTGACCTCAGCCGATGCTGCGATTGGTTTCCTATACCTTGCATGTGCTGGACACGGGGCTGTTTTATGGGTACCCTTCACTTCGCTCCTTATCAATTATCGGTAGCCCATCTCATGATGCCGCTGTGATTCACCGTGAGAGTGCCTGACCATTCGTTGGAGGAGGCGCCCCATACTGTGTGCAAGCAGGCACTCTCCAGAGGATGCCTGATGCGTGCACACCCGCCTCGTGCATGTGGCCGCCCTGAAGCTTGTTCCGTTCCGGGCCGTACTGGTTGTCCCTTGGATTGCCTGTTCGTGTCGAATCTCTGACTCCTACACTGCATTTATATTCCCCATGCATATTCCGCATGCCTCGTTCGGTCCACGGCCTTCAACTCCTCCACAGTCACACAGTCTGTACTACCTACCTCGCCCGCCTCCTCAAGGGTCTTTCTTGTCCACCTCTAGCTTTCAACCTCTCTCCGATCCCCAGGTTTCCTATTTATCGCCGTTGACCTCCTCAACCGAGGCTCTTACCTTATTTGTTTCAAGTCCTGAATTCTGAAATACTCTCTTGTCGTAATCGTTGGCCGCAATCATGTCATCCTCCATCGCCATTCCAAATGCCATCGGCAAATCCTCAAAGGCCGTTGCCTCATCTTCCTCCAGCACCTACTCAAACTCCTCTCCATGCTCGACACCTCCCACCTCAGCCAAGCGCTCTTTCCTTCACGTCCGCCGCCCCAGTCTACTAAGTAAGTCCCTCCACTTCCTTGTCTTGCAGCCAAGATAGGATGCTAACCTCGAATGCACAGGTTCCGCGATCTCGAGGCAAGAGTCTACGGTGATCAATATTGGTGATCCAGAGGGTCCTCCTCGTCTGGTACGTCACTCTTCTTAGCCATTGAAAGGAGCCGCAGACCAGCTAACTGCTAGGGTAGATCACGTACTTGTCTTCATCCCAAGGCTTTGCATGGAACCCAGGTTTGTTCATTATTTCATAGCCGGATACCATGAGCATTGGTGCTAACATACTATCCTTAGAGATATTCCTTCCATCGTACGTCGATTGCGATTACGTACCCCTCGAGAATCGTCGGGATCCTGTCCACGAAATCCTTCTGAGCGAAGAGGAAACAAAACAACTTCTCCCGCAATAATTACATGACCATGTTCTACTCGCCCCTGATCAAGGCGCTTGTGCTGCCTTGGGAGGAGAGGGGGCTGTTCTAAAAGGTCACAGGTGAGGATATCAGGGCAGGGCAGGTATCCCACTTGTGACGGGTAAGGAGAATACACAGTTTGTAAGCTGTGTCCAAGTACTATTGTCTTCATTATACGAAATACTCTAGCACCGAGACCTTTACGCCTTGATAAGTGCGCAGTCGTGGACATATGCTAGGTTGGATTGCTGGCAAGCAAAAAATGCATGCCAAGTACAAGAGTTTCGAGGTGGCCTACACAGGATGCGATTACAGGCGACAGTTGCCACAGCCAGATGTGGCAATTCGCTCGTCATAACAGAAGACGGCTGGGTCAGATCCCCACGAATCAACTGTCGCAAGGTAGACGGCGAGATCGGCTCCTCGCGATTTATCCGTCACATAGGTTGACTCCCAAGTCCGGCCTGCACGATTTCTCGTGTTGGCTGCAGACAACAGCAAGTCCATAGCCACAGCAATTCCAAGTCTTGACGACAGGCGGCTTGGTCAAATCTACGGCATCGCATATCTTGGTGGTGGGCAACTGGGTCAGCATTTTAGCGATCGGGCATCAAAATGGGAAGCAGCTTGGTCAGGGGTGCAACTACCACTTGTCAATATCATACCGCTTGGCCAATTGGGTGGGAGGAATTTGTGTATGGTGTCGCTCCTGCCTGTCTGCCTACCTTCCGAGCCGCGCTCCGGAGTCTATCTCAACTGTAGGTGTCCTCCCGGCTGGCGCAGTCCCTTTTTTTTTTCACCTATTGAATCATCTCTATTGCTGGGATAATTCGATTTAGATAGCTAACTCACTCTCGAACAATAACTTCTACGTACCACTCTCTGACTAATTAGTGTTCTTTCTATTAGGTAGTAAACAATCATTCATAGAGAATCAACTATCTTTTACAGCTGCCTATCCTTGTCCAAACCCAAAAGTGAAGAGAAAAAAACGATGAGGTAAGTTTTTGACTTCACACTAGGTACTTGAGTAGTTGATGTAGGCATTTAAGTTAAGAAAGCAACGTCCATGTCATTGGTGTGCAGGTAGCGTTGCGTCGTCGCTTCCTAGAAAATAGGCGTCCCATTCCTCTCCGAGGCACCTTCCATGGCAAGGAGAGGATGTTCATAGCCGAGTACTCTGGCTGGGTAGGTAGCCAAAATGAGATACCCAATATACGATTGTATTCTACCTTAGGTTAGTACCTTACTACCTAATATATAGGTAGGTAGCAAACTGAGAATTCAACCTTGAAGTCTTTCGGTTGTAGCTTGTAGGGAATCTAGCATGATGTTTAAAACCCCACGCCCGTTGCCCAACTGCTGTAACATGACATCACAGGGCCCAAGCTATCCCGTTTACGTAACCCCTCCATGACTCAGCAGGCGCAGAAAGTAAACATGGACATGCCTCACATGTGAAGAACCACAACGGTGCACAGATCTCCAGCTCCTCGAACTCATTTTCCCTCCCCGAAGGTCCACAGCCATGGCCTCCGAGTCGATCGTGTCGCAGGTCCAGCGCAAGATTGAATTGCAAAGCCCGGACGACCTGACCTACCTCATTACGAACGTGAGAAACGCCGCCGCAGCGCGGTTAAACGAGGCTTTCCCGCATCTCGAGGGCGACGATGGAGAGGACGACCTGAGAAACCAGATCGAAGCACTCGTCAATGAGGTAAGTCAGGCAGCACAATCCAATCATGCGAATCATTTTCGCGGTATTCTCGCCGTTCGCCTGCCAATTCAGAAAAGACTAACGTTGCTTCACCTTACCCCGCGAGCAGTACATAAACAAGACATTCAAGCTAGCCGCGCCGAACCTGACCATCAACGGCCTCCCCGTCGCCCCGAATGACTTCCTCGCCGACGGCGGCCCCGTCACGCCGGATACCGCGTACGAGCCCTTTGACGCGCGGAAACGACAGCGCGTGGCCGACCTCATCACCCAGGAGGAGAAGCTCCTCGAGGACGTCGCCTCGCTCAAACGCGCTGTGCCAGCCAAGGCGGCCGCCGAGCACGTGGATCGTCTGCGCGAGGGGGTGAAGCGCGATGAGGAATTGGCGGCGGCAAGGATCGCCCTGGGGTCTATGGAGGAGGAGGCATCTCTCCAAGGCGTGGGTCGATTGGAAAGGCAGCAGCGCGTCGAGTCGAGCTTTAATGGTGCGGTGGAGACGCTCGAGAGGCTGAAGACGGACATGTCGACGGTGGTAGCGAAGATGGAGAGGGCCAGGGTGGCGGGAGAATATGTGGTCAACGACAAGCGATGAACGAGACGCGGAATATCACGACAAAATCATGACGAAGGGAAAATAGGATATCACATGGGCATGGGCGGGGTTTGGCGTCACGGCGATTTGAAGGACAGGACTTCTTTTCCTTCCTCTTGTTTTTCTGGAGGGACTTCTATGGCGAATCTAAATATGGCGTTATCTCGGCTGAGAAACATCAACTCTAACCGCATCAACAATATGTTCCTACACATCTCATATCTCCATGTCTCATGAACATCAGACGGCCATGGCCCGGATGCAATTACCTCGGAGCTAGAATGCAACTTGCTAAGGGGGCTATTCTCCGGCAGGCGTCTTCCTGCATATTCTAAAACTGAACAAACCCATCCATTCACTACCAAACTCGACTTCCATGGTACTCGCTTCGCCTAACAAAAAGGGGTAACACACCAAACCACCTACTCTTTTTTGTTTTTTGTTTTCCCGATCTATAATCATCTTAGAAGAACAAGTACTCTATGACAAGGATGAGAACCAAGGTACCCAGACTGTTTAAGCGGCAGCAGGCTGCTTGGCCTCCTCCCCAGCAGCGACAACCTCAGGAGCAGCGGGAGTTGCGGTACCAGTAGCCACCTCAGGCGTCTCAGTGTTGGAAGGAGTGTTGTCAATGGTAGTGTCGGCGGCCTTCTTCTCCCACTTGGCGGGCCTGGCCCACTGGGGGTCGTGCCAGGGGCCAGCATCACTGTTCACGCAGCCTCCAGGGCACTCACAGGTACCGCCAAAAGCCTTTGGCAGGTTCTCGGGAGGAACTTGCTTGAGAAGTTCGTCCTTGTAACCACTACCAAGAATGCTAATCTTCTTGACAGTGACAGGATCGAGCCAGCCCTTCATAATGCTCCAAACAGTGGAGAAGCCCCAAGGCGCGTTGATCAGGTACAGCTTGCCAAGACGTTCAGGGTAGTAGTTCTGGGAGAGGCCAGAGGCCTGGCTGACATAGGTGTAGACCTGGGGGATCTTGCCGATGCTGACACCCTTGAGATCCATGATGGTGCAACATGTCTCGAGTAAGTGGCCGGCTTTGCGAGAGCAGGCGGTCAGGCGAGGGTCCGCAAGACGCTCATACTCGACGGCAAGGTTGTTCAGCATGCGCTCGGAAGTGGTGATCTTGTACATGGCGGTCAAGTCAATGCCGCCGAAGGTTTCGATGTAAATGGGGCGACCATCCTGTTTCAGCGGTCAGCGGGACACGTATGTCAAACATGCGGCCAGGTGGTCTGATAGAGCAATCTCTTACCTTGTCAATCTTGTGGTAGAATTGTTCATAGTACTTGTGCAGTTCAGCCTTCTCAGGGTAGTCCCAGGTAGGCACGAGCTCGTCAAGCTTGATCTCCTTCCGCCACTTCTCAGTGTCAAGGAACCTATAGTATACTAGTTAAGGGGCTGTATTCGGCGGCATTCTGTCAGGAGAAAAGTTCTTACATCTGCTTCGACAAGTTCACATCGAACTTTCGTGCACGTAGAAATCGCAGCTATGAAAATATCAACAAGTCAGCATCTGTTTTGGTAACGTCATCACTTCAACCCCACATTGAACAGTGTGTCAATACCAAAGTCAGAGTATCAAGACGGTCGGTGCAGCCTTCAGCCTCCAGCATCATTCGCAACTGCTCGACCTGGGCAATTTGTTCCTTCGTCAGAAAGCCGGCATGGCCATTTTGGGCCTCCGGTGCTTCGTACGGGAAGTCGTAGTCGTCGTACTTGGCGTTCAGCTCCATGGTGGGGTGTTGGAGGAGTGTTGACGGTGAGAAAATGTTTTTATGATTAACCAGTGCAAGGCGAGGAAGTATCGGGGAGGGAGATGGCGTAACGAAGTCGAGAAGTTGGATGCCCGCCTGCGAAATTAAAAAGGAAGAAAGTCCAGAATCTAGGGGTCAAGCGGTTTGATGGCTTTCTCCAGCTTCTGTTGAACCTGGTCGATCTGCCAATAATGCAGTGGGACCCAACTGGGGTGTGTTTACAAGCTATCGTCTAAATTGAGCGCTGGCTAACGTACATGTGACAGATCACGTGCAGATAGTAGCCGCCGGTCTCTTATCGGGCGGGCAGCTTTCACAATCGAGTTCAAACCGACGTTGAAGCTGGACCCAGAATTCTTGCTGCAGACCACCAGAGCACCAGCTGGCTCGAATGGCTCCAAGTATATCACGATGAGGTCCTCCCTCCCGCGGATTGCCCTCAATGTCGGCCGTCAGATACACACCTCCATGAGGGGGCCCCGCCCTTGCCGTTCTTTCCACCTCACAACGGCCAACAACCTGCCCCGAAAGCGATACTTCTTCACGTCCAACCCATATTTATCCCAATCGGGTGCGGATTCCAAAGCGGAAGCAGAGAATTCGAGCAGAGACAGGCCATCTTCCTCCACTCCACAGCCCAAAAGGAAAACCACACGCGCAACCAATGCAAAGAATTCGTTGCGACGAGTTGCGATCATTGCGCAGCATCCCAAGCGAAGCAGCGCAGATGGAGTGCCGGAGCCAATTGCTGAGACAGTCGATCCTACGAACCAAATAAGTGCGACCTGTGTAGCCGAAGGTTTCAAGATGCCCATGGTTTTGGATATTCTCACGGCTCATGGCTTCTCGATCAACCCGGATGATATGGAGTTCGATACCAATGAGGTTCTCCATGCGCGGGGCGTCAATGGCGGCGACATATTCGTGTTTCCGTCCGGAACAATCGTAACATGGGCGCTGCCTCCCGACGTCGTCACCAAGCAACTCCTCCGAGCCGCTGAGGATCCACATCCGGCCGATGAGCGAGAGGTGGAGGATCTCGAGTTCACCTCAGACAATACCAGGGAAACAAGTCTGTTAAAGGGCGACGTCGTTGTCCTCGGAACAAGGAGGGAGCATACGGACGGGGACAGGTTAGACACAACACTGGCCAAGGTTGCCTTCTCCTCTGGCTTAGCTCGCAGCAGCAAGCTGGCTGTGCTTGAGACCTCCCTCACCTCGTACTTCGAGAGCACGCGCAATATCCCCGCTCTATTGTCCCAAGGATCGGGTGTTCCTTATGGCCGTCGGTTTATTCTTCAAAAGACAGGTGAACTTCTCAGCCTCCGGGCACGTCTGAACCATTACTCTGAGCTTACCGACTCCCTGCCTGATATATTGTGGGACAGCCGCTCCGAGCTTGGTCTGGAGGGCTATTACGAGCAGGTTGGACGTGCCCTGGATGTCAATGTTCGCATCCGAACTCTCAATCAAAAGATGGATTATGCGCAAGAAATTGCAAGCATCCTCAGAGAGATGTCAAGCGAGCAGCATGGAACCCGTCTAGAGGTGATCATCATTCTTCTCATTGCAGTTGAGGTCATATTCGAACTGAGAAAAATATTCCTTGAGTGGGTACAAGAGAGAGAAATCACTCAGGAACTCGCCAAGTCTGTATAGAAGATTTAGAAGGGCGTCATAGACAGGGTGCCGATCTGGAGCCTGGGAATTGCCCCGGTTATGTACGAGTAGCTTTGGAAATGTATGATAGAAAGACTTTGATACCCAGAAATTTTTTGTACATTAGTTTGCTAAGCACGAGATGAACGCAGCTCTGGATTCTATACCATTTCCCTTTGTATACTGTCTGTCCAAGTGATGAAATGTTCCTCCTAAGTCAACCGACTCTTGCGGTTCGGGGTGTCAGCCGACAGAGCCTACCAAAGGGAAAAAAAAGAAGACGCATATTATGTTACATGATAAATCCTTTAATTGGTCCGCAAAAAGCCTCCATTCGAATGCTCTTTTCCCAGTCTTGGGTTATCCTCACCTGCCCTGAAATTTTTCGTCTCCAATATCCTTTCCAATCATCTTGACAGTGACTGCTTCTTTCCGTGACTTGAATGCAAAGGGTGTCATTTGTGGTGACTTTATGGCTCCAATCTCGCCCTGCGCAAATTTTGATTTGCCTGGTCGCTCGAGACCAGATACCAATCCTGCCTCTTTGTGCCAATGAAAAGCGTCAGGGTAAAACAGGCTCCTCTAAGGCTCTCCCCCCTTCCAACTAACGACCCCAATTGCTCCAGAAGAAGAGAAAGAGTCAAGTTAAAACGAGAGAAGCAACAACTCCTGATCCCCACCGCTTCGGAACGCCATGTTAAAAACCATCGCGATATTCCCAACAAAATAAGAAAGTTTCAAATAAAATTAAGAAGAAGGCTTGCGCTGCTGTTGCTGCAGTCCAGGTATCGGTGGCACAGGAACAGGTGTTACTTTATGAGGTGGTACATGGACGGATCCAGGGGTACCATTGATGTTAAGGCGCTGTCCGGTTGGAGTCTGCGGCTTTGACTGATTGTTCATACTGGCCCGAACCGCAGCCATTCTGTTGACATCAAGACTTCCGCCGAGGCCAATGCCAGCCAGCCCAGAGACGCCTGGTTGAGCAATCTTGTCAGTGAACATGGCTGAACGCTCCTGGGCAGCTACTCTAGCTTTTGCCTGCTCCAACATCCGCTGCTGTTGTGCTTCAGGCATAACCGTGTGATAGCCAGTCAATGATCCTACTTGCTGCTGCTGCTGAGGGGCGGTGTTTGAGTTGGGTGGGAACCTGTTGGGCTGCCCACCCATAGGTTGACTAGGCGTGCCGTATCGTTGAGCCTGTTGCATATTGGGCGATGGACTGAATGGCTGCCTTTGAGATACTTGTGGCGACATTGTGCGCTGTTGCTGTGGCATCCCCGCTCCATTGACATAGTTACCAAAATGAGGTTGGGAAGGTGTACTGGCCTGTTGCGGGTAGCCTTGATAATGCGAGAATCTTGGCTGCGCAGCACTCTGCGGAGGAACGTGACTAAACGCCGGCCGTTGCTGACTTGCAAACTGAGGCATGTTCTGATGTCCATATGGAGTTTGCGCCTTGGCCAGTTGAGTCGCATATTGTGCGTTGATCCCATTCCTTTGAGTATACTGGTTTGGCTGGGGGGGGCGGGGCTGCCCGAGAGATGCTGGCGTGGAACTGCGAGCCTGCTGGTAGTTTTGTTGCTGGTAGTTCTGGAAGTTGGGGGTTGCAGCTTGACGATAATACTGCTGAGCCTGGGCCTGCGCTGGCGTTCGTGTTGGCGTTCCGTACTGCAGATTCTGCTGTTGGTAGTGACCTTGATACGATACGCTTGGTGTACGTTGAGGCGCTGGTCGTGGTGCGGATTGGGCCGCTTGCTGTTGAGCTCGTAACCGAGCCTGCAGCCCAGCCTCATCCTCCTCCATGACACCCTTGTACTGGTCAGACGAGACCCGAACCTTTGTACTGATGAGCAAGTCATCAAGACGATCACCATTCAATTTTGCAACGGCATATGGAGGCAGCGTCTTCACAATTAGGGCAAGTTGAGCCTTGAGCATTTGGTACGTCTCATGCTCCGCCTCCGACGGTTGGGGAGCAGCCGTTGCTAACATATCGCCCGTGACAGGGTCGCTGGTCTGGCGGTTCTGGGAGTTCGGGAGTGTAAGATTGCGAATGCGCTGGTAAGAGGCCAGTGTCTCAATCAGGTCCGAGACTTCGTCGAGGATTTCGTCGGCTTCCTTGTCGGCTTCATCCTGCTTTGGTCCCATTGCATCCTCCAAAGAGGGGTCAATATTAGTATCATCCCAGTTGTCGATTGCTTCTTGAATCGCCTCTTCATCGATTTCCAAAGCTTCATCATCCTGGTCCGTCTTGATACCATTAGCGCGGTCGAGGTACTCAACCTCAATCATGTTGGAAAAGCTACGTCGACCAGATCGTTGCCACCAAATGCGCCCAGCTATATTGGACGGCACAACAGCCGCGGAATCATCTTTGCAAGGGGCAAAACTTGAAAATGCACCACGGAAAAGAGATTCCATTTCGGACAACTCCAACTCCGAGGTCGATGGCTTCTTCCCCGCAAGACTTTGCGCTCTTTCGTGTTGCCTTGTCTTAGAAGTTGAAGATGGGGTGGCATGGCTGTAGTCAAGATAATGACCAGCTGATAGCTTTGTGCTAAAATAGGTTGCTCCTCGTTGTTGCGATTTATCCGTGAGGCTAGGGTGATAGAAATCAAGAGCGTTCCCTCTAGCTTGTGTTTTGGGTTGCTTCGGCGGCTGAAGAGGGAGCAGAGTCCGGGAGGGCGCGAACAGATCCCCTAATGTCTGCACATTCTCTTGATGGTCGGATGGGAAGATCTTCGTCATCGAAACACCAACAGGAAGGTTGTATTCGGAGAGGTCCAGGTCGTGAGATGAAGGAAGACTGGAAAATAGACGCCTCTCCTGTGGTGCAAATCCAACTAATGAAAGCACCGTCTGGGTCTTCTCAAACTCGTCCTGTTGAGCCTCGTCGTTGAAAGAATCAGGCTGCGATGTCCGGGGATAGGCTTGCTCGCGAGATAGAAGGCTCAGAGCCCTAGTCCTAAACTTCTTGATTTGCGCAGCCGTCTTAATCTGGTCAGATGAATCGGGCATCTTCGAGGCCGCGGCTTCAGATTCAGCAAGAGCCGACTTTATCGCCAAGCTGACATCGGCCAAAAGGCCATCCAAATGTTCGTAGGCACTTGCGGCAACCTTGTCAGAAATGGTGACCAGCTCGGCTGGCTCTGACGATTTTTGGCGTTTGGCTTCGGGCTCATCGCTAGTAATTGGGTCTTGGAGCGGCCGTTTCAGAATCGGAGGCTCGACATCGAAGCTGCAGAAGAGGTTAGCTGGGCTGGCAGCGACCTTTGATGAAAGTCCAGAAGAGGGGAAATGCAATGGGGGCAGAATAGTCGCGCCATCGGAAAGGTAGCACATACGATTGCAATACTTCGAAGCATGATTGAATGAGTTTTCGCTGGTCTCGTGGCTTTTCATTGGCATCGGCAGATTTGCGATCTTGGACGACGCCTTCCATATCGTCTCCCTCGTCCTCGTCGTCGCGTTTTCTTTTACCTATTGCGCCGACCAGTTTGATCTCGTGATTTTCATGGTGATGGATGCCGTTGGGCTCCATCGCTGGTTGTTGCGACATGATTGACATCTCTTACCCCAGGGCCGTCGCTAGTGGATGGATTGATGATGGCGGGTTTGGCTGGTCGGCCGCGCCTTGTCGCGATAGACGCGGTGCGGTGCAGCGGGCCTCAGGCGTATGGTGCAACGCCAAAAATTCTTTGTCCAGATTGCACCCAGATCTAAACAGGCTACATCCAGATCAACGCCTCGATGCAACAAGGAGTGTCGGAACACTCGAGGTGAAAAGGTGGTGAAAGGCCGGATTTTCTCAGCCTCCAGATCAGAACGACCCAAAAGAGTGCAATGGAGGGAACGGCTTGCTCGCAGACAGGGAAGAATGTGTCTTGATCGCCAAAAGTCACTACCTCTGTCTAGGTACCCGGTTGCTAGGCTAAGGCCATTTCGGGGCAAGCCTAAATGGCATGCACGTGATCTTCCACCATCCGCCTGTCATTTAGCGTGTCTCTCGCCTGGAGAGAGTGAGGCGGCTACCTAGCCAACTTTGCCGTTCAAAGAAAAAATGCAAACTTAATTTTGAGGCCGTCTAACACAGACGGTTTATAGATTTTGGAGGGGCCTTGGTAGGGAAGCTCTTATTTGATGAACCTCAAGTAAATTTCTTATGGATACATTGGTTCTTGTATGTACCCGCTATCGTGAAATAACACCAACGATTATACTGCCTAATCTGCTATTCAATCTAGCCCATCACCATTGGACAATACCCATGACAATCGTGTAATTATCATGTTGCCTGTAACAAGACTGCGCACACAAGAAGAAAAAAAGACCAGCAACAAGGTATTCCTCGCTCTTCGGCCAGATCCGATCTAAACCGCTATGTCATCAAAGACGGGACCAAAAATACAGGCATTCGGATACAGGTGAAGTTATTTATTTGGCCTTGGCCAGACCGACGGCACCCTTGCCAAGGTGGTAGACAGAGTAGTAACGGCGCAAGAAAGCATCACCAAGAATGGCCAAGGGACCAGTGGGGGCAGGGAAGTCCATTCCCTGGAAGGTGGAAATGCAGCTACCAGAGACCTCCAGGATGTAGTCAGAAGCAGGCAGGCTGTACTTGGAACCAGCGAGGTCAAAGGTGATGTCGGGAAGCGACTGCTTCTTTGAGCAATCAATCGTGTACTGGCCGTTGTATCCCTTCTTGGCTCCGATTTGAGCATTCAGCATCTCGGCGAGAGAGCTGGGCAGGATGTTGAGAGAAGTACCAGTGTCAAGAATAACACCGGTGTCATCAAGCTCGGCCACCTCGTCGCCAAGGGCGATAGAATCAAGGTCAACCTCCCAGTAAGCCTTGCGGCGCAGAGGAATATACTCAATCTCGCCCTCGTAGTGGCTCTTGTCAACACCTCCGAAGACGGCCTCGGAGCCTTCATCGGTTGAGCTCAGGTAGAACGCAAAGACAGGCTCGTCAATGAGCTTCTGGTTTACCAGCTGGTAGAAGGGAGGGACGATGTGGTTCACCGAGATGGTATCAAAGCCAAGACCAAGAATGCCATCGAAACGGCCAAATGCGAAAGCCAGGCCAGGCTCCTCGGTGGCCTCTGCGAAGTCTTGGTTCTTGACCTGGAGGTCGCCAATGGTGAATACGTCATTGGAGATAAACCCAGTCAAGCTACCAGATCCATAATGGATCTCGAAATCGGACCCATTCTTCTTGTATGTCGAGGAGCTAGAGGAGTCATATGTGGAGTGCAGGAAGCAGGCAATGCTGTTGCAGCTCTGGGAAGGAACCCAGAGGTTGGAACTACCGGTATCGAGAACAACCTTGAAGGTCTGAGGAGGAGTACCGATGGTGATCTCGGAGAAGTCTTATCAATGCATTCGTAAGTTTCAATGTCCTTTCAAGTGTAACAGCGCACGATAATGATACTTACACTGCGCATTCATAAAGTTCGTGACAGGCACAGGGTGGATGCCATCTGACTTGGGAACGTTGGTGCTGAAGACGGCATCAGCTCGGGATTCAGGGCGCGATCCCAGGTACTTCTGGCCAACAGCCTGGACGTGCTCCTCGATGCTGTGGGTAGCCTACGGATCACTGTCAGTGGGAGCTTTGGACCTGGTGGTGCGAGTGACCTGCAGCAAGAGGCCGCTCGTATCGAAACATACCAGTTGCTCGGCAAGAGAGTGCTTCTGGAGCTTCAGCTTGTGCACGCCAGCCTGGGCGGAGCCGAGCAGAGCGGCGGCGGCAAGGAGAGTGCTCTTCATTATGGGCAAGGCAATACTCGAGAAGGTTATAGCTCAGCGAGGTGATGGAAAGCGCCGGATTGTGCGATGGTTCAACGAATAACAGGATCTCGGAGCCTGTTGTTGATGAGGGAGGAACCGGGAATCTTAGGTAGGTTCGCTGAGTCGCAGCTAAGGCTGGGGGGAGCTGCCTGGGCCTGCGGTTAGATAAGGCAGGCGACCACAACAGTGACGTGCTAGCGCCGAGGCCTGCTGATGGCTGGGTGGTTGGCTGGGTGGCGTGGGGTTGAGCTGAGCTAGTTGTGTCTCGTGCTCATCCCGCCACTCCATTGCTGTTGCTACTGATGACGCACACCTGAGCTCTGGCTTGGCTCGCTCTCCGCTCACCCTGTACTACACCCTCGAGACATCTTTTGATACTGTCGCACGGCAATTAGGTAGATATTCTGTAGCATTGACTTTAGCTACTAGCCGGTGGCCTTTTTGCGCCATTACTAGGTACTTTTTTTTTACTGCGGGATGTACAGCCCAATCGACCGTCACCCCGAACACTAGGGAAACTGACCGGTTGCGGACAGCTCTGTATACCGCTCAGTAATAGCCGCGAACTATCCATTAATGTCTTACACCGCACGATAGCCGAATTGCCCCCAATATTCAATATCCATCAACAACGAATGTAGGTGGATCTTATAGCCAGCAATATTGCGACAACGAACCAGAACACGAGTAGCGTGATGCTCGTCATGTGTCGGGCGAGTAACGGTTTCAACTGCGAACCGCCCTGTCTTCTCTATTGATCTTCACACACTACCACGAAACAGGCGCATCGACGCAAGCATCCCGCAAGAAAACCCAAGGTAGGGGTTGACTCAGAACTCTAAACTCGAACTGAGGCTGATTGGTGGGGGATATATAATGCCAACATGGGAACCAGTTCAATAAGATCTCACACTACGAGTAATAGATCTGATGGCTGTTGCTTGGTCATGTGCCAAACATCGGCGGTTGGGTGTCTGACTTCCTGATTCTTGTAGCCCTTCCAACTTCCATGTAACACCATGCATTGATACAACAAGACTATGCAGGGACATTTGCCGATCTTAGTTGGGTAGCCGTGTCATACAGCAAGGCCAATCAATACCTGGAAATGTATTGCCGCCTGCCCAATGCATACCTACTCGTACTGGCGATCAAGAACGAACACTCTTATCAGAACTGGAGGCACACAATACCACTCCCGGGTAGGGTAGCCGGGTCATTCAAGAGTAGGTACGCTGAAGAGGGTGTCACTGCCCGCTTCCTGTATGAAGGGTGACAACATTGATTACGTGCGATACGGGCTTGCACCGACATCCTTCACTGACCCCAGAGGAATCCCAAACAACGAGCCTAGCTACATTGGACGTTAGGTTGGCATACAGAAATACGCATAAACGAGGCTCTGGTAGCTGATTGAGGCTATGATGCCAGAGGGTAGGCCAAGCAACAGAGGAGGCCCCTAAACATTAATAATTAAGCGGCTTACAAGGAGTGAACAACCGAAAGCGAAATGGCCGGAGCGTGGATTTCTTAATGATGAGGATTGGTCATTACCAAGGGCCCGAGACGAAGCCCTGGCAGGGTGGTGAGGCTTATGGCTGTGTGATGAAGCTTCCCCTCTCTACTGCACCGTGGCAGATAGTAATTCATGACCCCGGAGGCAGCGGGTGGCATTATTAATTGAAAGCTTACCGCGAAGTAGGCCTTGCAACATGCAATAGGAGCTACCTAGAATGGGAAGTAATAATATGGCGTGTTCATCCTCCGCGCACCGAGTGTAGCATTCCTTCTGCGTTCCGCCACCGGTTGGGGCAAATTCGTCCCGTCTCGGCTTCAGCTTGGAGGTGCGGTACCTACATATTAAGGCCCCATCGAGTCGAATCTCGAATCGTCGGCACCCCCGATCAGATCTCGAGTATTATTACCGTTCGTCAGGCATGCCTCTGACCTGTTGGCGCCCACTCTTGAAACAGAATCTCGAGATACCGCTCTGTGTGAACCAGGCTTCGATTTTCGTCTAACAAGCAATGCATGCACAAACGAGCCCGACCCAACAAGTTTCGTATTTGGGGACACGGCTTACGCATTAGACGTGCTATGCATGGCAATCACTCCATCCTCTAATAATTATTACTGTATGAGAGAAGCATGGGCCGGCTGAGTTTACACACTAGCGCAACGTATGCCGTGGCAGGGAAATTCCTTGATGAGAAAGGATGGACCGACCTGTGGCGGAGCAATCGGATCGGCTGGAGGGATTGTGGCTACCGCTTCTGCATTAAAAACAAACATTACTTCGCGGAGGAGTGCCGGAAGAGTTGTGCGGCACCACGTACCGGTTTGAAAGATCGTCCGCCTGAGTATCTTCTGAACGCGTATCGTTGAATAATGAACACTACGAAGCAACCGAGATTATCTATTTTGAGATATCGAATCTCAAATTCCATATGTTGCAGGGACGAAATGATGAAGACTGTTGCACAACGTAATGAATGTTATGCAAGACAAAATGAATTGTGATGGGGGGTCGCAAGCGTTTAATTGCGGTGGGGCGCTGGTTGAAACGTAGTGGTTAGAATAGCAGTGTCCAAGAGGAGCAATCCACTGGTTGGCAAGTTTGCGGGCCTTGGTACCTGCACCGAGGCCGGGTTCCCGTCACGCTGCAGCAGTGACAGCGAGAGCTGGTGGGTGGGTAGGTGTGTGCCCCTGGCAGCAAGAGGCTTGTTCCTGAGGTGCTGGCGCGGCGTTAGACCTATCCCATTCCCTGTTCCTACAGCGGGGGGCTGGTCGCCGTGGCCAGGGGCTGCCCAATAACTGCCCAGAATTCCAGTCATAGCACCTACATTGGCTGACGAGGCGTGCGGTGGAGCGGGTCGCGACAGGGAGGTGTGGAGCGCGACCAGGATCGAGGCACCACCAGGGGCTCCTGACACGAGCTCGATGCTAGGAAACCAGTGCAAAAAGCAACCACCGCCAGAGGTTTCTGTGCACAGGCCGCGGCGTGTTACAGAGTGAGCCGGACATCGTGGTACGTACCCGGCTGGTGAGGGGATTAGGCCTCGTACTGGAACGTACGGGTACGCTGGCAGCTGTTTAGTGGTCGATGTACCTGGAGCTGAGGCCTGGTCCTTGATTGATGCCAGCGCGGCACGGCCAGGGCCAGGCACTAACAAAATTTCCCTCTCCCTCAATCCTGCTTCGCGTCGCCTGCTCCCTCCGTTTGTTCGGTGCATGACATCCCCCCAACCAAGAAGCTAGCCCACTGTGTCTTCCCTCACCCACTCCCAGGCACACGCCCCACCCAGGCCTGCCCCTTCTTCCTCCTCTCTCCCTCTCCTTCTTCTGCCCTGGCCTCTCCTCTGCTTTCCCCTTTCCAAAATAGACACCATCACCCAATACCCTCTCTTGTTCTCTACTTGTCGTTCGTTCTAGTCCCTCTTTTTCACTCATGCACCAAGCCCACTGATATTCGACGACAAAGACGATTTTATCGGGAGCAGATGCTCTGTTTTGCGAGGTCCTGATTGATACCCGTGTCCAAGCGCGATCGGGTCACCATCTGGGACAGGAGGCACACTTCGACCGCCCATTCACATCTCGCCCAACTTCAACATACCTACTTGGGTATTCACTCAACCTCTCGAAATATCCGATTATTGCACCGAACGCCGAATTATCCGACATCGTTCAAGGCCTTCCTGGTGGAGCTTGACGATTCCGGGAAATTTATTTGTGCAATCAACACCATTGTGTTTTCAGCTTCGACCAAACCAGACATAGAGCAGTTACTAGCCTCGAAACAAGATGAAGACAACAACAGCATTCGTCGTCTTTTTGACTGCCGTTTCCCAATTGATGGGAACGGCAGTTGCAGCTTCGGCCACGGCCGCTGCCAGCGGTACCAAGCCTACACAAGCACCCAAGGAGAACGCCAAGCTAGGAACACCGACATCACAGGGATGCTTCAAGTCATATGGAAACATGACAGACAGCGGACTTGACGAAACCAAGGTCTCTTCAGGAGGGTGTAGGGAGGCTTGCCAAGCAAAGAGTGCGCCGGTCTTTGCCATGGGCGGTGGTGTTCAGTGCAAGTGTGGAAATCAATATCCCGCCAAGAGCGATCTCACGGACGACTCGGCTTGCAACTACGAATGCCAGGCTTACCCCCTGGAGGCTTGTGGTAACCTCGATGCCACGGCCTGGTCAGTCTGGAACACCGGTGACAAAATCTCTATTCCTTACTACGAAAAGGCAGAGACGTCGAGCAGTAGCTCTGCCCCTGCCGCGACCAGTACGACGGCCAGCAAGCCAAGCTCAACTGGCGACCCTGCAACAACAGAAACCTCGGGCAGTGATGACCAGAAATCAGGCGGCAGTAATCTAGGAGCAATCATCGGTGGCGTGGTTGCCGGTGTGGTTGTTATTTGCGCCATTGTAGGTGGATTATTTTTCTTCATGCGACGAAGACGCAACTCGGAGATCGAAGAAGAGTATCGCCGAAATGCTGCTGTCAATGCCTTCATTAGCGGCTCCAAGCCTCCCGGAAGCAGCGCTGGTAGCATCTCGATGACCGACTCTCGCCTTGATCCTATCAAGGCCCATCGACTAAGTGACGGCAGCATTGCCGACAACGAGGACTACTCCCGGAAGATTCTCAGGGTGAGTTCTCAGATCTCGAAAATGTACTCTTTGGATTATACTGATAAGTTTTAGGTGACCAACGCATGAGCGGTAACCCTGTTAACGAAGCACGAATTTTCCTCTTTCCTTTCATTTAGTCCTCTATCTAAATATACAGTTCAAATCACTTCCCATCACTGGCATCAACGGCGTTTTCGGAATGGCAGCTCGCGTTCATCCGCCTGTCGATTGTTTCGACGAAATGGTGGTTGTTGACTATTACACACGGCGTAGGGGTAAATCTTGATTCGACTTGGGAGCGACTGGATTTGACACTGCACTACATACTTGTCGATTACCTCTATGCCATCCGCTCCTTACACTTGGTTGTTAACCATCAAAAACTGGGTTTCATTCAAAGATCCGTTGGATCCAGTTCTCCGAGAATCCCATGTCCTGGGATTTTGCGGTAACTCGGCACGCTCCTTACTCTTTGATGGGGATATTATCCCCTCTCCTTCCAGGCTTGCTACGAGATCGCTGCAAATGCGAGGTCGCTAGACCGTCGTCGGAGATGAAGATGGAACGCGTTTTGGGATATCCAAATATCATGGGCGAGACCCAAAGCAATGGCTGGCAAAATCATACAAACTTGGTCGATTACTTTAGTTTTGTGCCTCTGTCTTTTTTTTTTTTTTTTATTGAGCGTGGAGGGCTCTGTGTATGTACTACCTAGATTCCGCGCAACAATCAACCAACACGTTTCATATCCTGGCTTCTGAACGTCGCGCGAATCTCATTCACCACTACTTCTAACATGATGCTGGATTATCCGCACTTGACACCCCAACCCTTTGTCATCCGAGTGTAGATCTCCTTCTTAGGCATTGCCCTTTGTTTATCTCTTGATTTTCCCACTTTTCAAAAGCAAAGCATGTTTCTTCACTTGGCGTTTGGCTGTAACATAGAACTTGTTTCAAAATACATTAATACTTGAGCCTTCATTCTTTGGCAAAATCTTCAACGAAACATATCGAAATGATACGAGCTGCATTGATGATACAATGTCGACCTAGTGCGAGGCAAGTGGCTGTTGGAGAAATAGGGACTATCAAGTCACTTCGACAGAATTATTGTGGCGGTCAGCGCCATAAAAATACTTTCTTTTTGTAACAATACACGATGCCTAGTAATCACTCTTTTTTTCATTTTTTTTTTTTCATTCTTGTAGACTGTTTTATATCAAATCGTGGCCTGTTACAAAGTCACAGATCTTGTTCTGCGCACATGCTTGTTTGAGGCAGACTCACGTGACCTGAAGAAATGCTTGCGACCGTCGTTAGCTCGGTGCCTGGGCGCGTTTCTCTCAAGTAGGCGCGTTTCGCTACCTTTGCCATTCAGTTCGCTTTGTTTATCCTATCACCCATGAAGTAAATTCAGGTACAATCAAGATTGTGTCGGCTCGTTTCAGAGACCAACGAACTTTCTGGACAATCCTGGATTCTTCGTTACTTCGTTGGATCTACAATGCTGGGTCTGAAGACTCCGAGGCTTCGCCGCACTGGGCAGAATACCCAAGTCACGTAAGGAACCAGGAACAGGCTTTTGTTTTTGCTGGCTGACGTCGCTAACCAGAGTGTAGATACGACCTTTCCCGTCGCCTCAACGATGTTCAACCATACCCGATACAGTCTCCCCAGGGAGCCAACATTTTCATCTATGGCCATGATAGCGGTGTAACATTGGTCTGGAGGGGCGGCAAGCGGTTCAAGGCGACTCAGCCGGCGCCACTAAATGAGAAGCCCAATGGGTCCTCAGAAGATGCCGTGATGGTGATTGACTCGGACGACGACCAACCGGCTGCCAAAGCCGAAGCCAAAATCAAGTTCGAAGACAAACCTGAGTTTGAAGATCAGGCCGAAGAAACTCCCTATCCCGAAGTAATCCAGACACTGGATCTGGTCCTCGGCGCTGCCGTCCTTGACGTGGCGGTAATGCCACTTTCCCCCAGGTCGGCTCAGGACACCGCGAACGGCCGGGCTGCTATTCTTGGACATAAAATAGTGTTCGCTGTTTCATGTGTCACAAACGATATCTATCTGATCACCCTGCCACTCACACCTCCATCTCCTGCCGCAAAAGCAAGGCCCGAGTTGAGAAACAGTTTATTCGCAAGCAAGGCTGGCACCGGCGCGTGGGGAGAGTCGATCACTTTACTTGGCGGACAGTCAAAACCGAGCGATGGATTGGCCATTGGTCTCGTACCTTCTGGGCTCTCTGACCGCGCAACCAGCATTAATCGCGTTGTGGTCGCCTCTCATTCCCGTGAAGCATCTGGAGTGCTGCGTCTCTGGGAAACTGCTTTGGATCAAAAGCTTAAACCAGAGGCGTCTGTCGAGCCCTTCCAGACAGAATTCCTACCAAGTCCTCTCAGAAGCGTTTCTTTTAACCCAAGCCATAGTACCCAACTTCTTACAGTAACGCCTTCACATGGTGTACGCATATACGATTACGCCTTGCCTTCTCTTCCCCCAGACCCCGAGGCGATTGGTCCCTTCCCTCCACAAGGGTCGTGGCTCGTCACGTTATACCAGCCATTTATCAGACCTTCATCCCTACGGAAGCCCATCGTTGATGCCGCCTGGATAGCTCACGGAAAAGCCGTCTTCGCTTTGTTGGCTGATGGGATGTGGGGCATCTGGGACATCGATGGGGCTGATCCTGCTTCTTCTGCTTCGGCAATATCTACCAAACTACAAAGCGGTGTTCGAGGGGCTGCCTTGACCGCATTTAGCGTGTCGGGATACGTCGAAGGAACAAGTTCCCTCCGGAGTGTGGCTTCACAACACAAGGAGACTAACACAGGGGAGTTTGCGCCCATGACACCCCACTCTCGTCGCCAAGCTACAAGCAATCTTGGTTTGGCAGCAACTCCTGATCGCCTATCAACGATCCATGGTGGTGTCAAAGTCCTGCCACTTCCAGCCCCTGGCCAAGCACTGTTAGACGAGACTTTGGTTCTTTGGCTCGGTGGACAAGACCATGTCTGTGTCATTCCTCAAGTCTTGCGATTCTGGGAAACCCAAGCACGGAAGGCAAGCAGCGGAGGGAATGGTCTGTTCACGGGTACCCACAGCTCGCGACTTATTAAGATCCAAGAGCTCTCCACGAGCCTACTAGGCGAGAGATGCTGTGGCGTCACCCTTCTCACTGATATTTCCATGAAGACCGACGGTGCAGACCATGGCGAGCATACGCCCGTCGATGTTCTTATTCGTGGCGAGACCCGGCTGATTGTCGTTCGTGATGTCCAGGCCAGCTCTTCTGGGACACTTGGAGGTCCTATTACCAAGGGAAAGCGGCTATTTTCGAAGGCTGACCAACCCAGTGCTATTATCGTGCACGGAAGTGCTAGGCCTAGTACGGTCACGTTTAATCTGAGCCGAGCTAAGCCTGGCTCGCTGCGATTCAACCCATCGTTTGCTAACGAGGAGGGCAACTATGACGATGATTCGATGGCGGATGCGAATGAGACGAAGTCACTTCCTCAACCGGGAGCTGGATTTGATTTCATGAATACCTTGAACGATGCTGCTGATACAACCACTGATTTAAATCGAGATGTCGAGGTCGAGATGCTCGATATCATGGGAATTGATAAAGCGCTGGAAAACCTGGACGGCAGCCGAGGGGTGGGGAGAAAGAAGGTTCTTTTTGGAGAGGACTAACGCGAGTTGCAATTTAATGACTGACAATCTTAGGAGTGTTTAACCGAAGTGTACGATACCCAAAAAAATGAACGTGATTGGCGGCCCAATTGTTCGCCTTTGCCTCTTGTCGTCGATGCAGTGCCTGAGAATTCTCACCTTGATGAACCTCCTTAGCCCACCCATTTTCCTTCCATGGTTTCTTCTGAGCTTCCCCCCCTTCAATTCCGCACGGCAAGGTGAAGCGCAAGGCGAGATCCATCCTTGACTGCTTTGTATTCCGAGCGGTAGATTAAACGCCACCCGATATCATGTAAGAGGAGGGAAGGTTGGGAATTTTATGTCGACAACTATTGAGCCAATACCTTAGTAACTGATCCTAACTATGCCTTGATACCGTCTATCAAATCTCTGCTGGAGCTGCTCTTGGAGTGGTCGAGGAAGGCATTCGGATTAGATTGTCAGTTAGCATAGAATACTTGGTTGAGAGGGTATTGGCACATCGGGACATGCATATATACACATATTCATTACAATGCTTTTGTTTGGTTGATAAATAAAGTATTCTTCATACGCTACTTCTTAAGTTAGTATATAGCCACTGTGATTCCACATTCCCGTGGCTGCCAATCGCTGTCCGACATGCGATGTAGATAGGTAGATGGCAATACCTCAGTCGAAAGGTGGGGCAAATTCAATTAAACACGGAAAGGGCGCGTCATCAATTTCGTCGCGTCCCTCATGCCGATCCGCGTCCCTCCATGGTCCGTCTGAATGTAATAAAATCGTCGCCTGCAATTTGACTGAGTTTCCTCTCAGCAGATCCCACCCACACAATTTCTACTCCCACCCGACCGTCGTTTTCGAGTTTCTTCCCCGCGTTCTGTGAGCGAGCCATCAGAAGGTCTTCCTGCCGCAACTGGCGAATTGCACCATGGGTATTAAACAGCTCTTCTCCATCATCAAAGATGAGGCTCCGGATTCCATCAAGGAAGGCGAGATCAAGAATCAGTTCGGCCGCAAGGTCGCCATTGTAAGCATAGCGTCACTGGGTTCATTGCGCGCTATTATGGGGAGCTAATCGTTTGGGATAGGATGCTTCGATGAGCATCTACAGCTTTCTCATTGCCGTTCGATCTGACGGCCAGCAGCTGATGAATGACACCGGCGAGACCACCTCGCATCTCATGGGCATGTTCTACCGCACACTTCGTATGGTCGACAACGGCATCAAGCCTCTGTACGTTTTCGACGGTGCTCCTCCCAAGCTCAAATCCGGAGAATTAGCCAAACGTTTCCAACGCAAGCAAGAGGCCACTGAGGGCCTCGAGGAGGCAAAGGAGACCGGAACGGCCGAAGATGTTGAGAAATTCTCGAGACGGACGGTGCGCGTGACCCGAGAGCACAACGCCGAGTGCCAGCGGCTCCTGAAGCTCATGGGCATCCCCTACATCATTGCACCCACGGAGGCTGAGGCTCAATGCGCCGTCCTTGCGAGGGCCGGCAAGGTTTACGCTGCTGCCAGCGAGGATATGGATACGCTTTGCTTTGACACACCAATCCTATTACGCCACCTTACTTTCAGTGAACAGAGAAAGGAGCCTATCCAAGAGATTCATCTTGATAAGGTCCTTGACGGCCTGAACATGGAGCGAAAGCAGGTAAGCGTGGCATTCTAGTACAATAAACTTATGTGATTTGGCGGGATTATTGACCCTTTCGGATTAGTTCATCGATCTCTGTATCCTCTTGGGGTGCGACTATCTCGATCCAATTCCCAAGGTTGGACCATCCACCGCTCTCAAGCTCATCCGCGAACATGGCTCTCTCGAAAAGGTCGTCGAAGCTATGGAAAATGACCCGAAGAAGAAATACACGATCCCTGATGATTGGCCATTCCGAGATGCGCGGGACCTGTTTCTAGAGCCGGACGTCCGAAAGGCTGACCATGCCGACTGCGATTTCAAGTGGGAGAAACCTGATATGGAGGGTCTGGTTCAGTTCCTTGTGACTGAGAAGGGATTCTCCGAAGATCGAGTGCGAGGTGCGGGAGCAAGACTGGAGAAAAACATGAAGAGCTCGCAGCAGGCACGGTTGGAGGGTTTCTTCAAGCCTCTCCCCAAGACGGATGCTGAGAAGGCAGCACACAAGCGCAAGTTGGAGGCTCAGCAGGAGGAGAAGAAGAAGAAACAAAAGCAAGAAAAGAAGGACAAGGCGGCCGCCAAATCGAAGCCGAGAGCGGCGGTATGAGTATGATACTAGGATGATGATGGAAAACGGTTTATCATTGACGTTGACATGCCTTGCTTAGCAGAGCTCATGCCTATCTGTCAGAAGGCCTCGCTCGGCGGCGCATATTGCTTGATTCTCGGGATGAGGCCAGGGATGGTCGGACAGGTGTTTTGGAGTCTACGTATCGACAAAGTTGCTTGATTTATACAATATCTTACATTATATGATAACTTCCTCTACTTCTCCATGATACTGCTCGAATATCTAGCGGAGTTGGTAGCGTGCTGCCAGGTAGTTGCTAACTCGAATAGTTTGTCCCCTCTGTTGACCATGGTCAATAGGCAGCGGTAATTGCGTGCCGGATCATTTGATAACTGCTCAGACCGCAATTTTACTGATTCCCAAACGTTGGGGCTTGCTCCGTGGTGGACATGCGGTTGGCAATACTGAGGCCTCTATTGGGTAGCTGATAAGCTGGGCCTCGGCATCTCCACAGAAACATACTCTGCGCCAAATGGAAGTGCCTAATATGGCACGGTTTCATGACATCACCTCAAGCGCCGTTCGCTGCTTGTCTGGAGTCTGGAATCTGGAGTCTGGACCCTTGCATGTCTTCCGCCCGATCCTTGTACCGCATGTGGCAGCAGCGCATTTCACATGCAAAGTCCCAACGCGGCAGTGTGCGAGGACGACCTGGGCCTCGCACAACACATGACCATCAGCAGCCACTGTTTGAGCCCATCCCATGACAGGGCCGACCATGGCCATTGCGGGTTCTTGGGAATGCCCCAGAGGGCCCCAGAGGGAAAAGTCTGGGGCTTCTTCCATTGTGGGGGTGGAATGTAGGTACAAAGCACCGACTGTTGACGGCGCCTTTGTGAAGTGTCCTAGACATGTGATTGTCAGACTTGCCGACGGGCATCTTACACACTCGCCGGCCTCCTACAAAAATAACGGAGAATGTCCTATCTTCGTTTAAACTTGCCTCTGTTGAACTCTCCTTTCCATCTCTCCCCGTCACCCCCTTAATCGTGCCTCCCATCATCCACTTTGTCGCCATGTCTAAAGTATTCACTGCTGCCGACGTTGCATCGCACAACAAGGCTGACAACCTATACACTATTATTGATGGCGATGTCTACGATCTTACCAAATTCCAGGATGATCATCCAGGTAAGTGAATGAATGGGAATACTCGCCCCGCGACCGTATCTTGCCTGGATTTATGCCCAGTAATACCATATACTAACTGATACGCCCCAAACAGGCGGCAAGAAAATCCTCCAGCGCGTAGCAGGCAAGGATGCCTCCAAGGCATTCTGGAAGTACCACAACGAAGGCATTCTCAAGAAATACAAGGGGAAGCTGCAGGTCGGATCCCTTGACACAAAGCCCAAGTCTGAGCCCAAGGCAGAACCACCTGCCCCAGCCCCCAAGCCAGCACCACCCGCTGTCAAGGCTGTAAAGAAGGAGGAGCCAAGCAGCGAAGAACCCGCAGAGCCCCTCGAGCCCTTTGGCCAGCAGATCCCCTTCGCCGATCCCAACTGGTACCAAGGCGTCAGTACCCCCGAGTCCCCTCTTGTCTCTGCACTTTCACGATGACTGACTGGATTATAGTACCATTCGCCTTACTTCAACGAGACACACGCTGCTCTACGGGCTGAGGTCCGTGAATGGATCGAGAACGAGATTGAGCCTAATGTCACAGAGTGGGACGAGGCCAAGCGTGTGCCGGAGGAGATTTACAAGGAAATGGGCCGCCGTGGCTATCTCGGCGGTCTATTAGGAGTCAAGTATCCCACAGAGTACGCTCAAGCCCCCGCATGTGTGCCCGTGGAGAAGTGGGATCTATTCCACGAGGTTCTGATCACCGATGAGCTCTCCCGGACTGGCTCTGGTGGCTTTGTCTGGAACTTGATTGGCGGCTTTGGCATTGGCTGCCCGCCTGTGATGAAGTTCGGCTCCAAGGCCCTCAAGGATCGTATCATGCCAGGCATCCTCAGCGGCGACAAGCGTATCTGCTTGGCCATTACCGAGCCTGATGCCGGCAGCGATGTTGCCAATCTGACCTGCGAGGCGAAGCTCAGCGAAGATGGAAAGCACTTCATCGTCAATGGCGAGAAGAAGTGGATCACAAACGGCATCTGGTCTGACTACTTCACCACCGCTGTGCGAACTGGAGGGTCTGGTATGAACGGTGTTAGTCTGCTGCTTATTGAGCGCACCGAGGGAGTCAGCACTCGTAGGATGGACTGCCAGGGTGTCTGGTCGAGTGGCACAACCTATATCACATTCGAGGATGTCAAGGTTCCTGTTGAGAACTTGCTTGGCAAGCAAAACCAGGGATTCCGAGGTACGTCTACAACTCAAAGAGTTCACCAGTTCTTTTAAGACTAAAAAACTAACAACTCTCCTCTTAGTCATCATGACCAACTTCAATCATGAGCGTATCGGTATCGTCATCCAGAGCCTGCGCTTCGCGCGCGTGTGCTACGAGGAGTCAGTCAAGTACGCCAACAAGCGCCGTACGTTTGGTAAGAAGCTTATTGAGCATCCTGTCATCCGCATGAAGCTCGCGCACATGGCTCGCCAGATTGAGGCCTCATACAGCTGGCTTGAGAACCTCGTCTACCAGTGTGAGAAGATGGGTGAGACAGAGGCCATGCTGCGTCTCGGTGGACCCATTGCCAGTCTCAAAGCACAGTCCACCCTCACTTTTGAGTTTTGTGCACGGGAGGCTAGCCAGATCTTTGGAGGTTTGAGCTACTCTCGTGGTGGCCAGGGTGGCAAGGTGGAAAGGCTGTATAGAGATGTCAGGGCTTATGCCATCCCTGGAGGCAGCGAGGAGATCATGCTGGACCTAAGCATGAGACAGAGCTTGCGGGTGGCCAAAGCGATGGGAATGAAGCTATAGGTAGATTACATGGAGTGGGCAGGGGTGTATGAGTAAGCAGGAGTTCATTGGAGACATTCAGCCATCTTCACATCTAGAATGGAGAAAACGAGAGACATCAATATTACTTTCCAATCTGCATTGGTCTGGACCTGGGTATCAATCGTTCTCGGCTTGGCAGCTGTGAGGTTCCAATCAATATGCCTGTGCTGCTCACTAAAGAGCCCCATGCACACGTGACCAGGAGGGATTGGGCTGCCTGAGTGCTTTCAGGTAACAGAGCGCACAGACCTCCAACATGTCAAGTTGATGGAGCAGCCCTGGCCAATCAGCAGCCGGAATCGATTTTAGAGAGAAAGCTCCTTCATCCTGGTTCCAAGTCCACTGATCACACACAAGTTTACTACCCTCAACCCACTCCAAATCCACTTACCTTCACGAGATCTTCACTCCCAGCGCTCAACCACACGACTCTAGGCCCTTGAGCCGCGCCAACGACTACACATTCACGACCACAAATTCGCGATCCAGAAACGGCCGTTCTTCCATCCACTTCCACCACCGACTACCTCCTCCCTGCAACACCAACGCACGGATTCCCTCGACTGCCACAGCCATTCTACGACTGGGAAGAATCCCGCGGCTGCTAGCAATTCTTCCTCGCTACATAATACCAAACCTCTCCCCTCAGAACAGTTCGCGGCGACTTTACACCGCTCCACACATCTCATAATGTCCGACCAGCTAGCAGATAAACTGAAGAACGCTTCACTTAAGTACGGCACCACAAAACGTACCCGGTGTCTCGAGGGTTCTGACTTTGACTGACTGTGATTTGCATCAGCGATGGGCCAAATGCTGGGAGCGATAACTGGAAACAAAATTTGAACCTTCCCGCCAAGGATACTAGGCAACAAACCGAGGTGAGTCTCTCGCCTTCTCTAGCCTTCTCTCCAACGGCTTCCCCGCGCACCACAACTGAGCAGTAGCTGACGAGGCACTTTCTCAACACAGGATGTCACCAACACAAAAGGCCTCGAATTCGAAAACTTTGCGCTAAAGCGAGACTTGTTGATGGGTATTTTCGAAGCCGGGTTCGAAAAGCCCTCCCCCATCCAAGAAGAAGCCATTCCTGTGGCCCTGACGGGCCGCGACATCCTCGCCAGAGCCAAGAACGGTACCGGAAAGACCGCCGCCTTCGTTATCCCTGTCCTAGAACGCATCAACCCCAAAGTCACCAAGATCCAAGCACTCATCCTCGTCCCCACACGTGAGCTTGCCATGCAAACATCTCAGGTATGCAAGACTCTAGGCAAGCACCTCGGCGTAAATGTCATGGTCACAACTGGTGGTACTGGCCTTCGAGACGACATCATCCGTCTACAGGATCCCGTCCATATTGTGGTCGGAACCCCGGGTAGAATTCTCGATTTGGCAGGAAAGAATGTTGCCGATCTGAGTGAATGCCCCATGTTCGTCATGGACGAAGCCGACAAGCTCCTCTCGAGTGAATTCACCCCCGTTATTGAACAACTATTGCAATTCCACCCCAAAGATCGCCAAGTCATGCTTTTCTCCGCCACCTTCCCACTCTCGGTGAAGGACTTCTCTGACAGGAATATGTCCAACCCCTACGAAATTAATCTCATGGACGAACTCACCCTTCGCGGTATCACCCAATACTATGCTTTCGTTGAGGAAAAGCAGAAGGTCCACTGTCTCAACACTCTTTTCTCCAAGCTTCAGATCAACCAATCCATCATTTTCTGCAACTCCACCAACCGTGTAGAATTGCTTGCAAAGAAAATCACCGAGCTGGGGTACTCTTGCTTCTACAGTCACGCAAGAATGCAACAGCAAGCTCGTAACCGAGTTTTCCATGACTTCCGAAATGGCGTCTGCCGAAACTTGGTTTGCTCTGATCTCCTTACCCGTGGTATCGATATCCAGGCTGTCAATGTGGTTATCAACTTTGATTTCCCAAAGAACGCCGAAACTTATCTGCACCGTATCGGTCGTTCCGGTCGATACGGCCACCTGGGTCTGGCTATCAACCTGATCAATTGGGACGATCGCTTCAATCTCTATAACATTGAACGAGATCTCGGAACTGAGATCCAGCCCATCCCTGCAAGCATTGATAAGAGTCTCTACGTCTACGAAAACCCCGAGACTATTCCCCGCCCCGTTTCCAACCTTCCTCCACGATCAAGCCAACCCCAGCAGACCCAGAGACTTCCAGGGCCATCTCCTCAACAATATTCGCAACAACAACCCCAGGGTGTTTGGCAGGGCCAACCCACCCTCCAGAATGGACACTCGCAACATTTCAACCAGCAACGGGGCCGTGGCCGAGGTCGTGGTTACCGAGGTCGCGGTGGAGGTGGCCGGGGACGAGGTGCTCCACGTGACATACAAACCTAATACTTCATTCCTGCATGGATGGGCATGGATGGCAAAGGCGAATGGTGTTTTTGGGGTTTGTTTATTGGCATTAATTTTGTACCGGGCTCACTACGATTGTTATTTTTCTTCTTCTTTTTACATTGTTGGATTGTACATTATTCGCCCACTTATGAGCGAAAGGATGGGAACGGCGAACAGGTATCGGTGCTTGCCTTCTTTGCAAATTCGTTCGCTACGGCCGACTGGTTCTCTTATATCTCGACATGGTCCGAAGAGATTGAGCATTGGAGGCGGAAATCAGGACATACTTTGGATGTCCACGCACCACTACAAGCTGGCGAATGGTCTTTTCAACTGACCAGCCTCGGCATCTTCAAGCTTCGATATATGTTATTTCCTTTGCTTCACGAACTTTTACATATGACGGCATAGAGGGGTAAGCAGACCTCTGGTTGGGCCATTGAGGGCTGCGAGGCTTTCTTTTATTCTAGCGGCCGGAGCATTTTCAAGCGATAGTTGCTGGGTGGCTGTCGACTAGAGAACACAGGAGCTGATGAGGAGTGCGGGTATTCTGACATTTATTGGCTCACCGCTCATCCATGATCTTGCTGCTCACCTGGTGTGGAGAGGACATGGAGACTGCGGACGCGAGACGCTTGGTGTCAAGGGGTTTTTCTTTTCCTTTGGTTTGGAGGTGGGGCGAATAGTAAACGGTTCTGATACCTATGATGAGGAACGTCTCATACACACACAAAATTTGCGTTGCTGCTTGGCATGCAGCGACACGCACGCGCAAAGCAGATACTTTTTTGGGGAAGCGGAGGTGGCTTGCTTCCAGCAGTGGTCATATCTCGAACAGTTAACTTACAATATTTCAGGCGTGGGCTCTGGACAAGAGTTACGTTGGAGGTGGTTGCATGTAGCATCGAGTTATCGGCAGCTGTCGAAATGGATGAAACGAGGGGATGATGAGATGATTGGTGACGAGGTCCAGGGGGGACCCGAGGATGTGGAATGAAAAAAAAAAACAGGAAAAAAATATTTTGGGGTGAGAGCGCTGGTTTGGCCAACTCGTCAACCCTCAGACCAGTCAGTGTCTGATGGATGTGACATCCTCAGACCCGTGGCTGGTGGGTTCGGAAAGTCGTACTGAGCAGATGAATGAATATTACCTCTTTCTCTCTCTCCAATCCAATGGTGTAAATTTGTCTTGATGTGATGGGGCATAGAGTCCAATATCTGCCCTCCCAGGTCCCATCTGGGCGTAAACGCGTAGGACCCAGTAAGACCCAGAGTGATACTGCTTGTCCGGACTATGATTCTGAAATTATCTCTATCACAAGAGGAAAACACCCAATGACAAAGAAAAAAAAGTTATCTATCACGCACACTCTCACACAATAACCCCTGGCCAGAAATCTATACACTAAGTCTGTATCCACCGACCATCCTATATTTTACAGTCATAGCATAGAGAGCGGGAGATACTCTACCAAAATTCAGACCTGTATCGCTATCCCTAATTGTTCTTAGTGGCTTGTTTCTCGTCCCTCATCGTCGAGTCCTCCGAGTTATGAGCTGACTGGCGTGGGTGGTGGTCAAACTGGGCGATCGACACCTTCTGGCCGGAGGTTGAGCCTACAATGGGTGTCTAGTTTGGTTTCAGAGCATGTCGGTTCAACGTAGGAAAAAGAATAAGCATTATGAACTGAATAGGAGTTCACATGTGTACGGTGTAGCTGGGTGTAAAAGAGTGGAACTGGCGGTATAGAGCTAAGGCTTCCGGAAACGTCTGATTGCTCCACGTTCTTGCGATTGCGGCAACAATATCGCGATATTTCAATATTTTATTCATTCTATTATAGGCTGGTAAAATTGGCACAGGTACCTAAGACTACACATCATCGACTTCTTACTTGCGTTGGTGCGTAGCAGCCAGCTGTAAACAAATATCTCTCCTACCAATTACATGGCTGTAAAGGTACAAGTTAGAGCCTTAGCTACCCCAAGAACATGGGTAGCTATCTAGATTCTTGACGGAATGGAATTATACACTTCCGGCATAAGCCGTATACTTTGCCACAGTATAAGCAATGGTTCCTTGTCATTCGGAGCCTGCCTTGTACAGCGCCGTAGAAGCATCGAACATGCTGTGGGCCACGAATTGCTTGCAAGTTCTGCATCTCAGATTGATATTGCAACGGTCAGGTGGCAACCCGCCTTGACTTGAAACGATAACAAGGTGAGCTGTAATGTTAGGTTTTGGTGAGGAATTTATATACCTGTCTAACAACGAACCAACATCAATCAGGGATCCACCCATCCAGGGGATCCCTGGCAGAAACAGCGTGGTCTGGTGGTCTAGCGGTATGATTCTCGCTTAGGGTTCACCCTAATGCTTATTTGCGAGAGGTCCCGGGTTCAATCCCCGGCCAGACCCTTCTTTTTATCTTTTCATCAAGATAATAATTGCTGCATACTGGTGTTGATGTATTCAAATTTTGTTTGGGGAGGAGAAGAAAGGCTCCATGGCGCGCACTGCTTGGTGGGTGGGGCGCACTATCCTGGCAAGCTGTATTATTCTCTACCTAGGTAGGTACTTCTATATAAATAGGTTACCAGAATCCCGTTACAGAGCACCAAGCCCTACCATTGCCCTAACTATGGTCGCAATGGGCGGAATAGATGTGAAGAGGACAGTTACCGTACCGAACAAAATCATGGAAAGACTTGAGAGGGCTGCCGCTCTTGGATCGGTGCGGAGGAGGAGAGCTGTGGCAATGGCGCTCGAGTTGACGCCGAGTGTGATGCCTCTTGCGACGTACTCGTCTGCAGTCACATAAAAAAGGTTTTAACACGTCAGCGGAATTCCTGGAAACACTCCATGGTTTGACTGAAATAGAAAGGGGGAATGTTGTGACTCTTCCGTCCATCCCACGAGGAAAGATAAGGGTAACTTACCTTCAGGAATTCCTAGCAATCTCAAGAACCAAGGCCCGGAGACAACACCAAGGATGCCACTAATGATAGCCAGTGCCGCCGCAGTATTGACATCACCACCCAAGTTCTCCGTAGCAGGCGTCGCCAGCGCCAGCGTCAGGCTCCGGCTTGCAAAGGCGAGGCTGCGCTGGGCGGTGATGCCGATGGCGTAGCAGAGCGGCGGGTAAGCGAACAGGGAGGCGATGGAGATGGAGACGTTGGGGATTATGAGGGCGGCCCAGTGGGTGCGCAGCTCTCGGCGGTGCTGGAACATGGGGAGGGCGAGGGCCGTGATGCTGGCGTCGAGGAGAGTCGAGAACATGTCGCCGGCGCCCGGGAGAAGAGCAGCCTGCCCCGAGGGGCGGGAGGCCTGGCGCCAGAGCTGGATGTATTTGGCGCCCGTTCGATACTGGTGCAGGGTCGAAGTCAGGGAAGATCCGGCGGTGGCGGCGAAGGCCCAGATGACGAGGACCGTGATGAGAGAGGAGACGAGGACGGGATGGAGGTAGGTCTTCCAACGCGATGGGAGAGACGAGGCGGCAAAGAAGGCGAGGACGTTTATGGTCAGGTGGAGAGGCATGGCGTAGCCCGTGGAATAATACACGGGGATTCCTACGAATAGAAACAACAGCCCAAAGATGGTGAAGTCCATGTGGGATACCAGAAGCGCGGCCCAACGCTCAGGCCTGGGTGCTGGTACAGGAGCCTGGGTATGAGTGGGAACGAGAGCATCGAAAACATGTTCCGGAGCGACATGCTCGCCATGGTGATGGCCCTGGAGACGCATCTGTGGCGGTGTCTGTGGCCGGGACGGTATTGGAGACTCGATATCCTCTTCTGCTGATGGTGCTGTATAATGGGAAAGGCTCGGTGGCCCTGACTGCCCGGACAGCGCCGCGCTGTTGTCCGCCAGAAGAATCCCATCACTAAGATCCTCAGCTCGTTGAGTGCGACCTCGCTTTGATGTACCAAGGAAAAGCTGTACGGCTCTGGTGAGGTAGGCTGCCATGGCCATCATAATGAAGAAGCCAATCACTTAGTAGTTCATGATTAGCCAGTTAGCTACAAGAGAGACTTCAGGAGCATCTTACAGAAGACTGCGATGATTTTCAAGACCTCTACAATACCGATTGGCGGGCTCAACGCCAGGAGCACGAATGAAGGTGTGAAGAATACACTGATCCATTGCAGAGACCATCCAGCCTGAATTGTTCAAAAGTCACTTAGTGCTACCTCGTCCGCGCAAGAACAACGGATACATACCGAAATATCAATGACAGATATGAGCCGCCTCGTTCGGTGGCTGCCAAGGGTTACTTCTGAAATGATGAGACCGACGAAGAGGAGGACTAGGCAAAACACCGATGCCGGGAATGAAACATTGGCTTTTCGAAGTAATGAGTCAACACCAAAGCAAGCGGCCAAGTTAACGAGAATGCCAATCGGGACGAGAATCCATGACCGAAACAGCTTGTGTGCGGAGGATGTGATTGCCTGAAAGTGTCACTATGCTTTTCTCCAATCGTTGTTTATTGCCATCCCCGGAAACCGCCTTTGATCCCTCTCACACACACAAACACTCATGTTCTGAACAAGGGATCTTGAAGTACTTACAATTTTAGCGGCACCGAGTCCATCACACAGCACCGCGGGCGGCTTTGTGCTGCGAAGTCCGGGCATCTGAATTGATCCAATCATCGCACCACACGCTTACAAGTAATATGACAGGAAAAAATCAAGTGCAAACAGGACGAAGAAGAGAAGTGGCAAAGGATAGCGAATGACGGAGCAGCTCCGGTTGTCCGCCGAACAGACCCGCTCACTAGTCGGTCTTATCTTCGGATCAAGCACCGACCTTAGATGCCAGATTCGATTCATTTAGCTTGGCAGGTCCTTATTGTTTGATCCCTGCCGATGACTCAGTAGCCTACCGAGGAGAGTTGCGACATGTTGTGGACACTCTGCTGACGAGGCTCGAAGTCTAGATGAGAACAACTACCTGGCTAAGAGAGCAACCTGCCCAGGGGTGAACCATTTTAAGACGTTGCAATGGCTTCATATAAGACTGCTAGAGGATACAGGGTCAGACTTGATCGGGAATAAAAGAGAATCAAAGCTCGCCTTTTCATGAATTCATCTATCGATTGTTTCATCCACTTGTGGGTATGATATTGTACTTCACGTCACGCAGTTCGTGAGAATCGGGAGAAAACTCGGCCTCCTTTAAGCAAGTTCACACTGCCTTTGGCCGCTGCTTGCAACCACATTGTCCCTTAGCTCCTATTTGCCCATTGCGAAGCGGTAGAGACAGAGACGGATGGCTAGGTTCTGCTCCAGCGATTCTAGGTCTTCCGCGAAAACACCCGCAACGACTCAACCACACGCGCGCTCTCCTCTCTCACGCCCTTGCACCGTTCGCACTCGCCCAGGACTTCTTGATCGATCTTCTTGAACACGTACAGGCCGCAGTCACGCACGCACGGCTCCGTCCCCACGAACAATTCGGAGCTGACGATCCGTCGGCAATGTTCCGTCCGGCACACCAGAGTGGCAAGGTTCTTGAAACACATCTTTTTCTGTATAAGGGAGTGAGACTTGGGCTTTTTTCCTTGGTTATGTGAGTCACCGAACGTTTGCAGTCATGAGGCTAATGATAGGCTCTTCTTTTGGAGGGGGGGGGCCTGATGAAGAAATTTGGGAGCCGGTTTCTGCGTTTCGGGGTTTATCCTGGAGACGCCTTCTCCTTTATAGATTTCTGCCTGGTCGCTTTCCGGTAACCGGCTTCTTCTCCTTTGTGCATGTTATAGGCTGTGAAGCCGCAGAGAAATAAGAGGGATTGGATTCTCTGAACAAGGCTCTTCCAAGCGTACCTAGAGCCTCTGCCGGGGAACGTGCGGTGTAAAACAAGTCAAGCGAATGTTGATGTTCTAATTTCCGCTAAAATTCTCAGTCAGTCATTGTTTCCCTTTGTATTATTAGACTCTAATTGTTTGCGCAATTCCGACGCACCTCAGATACAGCTGTCTTTGTCATTGTTCATATCGGGGAAAGAGCAATAAACAAGAACGAAAGACAAGAGACGGGAACTAATTTGGAAGAAGGGAAAATCTAGAAACAATCTAGAATCCTAACAATCTGATAAGAAGCTCAAGGGGAATTCTGCACGTTTTCCTCGCTTACTGCGTCAGTGAATGGGGAGCGCTCAGCAACCTCGACAGGGCGCCGGGTGAAGACGCCCATGTAACGCATGATCGGATGCTACTTCCCGCTTCTAGAAACACGATGAGGCAGGCTGCGGAGTGATCGCCCAGGAATAGGCAGATGGTGAAGCCCACCGGCGGGATTACATGCATACGTACATAAGAACCGTCCGTTTCCATTGAAGAGCGGGAAGGTAAGCGAAGTCATACTGCACTATCCACGGATGCACCCATTTCCAGTGCTGCCCATATATATGTGAGGCTATCATACAACGAAACATCAAGAGACAGGTCAAAACTTTGCTGCGTGGGCCGGTTCTCAATATGGGTGGTTATGATGAGGAGTGGAAGACGGAGCATGCTTTCCAATGCAGCAGTGATGAATATCTACCCATTTGTCTCAACCCCTCTCCCCCAAGAAAATAACGCCATTAACCGCCGGAGGAGCTCCAAAACCAGATAAAAAGAGAGAGAAAAGTATATATATGCCTATCGTAACACATGCTTCTTCGTAGATCACACAACGTTCCTGTACACTAAGCCCCTAGGTTAATTCTCTACTCCAGCTTCCCCCTCAGGGCATCAACTTCTCGCTGCAGGGCAGTGAGGTCGGCCAAGATCGAATCGCCATGGCCAGGTTCAATGTCATGAGGCTCTTCCACCAAACTGGGCACGGCCCTGGGGGTCCCGTCTACGCTTGCCCTTGGCACTGGTCCGTCCAAGCTGCTTCTACTACTGCCTCTTTTCCGAGCTGGTGGGGGAGGTGGTGGTGCGCCATCTCGGTTTCTGCTTTCGCCGGACACAGTCCGAGAAACCGATGGCGTATCCATGCTAATGATACTGGATGGTCGACGAGTTGATGGATTTCGTGTGGGGGGCCGAGGCGGAGCTTGTCCCTTTGTATGCCCCGTTTGAACATCGTAGTGGTTAGTAGATGACCCAGCCGGTAATGATACATCCGACGACGACACTAAAGGGCCGGAATCAATGTAGTTCTTTGGTGCGTGCATTGGGCTTGGGGGGATTTGGAAGTTTGAAGATGTCGGTGACGGCTGGAGACTAATTGGTCGGAGTGGCCGTCTTGGTGGTGGTGGAGCAGGTGCCGCCGAACTGCTCTGAGTGCGGACACTGTTTGAACGCGTGGGGACTGAATCTGACGATGATCGAGATTGCAAATCATCCTCCTGGAGTCCTTTCGCCGATATCCCCCCCAATGATAATGGTGTAACTTTACTTTCCCCCCGAGAATGGCCTCTCCGAGGTGGTGGTGCGGGTGCGGGTTTCTTGGCACTGTGAAGGTCCTGATCCACAACCTTTTCCAACACCGCATCGGGTTGATGCTTTACTGGCCCAGGAAGTTCATTCGGGGTCGAGTTTTGGGCGTTGATGCCAGTGTCTGGAGCTTCCGGCGTATCCACTCCGTCCTGGAGTTCCTTAGAGCCACGCCTGATACTTTTCCCATGGCGAGAGCTTGGTGGTGGAGGCGGTACCTTCTTTCTAGATCCGATTTGTACTGTGACACTCGAGTCCGATACCTCATCCTCTGGCGTCTGTTGTGAGCTTGCCGCTGAGCTCCTCCTTTCTAGCGCAGAAGGTCTTCCGGCCTGTGCAGCCGTCGTGCTAATGCCAAGCCCACCATCCCCGTCGACTTTTCCAGTCATGAGCAGGCGTTGGAATGAGCTCACGTCCAGGGAGGCCTTGGCCTTGCTCGCCGCCTTGAGAGCAGCACCCTCCTCTCTGCGCTCCTCCTTCAGGCCTTCCTTCTTCACATTCTCCATGTCGTGCAGCGTCTTGCTGAACGGATTCGCAGGCGGAGCTGCATTCTGACGAGGTTGCACCTGCAGCTGCAGAGGAAATTGTGGTTGTTGCAGTAGTGGGGGCGGGGTATCGCGATCGGTCTGCTCATAGAGGCCATTGCCGAATGGGTCGTCGGCATTCGGTGCGTAGACTGGCGCCGGGTTGGAGGGCCATTCGGGAGAGTCGGGCGATATGGGCGGAGGTGAGAGAACGCGGACTTTCTTGACGACCTTGGGCTTCTTCTCTGCTGAGCCCGAGGCTTCCGGGGAGGTGCGAAAGCTCGTGTGAGGTGGTTGAGGGGAGGGCGTGCTGGCGGGAGAACCGGTGTCGATTGGGCTGGCTGTCGAGAACCTGCTCACGAGATGCGATCCCTTGCTGCGGAACGGGTTGGACGACGCCATGTCGTGCCTTGGGAGGAGTGAGATTGGCGTGCGGTACTGATGGCTAGCTAGGAGTCGTCAGGGCATGGAGGGACGCAGGTCCCACGCCATCATTCTACTTGGCCAGGTGAGATTGGATAGTAATATCCCCGGCCGAGTTTGGGAGAACGAGCGCAAGGAACAGCCCTGGGAACAACCAACACAGAGCAGAGGCGAGGGATCGAATATCTGACACTCGTCTGCACGCGAATAATATGCGCCTAAATACCGGGTGGATGGGATGGGAACAGCTTGGCTGCTGCTTGTGCCACGGGGAAGGTCGTTGCGGGTCCGTCGGAGGCACAGCGCTGGGAACTGGGGATATGCGGTGGGCAGGCGAGACGGATGGAGGCGAGGCAGGTAAGGTGCATTAAGCTGAGTTGCAGGAGTACCCGAGACTGTCACCAGGCTTACGCAAAGAGCCCAGTACCGCACTATCCTGCGGCTCTCCTCCACACTGGCCTTCACAAGCCAGTGCTCCAGCTACTGGCTATCTCACCTGGCATACCGACCGCTAGGCCGAACTCAAGCTGCTCTAAAAAAGGACGAAGCCTCTTTTGCTCTAATGAATGACGACATGTTTTGACGCGTCCATCTGGTGGTACCGCGCCGCCCATGTTAGCTTCCTACCCTATATATATCGGCCAGCACTCCTTGAGGTTCGCTGCAAGAGGATCTCTGCTTTGAATATACTAATATTTGCATCTAGATGCGCGTAATTCTACCGTTTTGCGCATCTGTGGCTAGTTTCGACGTGTTGTCGTGCTCGGGGCTCTCAAGACTCCCGGTATGCCAATACATGAGGTGATTTAAACCTGTGCTATAACGGCGGGGTTAGCACATGGATCATACCTCTCTACCCGTACATCACCAAGGTGTTTCCCGACGAACGGTTCAAGGATACTAGCAATTAGAATAACGTAATGCATGATGATACTTACTCCCTTGCCTCGGAAATTATTGCAGTACCTGAGGTGGCATGCAAATGTCCCAATCGTCTATCTATTTTGGAAGCCTGCACACCACCAAATCTACCACCGGGTAAGCAATGTGGATGACCACTGCCTCGCATCACTGCTGTCCAATCTCGATACATATTTCCACCTTTGATTCTTCAGGGGCCCCTTGACCACACTTTATTGCCCTGGTGGCGACATACAAAAAGGAATGAAGCTTCTGACTGTAAAGAAAACTCAAAGATCGCGTGACAACCAGATCTCCATAAAGCACCAGCAGCTTCAACCTACCCCTCCCGAACCAGCCGCGCGAGCTAAGTACCGGTTCAATCAGCGTTGGTATTTGCGGTGGAATTGCGTGGCAGCTAGTAAAATTAAGTTTAAAAATAGTAGAGCCCGTTCCTCTCATGGAGACATGTGCCGGTGTTGCGCCACAGGGTCCCGGAATGTGGCTGGTGTTTACCGGCCCACACCGTCTGTGGCTGGGGGCCAGAACCCACTACGCGAGACTCCCGACTTACACCACGCGCAGCAGACAGCTGGCAGAATGCCACGCATTGCGTGCAATCACGACGCTATTTGCGGAGCCGTACCGTGCCTTGGTGGCGACCGTTTCGTCTTCGCATCTCCCTCCTAGACATCATTCGCAGGATTACGAAATTCGTGTTAAAGTATAGCCCTCCAAAACGGACGAGCCTGCATTTGCATTTCCTTCCTACCGCCAAACGACCTCGATATTGCAGCCAAAAATCTTGGACGGTGAGGGGGCCGCTCCAGAATTGCCCAATTGCAGTGCGCCACTCGCAATATATAAATACAAGCAACATCCCGGCAAAACCAGCGCCCAACCCAACGCGTACGCGCATCAAAACATTGCCTTCGCTTCCCTTTGCTAACACAGGACCTAAAAAACCCTACTGCAACCCAGCCCTTTCCCAAAAATAAAATGTGAGACCATAACGCCATGACCAGTCATTAAGCAGCTTCATCGGTTACCACAGAATAGAGCGTATCTGACTTATGCCTTGGCGGCAGCCTTCTTGGGCGCAGCCTTCTTAGTGGTGGCCGTTGTCTTCTTGGTGGCAGCAGGCTTCTGAGTCTTGGTGACGCGACCAGACTTGGTCTTGGTGAGAGTAGTCTCGGGCTTCTCGGCCTAATAAGAGTTAGTACATAACTACTGGGAGGAAGATGTGGCAAGGGACTGACCTTGGCGGCAGCCTTCTTAGGAGCGGCCTTCTTGGGTGCAGCAGCCTTCTTCTCAGTGGCAGCCTTGGTGGTCTTGGGGGCGGCGGCGGCCTTCTTGGGGGCAGCGGCCTTCTTCTCAGTAGTGGCCTTGGTGGCAGTCTTCTTGACCACGGTCTCCTTCTTGGGAGCGGGGGCGGCCTTCTTCTCCTTCTTAGGCTCGACCTTCTTCTTGGCGAGCTTGGTGCCACCAGAAGGACCCTTGGGCTGCTCGAAGATGTCCTTGTCGACACCGTTCTTCAGGGCCTTGTTGAACAGAGAGTCGAACATCTTGTCCGAGACGAGGTTCAACTGGTTGTTGGCCTTGACATACTTCTTGAGAGACTGACGGCTATGGGACAGTTAGAAACGATGGATTGAAAGACGAGGGCGATGATCAATTGAAAATAATTGTGCTTGACATACCTTGAGCCATTGCGGTCCTTGAGCTGTTGAGGGCGACGCGTTAGCAAACATTGCATGATTCAAATGAAATTGGTGTGGTGGATGCGAATCCCCTCAGTTGGATCACAGGCCGCCATCATGCGAGCGGGCGCCGACAGGATGGGTGGCCCAGAAACGCGCAATGCGCCGGAGGGGCAGGAAGCACAAAACATACGTTGACAATAGCATCAATAATCATGTCCTATCATCTCTCTGTTAGACAACGTACTTCTGATTGAGCCGAAGAGAACAAACCTGGTAGCTGGCGTGGCTGGCCTTTGCCTTTGGGGCGGCGGCGGCCTTCTTGGTGGTAGCAGCGGGGGCCATTGCGTCGGTTGGGGAGTTGTGTTGGAGTGAAGTGGAATGAAAGGGCGAGTGTCTGATGTGAGAGACTGTGAAAGTCAGAGGAGCAGAAGAAGATCTGGCGATGAAGAGACGAGTTTACAGAGAACTGATACGACAAGCAAGTGACCTAACTCGAGGGGCAGCGCCGGGCGCGCGACGAGGGGATGGGGCTTGTTTATATATGAGGCGGGGCGCAGAGTCACAATCAGTAATAGCTCTTACCCTCCCGGACCCCCGGTCCAGAATCAGTGGGAATTTAGAAAGAATGATCCACGACCCACCTGCTTCCCTCTGCCTGTCTGCCTGTGCTGGGCCCTGGCCACGACTGTTTCTGGACGGTGTGGGTGGGCATCCATTGATGGCACTGCATGCCCGTGCGGCGCCGGCTGATAGCAGAACTGCTTGCTGCCACACTCCACCCGCGCTGCCTTTTGGGTTGGGCACACGGCTCCCGGTGCTGGCGCCACAGCTCAGGCGGCCCTGTGCTCAGAAGTGCGCGGGATGCGACAGTCGCCAGCACGGGCTGGGCCAAGCTGCAGGATGCTTCAGCCATAATACCACACCAGATGACATCTGCAAGAGGAGCGGAGCGGTGTCTGGCGCTAAGTCAAGCTGCTGCCCGAAAATGGGAAAATGATACTTGGAGCGCGTCCCATTTTTCTGATTGGTCGAAGCTCTGGCATCACGTCCACCCTTTCTTTCGTCCATCAGAGCCTTTGGGGTGTGATCTGATTTGCGACAACACATGGACGACAGATGCTGCCCTCCCCCATCCCCCCAACACCCGCCCTCTCTGCGTTCCCCTTCTTCTTGCTCTTCATTTTTGCTACCCTCCATTACGAGCAAGGACGGACGAGTCATTTTCTGCTTCTTGTGTTTTGTTTTTTTCCATCCCCTGCAAAAGTTCTGCACTAGCGCTCATGGTGTGCGACATCTGTTCCTCTGCATCACCTCGTCAAGGTTCTTGCAGCTAGACGCCGCCGCTCATCACCTCGAGTCGCACATTCTTTTCCCTTCCCAATTGTAGACTGCCACATGTATCGTGCATGCCAAAGCCGTAGCTTTCTTGTAATTTGTATAATTGTTTCCCTTGTGATAAAGAAATATCCCAGCCCGTTTAGGAACCTGTCGGGTGTGTGCGAAAGTAGCCACCAGGTCTGGGAGGGTGAGGGCAGGCGTAAGTCTGGACCAGCAATCTGAAGCCATCACGCAAATTCAATGCATCACAGATTGTCCTCATTGTGTGGCTGTGTTCCTGGAAAATGTGGCATTTCCCTAATTTTCAAACGCAAATCGAGTACTTCCTGGGTTGTCATAGTTTTTTTCCCCCTTGGAACCCGGATTGTTGGGAACTTCGTTGCTTGACCTCGATTCCCGTGAGTGTGGTGATGAGGGGTCGAGACACACCACCCGCGCGTAGAACCTGCTCTTGCCACAACTTATCGAATGGATCGCGAGAAAGAGAATGCGGCTTATTGCATTAAAAATCTCATTTAAATTACATACATAAATGTTAATGCTTTAAGCAGCGCGTGACCTTCCAGCATCGCTGTCCCGAGCCATTTGCCCTTTCGCTCGACGCGACCGTGATTGCGACCGTCGCCAAACCAAATCTCGCCAAGCAACAGTGGTTGCGTGTCTTTTCTTGTCCAAACGCTACAGTCAAATGACCTCTTTCTTCATATCCTCCCTTTACTAGCAGTACTCCAGCCATCCCCCCTTCGTCATCACCTCCTCATTTCTGTGCCATCTCCACGGGCGGTATGTATGGGATTCCAACAAGGTTGGTGTTGAGCCGTCGAGATTGGCAACAAGGTGTAGCCGAGAACCAGAAAATCCAATCATTTAAAAATACGGCCCTCAATTATTTCATTTTCAGGCAGACATCTTCCCTCCTTCCCTCATTTGAGCTTTGGGTGGCCAAATGCATTTGGACGAGAGGGTGACGTGTACGGGGATACGCACTAGCTGGAGTATTGCTGAGACAGGAGTAACCTCAGTGACATTATCTGGCATGGCTATAACCCTTAAAACCACTGAATATACGAGCTTCTATTCAAGGATTTACTAAGATTTTTTTCTTTTCTGTATCAATCTTGGTTGACCCATCCCCTCAGACTTTTGTTGGCGCGCGAGCGATCTAATGAGGCGGCGACTGATGGATCACGTGGGTATTTGTCAACCTCTGCAAAGAGAACAACGGAGGAAGGGGGGCTATCTAGCTCTGATATTGGTAACCTATTCTTAACCAGGAGACTAATGAGACATCGTATTTACATACAGATGGAATACGGGCATCGTCGCATTCACCTTTCTTCACTGAATAGAGCCGGCTTCAGCTGTGGCTGGCGGCAATTAAATCTACAGTATGATACGATTGCCCAGAACCAACGATGAGAACTGCAAAATATTCCAGATAGACACTATGTAAACTGCCCATTTCTTCTAGAACCACGATCGGAAGAGATACAGGCAACGTGGCGGGATGTACATAGCTGGCCAAGCAACTGGAGGCTCTGATATCTGCGTCTCGACCACAGTGCAGAGCACAGTGTTAGCATACAGGGTGCACTTACACAGCCACCAATCAGAGGCGGGCGGAACGTGGCCGCCTTTCCAGATGGGAAGGGAAAGACCGACCCTCCTGCGCCCGAAAAGGCCAGCAAGGCAGGCGCTAGAGAGGGAGAGCTCAGTCCACATTTTAGATGGATCTCGAGCCAGGTGCTGGCTTCGAACTTGGAGTAACCTGCTTCTAGGCAAGCAGCTTCGACCAAGCCTGTGGCTCCATTTTGGTTGTTTTGTTCCCCTCGGCAAGCATGAGGAGCTTCTCGACCTTTTAACAATTGTTTTTGCTTTCTCTTGGTCTTCACTCTCCCATTCTCCCTCGCTGCGGCGCGTCGAAAAAACCCCCCACCCCGCCTTCTCCTATCTCATATATATATGGTCGATCCCACCAGTTTCTTCGCGCACCCTGTACCCTCGACCTTGAACCCAGAGGCCCCCGAACATGGCCGACTACTCCCAATACCACGCCCTTGGCCAGGGCGAGGTCATTGATCCCAACGATCCCGATCGAACGACCGCACCTGCTCCTCAGCAATTCCAACAGCATCCCCCGCACCCTCAATACCAACAACAACAATATGGAGCTCCCCAGTTTCAGGGAGGAGTATCTGCACAGCCAGGAGGGCCTCCAACCCCCGGTTCAGCATATGCCTCGCCGGTACCTCCTGCGGGATTTCAGTCGCAAGATGCTGCGCTGGCAGGACAGATGGGAGGGATGAACCTAGGCGACGGCACCGGCACATTGCGAAAAAAGAAGAAGGATAGGCATGCATACCATATGGTTGAGGCAGCTGGGTCTTCGCAACCTTTCAGTGGAATGCCACCACCCGGCACTCCCACCTCACAATTTCTAAACAGCCCAGCAACGCCAGCCGCTCAGTTTCCAGTACCCGGGAACAATGCCTACACACCTGGAGTGTTTGCTCCTGCTCCTGATGTCCTAGGGGTCGGAGCCAGAGCCCCCGATGCTTCTGCGACGATTTCAACATCTGGGCCCAGCAAGGTCACAGCCGATGACCTACCCAGCGTCCCAGCCTCGCGTGACAGTGTCCAACAATACTTCCTGAAGAACGTTTATCCCACCTTCGAGCGCCATGTACCTCCGCCTGCCGCGGTATCCTTCGTTGCCTTTGACCAAGGGAACGCCTCCCCCAAATTCGCCCGACTGACGCTCAACAACATCCCTGCTACTTCAGATGGCCTTCACTCCAGTGGGCTTCCCCTCGGGCTTCTGCTCCAACCTCTGGCTCCCCTACAACCTGGCGAGGCTGAGATACCGATTCTCGATTTTGGGGATGCTGGCCCTCCTCGGTGCCGACGATGCCGCGCATACATTAATCCATTCATGATGTTCCGGTCTGGTGGTAACAAATTCGTCTGCAACTTGTGTACACATCCCAACGATACGGCGCCGGAATACTTTTGCGCCACAACACCTCAGGGTGTACGGGTGGACAGGGATCAGCGCCCTGAACTTCATCGTGGAACTGTAGAATTCGTGGTACCCAAGGAGTACTGGACGCGTGAGCCAGTGGGTCTGAGGTGGCTATTCCTTATCGATGTGACGCAGGAGTCGTACAACAAGGGCTTTTTGGAGGCATTCTGTGACGGAATCCTCGCCGCTCTATATGGCGGCGAAGATCAGGAAAAAGACGAAAACGGCGACACAAAGCGAAGGATACCCGAGGGAGTCAAGGTTGGCTTTGTAACCTACGACAAGGATGTTCACTTCTATAATGTTCAGGTGAGTCTCGTAAGCAACATGAAGGCTGTGTAATTATTGCTAACTCGCACAGGCTGGATTGGACAGTGCTCAAATGATGATCATGCCCGATCTTGAGGACCCCTTTCTCCCTCTTGGTGAGGGATTGTTCGTTGACCCGTACGAATCCCAGTCTGTAATCACTTCCTTGTTGACTCGCCTGCCGGAGATGTTTTCCAAGATTAAGAATCCCGAGCCGGCTTTGCTTGCTGCGCTTAACTCTGCTCTAGCTGCTCTTGAGAAGACTGGCGGAAGAGTTTTATGCTCATGCTCTGCTCTGCCCACCTGGGGACCTGGCCGGCTGTTCATGCGGGATGATGGCAATCACCCAGGTGGCGAACTTGACAAGAAGCTGTATACTACGGAGCACCCTGGTTGGAGAAAAGTAGCAGAGAAGATGGCCTCTTCTGGCGTCGGTTCTGATTTCTTCCTGGCTGCACCGAACGGCGGATATCTTGATATCGCCACTATAGGTATGTTAATGTGGGAGGATATTCTGAAATTGGAGCCAGCACTGATGGGTGATAGCACACGTTTCCGCTACGACTGGCGGCGAGACATATTACTACCCTAATTTCATTGCTCCTCGCGACAGTCTCAAGCTTTCAGGAGAGATTACTCATGCAGTCACACGAGAAGTTGGATTCCAAGCCCTGATGAAGGTTCGATGCTCCAACGGCCTACAGGTTTCGGCCTACCATGGAAACTTCATCCAGCACACATTCGGAGCCGATTTGGAGATTGGTGTTTTGGATGCAGACAAGTCCCTGGGTGTGTCATTCAGCTACGACGGCAAGCTTGATGCGAAACTCGATGCTCACTTCCAGTCCGCTCTGCTCTACACGACGGCTTCGGGTCAGCGCAGAGTCAGATGCACGAATGTCATTGCTAGCGTCAGTGACACCTCGAAGGATGCTGGTACCCGTGAGCAGGGAATCCGTGAATGCATGAAGTTCGTCGACCAAGATGCAGTTGTTTCTATTTTGGCAAAGGAAGCATGTACCAAATTTGGAACAACGTCGAGCAGCCTGAAAGATATCCGTAACTGGATTACCGAGCGGACTATTGATATCCTAGCCTGTTATCGAAAGCATTCTGCCGTGCAGCACCCCCCTGGCCAGCTCGTCATGCCAGAGCGCTTGAAGGAGCTGAGCATGTACTTGCTTGGTCTCATGAAGTGCAGGGCATTCAAAGGTGGTATCGAGTCCTCCGATAGAAGAGTGAGCGAGATGCGCATGGTCCGAGCCATGGGCGCTCTTGAACTGAGCCTATATCTCTATCCCCGGATAATCCCCATCCATAATCTACAGCCGGAAGATGGATTTGCTGATCCAGAGACGGGTCACCTGAGGATGCCTCCAGCTATCCGGGCATCATTTTCACGTGTCGAGCCTGGTGGCGTCTACCTAGTTGAGAATGGCCAACAATGCTTGATTTGGTTCCACGCCCAAACGTCACCCAATCTGATATCCGATCTGTTTGGTGCCGATAAGGACGACCTGAAGAGTCTTGACGCGTATACGTCGGCTCTGCCTGTGCTTGACACCCATCTTAACGCACAGGTCCGAAACATGATTGAGTTCCTGAAGACGTTGCGTGGATCCAAGGCCCTGACCATTCAGCTGGCAAGACAAGGTATTGACGGCGCTGAATTTGAGTTTGCTAGAATGCTGGTTGAGGATCGAAACAACGAAGCGCAGAGCTACGTGGACTGGCTTGTGCATGTGCATAAGGCTGTTCAGCTTGAGGTGAGCCCAATCCTAAATACACGTATCTGATTATATACTGGGCTCGACTAACAGTTCCATCAGCTGAGTGGTCAACGTAAAAAGGAGGCGGAAAGCGACTCCACTAGCTCTTCGGGTGCGCTCACCAATTTTAGTGGCCTACGACCGGCCTATTGGTAATGAGCCGCGAGTGACCGATAATTATTAGTGATGGCCTACAAAGAGGCTCGGAGGAGGGATGACGACAATGATGATGATGATGGGCGGCGACAAGAGGCCGGAGAGCCAGATTATTATACACGGAGGAGTTCATCTGGAGGCAATACCTTCCCTCCCCTCCCAACACCCCCTTTTATGATGCATACATAGGCGAGCCGCGTTTAGCGGAGGGGAAAATGAAGAAGAAGAAGAAGAAGAAGAAGGAAGCAACGACAATCTCCTTTTCATTGGTTGAAGCACTCGCCCCCATCTTGAAGATAAATACAATCCTGTTCATTCCACCCAGTCTTTAATTGAAACGCCTTGCATGTTGTGAAGTCAACTTGGTGGCCTTGCCATATTTTATGGTCTCTTTACCTGCTCACCTTTTAAAGTCCAAGATTTGCTAGAGAATTTTCATGAAAAATCCATCGATGGCTTGTTGGCTTCATGTACCGACCACCCTGGATCCCACTATAGAATGAGGTCGGGCAATAGAGGAAATAGGGCTTCCTTAGAGTGGGTTGCAGCATGCACGTAGCCCCAAGTGAGCCTTCGAAAACGGCTGGCAATCAGCCGGGTCAAGAGGTTTTCCGCCCAGATAATTTAAGTGGCGCAAGCAATCGGATTGGTTGGGTGCATATAAATGTATGTACGGCATGTTGCACAGCTTGGATCGAATCACAGGACCGAGTAGCCGAGATGATGCACAGCGCCCCTTGTAAACTAGGCAATGACACACGAGCTTTTTGAAGAGGTACTAGCCCAAGATGATGCCAGTGGCTTAGAAAAGTCATTACCGGCAAGGCCGATTTGGGTTTCAATCGTCTATGATGAAGCTCCGTTGTGCATGCATTATGTTCAATCATACATCATCTCTGACTAAATGCTGCTCAATGCCCTCTTTGGGACGCCGGTCGAAACAAAACAACAAGACCAAAGTTCTTTTCTCTTCTTCTTCTTCTTCTTCTTCTTCTTCTTCTTCGTTGGGTTACCTCTTTCTGGGCTCCTGCTTCCCCATTGCCTCACATCTGTGGGTGCATGTTGGGGCTGCATATGTACGTGGGTGCGTTGCTGCATATGCACGACACCCTGCAACATGCTTGCTTGACTGCCATAATGGCCTAACAGATCAACGGATTGGGAAGGGGGGCTTAGCTTTGAGTTCATGGGGGCATCCTGACAGGACCCCGCAGAGTTTTGGTGTACGTGATGACATGCACTTTGGACATCGGAGGCTTGCAGGTGAAACAGGGTCAACGCACTATGATGACCCTAAGGTAGATAATATTGCTTGAGGCTGGGATGGACCAAGTTGCCCAAGTACTAAGCCTGCAAATGTGCATTGGACCGATATCGGTGACGTGTTAAAAAAATCCCAAAGAGATTCATTCCATGGTACTCTCCTTCCACCCCCTTTTCTGATTCCCCCGTTCTCTCTTTGGTTTCAACATCTGCCATATGTCTAATAAAATAAACCCCACACTTTTATTCCGTTCGCTTCATAATTCCTTCGTCACAGTGACTGCCGGCGTCACATATAGAAAGAAAGTCTAAAAACTGAGAAGATGCACGCCACCCCTTAACCGAAGGCTCCAGGCGTTCTGTAAGAGACAAACCAAAAAAAAAAAGCGCGTTACATGATGTTCGATACTGAGTCAGCCTCCCCTCCACCCTCCCCATTCGTGATGTAGCAACAGGTGCCAGCGTCAGGATCAGCCAAATGGCACTGGATCACTCATCCCCATGAGTAATGGTCTCCAGCGAGTACCGTGGGTCAGGCCGGCTCAAGACACGCTCAATCTCCATCTGGTCAAAGACTTGCTCAAAGATGCGTATGTCGGTGACCGAAGAGCTGGAGGTTCGCGACGACGAGGAGCCAGAGCTTCCCGAGGTCCGCGATGATGAGGTAGAGTCACCAGAGGACCGGTGGCGGCTTTTGCTGCTGCTACTCTTCGAGGCCTTCTTGGTCAGCTCATCGACGATCAGACGCGCCGTGCTCTGGCTGGGGTCGTCGAAGATGAAGCTGACGTAGGCGAACTGGCCGCGTAGGTCAGGGTCGAAGAGAAAGAGGTCGCGCCAGATCTCGGCCACCTCCTGCGGCGGGTTGCGGTGGCCGTTACCGAGGCCAAAGTCGCCGATGACGACGCGGTTGTAGCCGTTGTACAGGCAGATCCGGAGGGCGCCGCCCATCTTCTCCCGCATCATCTCGCGCTCCTCGGAGAAGGAGTACTTGGTGCCGTTGTCCTTGAGCTTAGGCCAGCGGGTAGGGGGAACCGAGATGACGGGCATATCGAACCATCTGTCGTACCTATGGTAGTGCTCTGCCTCACCGCGGTAGACGACGACCGAACTGGAGAAGATGCCGCCGCCCGAGGGGATGGGGTAGTGGGAGGACACGTTTGTGCCTGGTAAAGGCGACTTGAGGGTCGCAGAGAGGTTGCTCCGCCGGCACAGCTTCTCCTCATAGCCGGCACAGCTGGTTTCCCAGTCTCCTCCAGCGCGGCGCTCATTGGCGGCGCAAATGAAGGGAATGTTGATTCTGTTCCTTCCGCTGGCCTCGTCGCTCTGTCCGTCCATCATGCCCCATTCGATAGCCCTGGACACAGGGTCACCAGTCTCCACGACAAACATAGGAGGTCGCGTGCTGTAAGTCCGGCGTTGAAGCTCTATCTGGGATTTGGGGTGGTGGTATAGAACAGAGTATGGTGGGAACAACTGAGAGTATTCGCGGTTGATCATGTTGATAAAGTTTTTCTTCGTGTCAGCCGCCACATCTGACGGCCTCACCTTGCCATGGCGGGAACCGGGAGCCATATTGAAACGAATCAAAGATATACTGTTGAAGAAGAGAGGTATGATAATGAAGCAAGAACAAGACTCTTGTAATAAGGTGCTACCAAGTTGTAATCTTGCCAGCCCATTCCAGAATGGGGAGAGGGGGGGTAAATATATACAGAAGAGAGAAAAAAAAAGAAACAAGGTCGTAGAGAGAATATAACGCCAGGAAGATGGATATTTGCTTTTGCCCTCGATTCAGAACAGACTTGATGCCGCACAGACGGATTCACGAACGAGTACTTACAGCTCGTGTAACTCTATACTGGCGATCTTGAACCGAATGTTAGAAACAGATTCATTCACAACCGAGAAGAGGTGGGGAGGCTAATAAATCGACCTGGATGAGCCGGAAGCTAGGCGAATACCCATCGCTTGATTTCCCATCGCCAACCAACCCGCTGTCTTCTTGTCTCGGCCAAAGACAAAAGCAACGGGACCGGGTCCAGGTTGACAGGATAGCGGCAGGGGATAGCGGCAACCTACACCGAGGCCTGTACGCACCCGCATAAATCGATCTTACAGGAAACCCTTGATCCTGCATTCGATCTCCGACAAAGGCCAATTCGCACATCAGGCGGCAGATGTGGAGAGTCTTGTGGCCACTTGGCCACCACAGGGACGATGATGGGAACGTTTCTGCCCAGCGTGTGTCAGGCTCGGGCCTCATGTTGGGAGGTGGACCACTCTGCAGAACCCGGCACGCACAAGCTCATCCGGACATTGGAGTGGCTGGCTGCGATTTAGATCTGTGACACTTCATCTTGCTAGTCAGACCGAGCACAGCGATAAGAATAATTAACGAGGATGGCGGCGCCTTTGGCGAGACAGGCACAGATAGAGAAGTGGGCTGGTCCCGGAAGAGGCCTTTGATACGAGCGAGGTTTGGTTTGAGTGATGATGGTTGCAAGCAGCAGCCCGAAGCTTCAACAGGCGAATGAGGCTGGCCTTGTCACATTTCCGATGCACAATAATAGCCAACGGGTGGTGATCTTGCAGCCGCCTTAGTTCCCACGGAGAAATTAAAAAAAAAAAATGCCAGGAGGCGGGTCAGGGGCATGTTGTCTGACTGATGTGCAGCAAGCTGCGACCTGCGCCTCACCGGTTGTTACTGACAATTAAAAGCGGCTCATAGGGCATCGTCCGGGTTTGGGGATTCCAACCGCCCTTGGCGGCTTGATATTTACCGGTATAGCGTTATGCAGCTAGCAATGGTGAGGAAAAAGCTGCCACTCAACCATGTGGCCAGGAAATGAGCGTGGAGGGAGGACGATGGGCATAAGTGCGTGGGCCGTAGAGGCTTGTTTTGGTCATTGCTGCAGGAGCAGGCCTGACCTAGGCTTCAGTGGGCGAGGAGCGCAGAATCCATGTTTCGAAATTGGCGTGTGCAACCAACTATTCGTCGAGGGTTGGCGAGAGGTGGCACAGTATCGAACTTACTCGTTGTGCTCTCCCCGTCTGCCGTGCCTGGTCTGGGATGTTGCTTGCCGAAATGCTGATCACGACACTCGCGCTTTACCAGAGAGGCATTCCGTTGCGATTGGCCATGAATCAGACTCCGGCAGAAGGAAATTCAGTTTCTCTTGACCAGAATTATTGAACTTTGAAGGAGTTGAGAGAGAAGGAAGGCATCACTGTGCTTGAGACCGGGAAGGAAGCGCTTCCTCATTCAGCGGTGCTTATCGATAAGCTTGTCGAGGAACGGCACAACGGTTTTTCCCTACCAGAGGAAGACAACTCAAGAACCCACGATAGTATTATCAAGCCATCCCAGAGGACGAGACAGTCCGTCATCTCTAGGGCCATCCTGAGCTGAACGAATTTTCACTGTGCCCACAAATTGTATGCCGAAGCAGCCTCATCTGTGACGTGACAGCGCTCACGTCTCAGTCTCACATCCTCAGACATGCCTGGCACCTCTCTCTCAACCATGCGCTCGACTCGTGTCTCGCTGCCATTACGGCTTCCGCGGATGGGATACGCATCAAGACGCTACTCCGTGCGCGTCCTCGGAGACTCGGCTGCCAAACCTGCAGTGCAGAATGTTGCTGATCTCAAAGCATGGCCCTTGGAATCTGGCCAGGATTGCCCGGTGGAGATCAATGGATGGGTACGAAACATCCGGAAGGCTTCCGCCGTCCGTTTCGTAGAGGTTTCCGATGGCTCGAGCTATTCCACGGTGCAGGCTGTCGTGAGTAAGGAGATGGCTGAAGAGTACGCCATCATCACTCAGCCCGTATCCTTGTCCCTGTGCCAGCTCTATTAATCATTTCCCTCTTAGAATCCGACTTGGAGCTGCAGTCCGTCTAAAGGGGTTATGGAAGCTTCAGAGTCCGCCTCAAGTCTTCTCCCCTCCTCCCGGAGAGCCCGCTCCTACTCCAGATGAGAAGCCGCCCAGGCTACCACAGATTAAATTCATTGACCCAACCCCTGATGCTCGTGAAGAGCGGCCCAAAATCACCGTCCCCGTTGGGGAGCTTCAAGTCGATGAGGTCCAAATTCTAGGAGCTTCGGACCCCGATGTGAGCTCTTTTCTCTCTTTGTGTGACCCGAAATGGACTCTGTTTCTGAACCATGCATAGACATATCCCATCCAAAGGAAGTACACATCGCCAGAGACGCTACGCAACTGGCCGCATTTGCGGATGCGCACAAATCTCAATTCAACTCTGCTTCGGCTACGGTCAGATACCATTGGGTCTTTGAGTAAGATTTTCAACCGAGAAAACTTTATACAAACACACCCTCCTATCATCACCTCAGCCGACTGCGAAGGGGCAGGGGAAGCCTTCAAAGTCATCGGGGGTACTCGAGAGAGCCCCTTTTTCGACAGTCCCAAGTTCTTGACTGTATCGTCCCAGCTCCATCTAGAAGCGATGGCACAGGCTGCTGGCAATGTGTGGACCTTGTCCCCTTCCTTCCGAGCTGAAAGGAGTGACACAAACAGGCATCTGAGCGAGTTTTATATGCTCGAAGCCGAGATGAGCTTTGTCGATGACATGGGTGAAGTTATGGATCTGGTACAGAGGATGACAAGATCTCTCGTTCAGGACCTGGCCCAGCAGAGTTCATGGAAGGAGCTTGAGCATGCCAGGAGGCATCCTCGGGGACCCGCCGAAACTCGCACCTTGGAAGACTTGGATGATATCGCCGTGCTAGAACGTCGGTGGAATGGCATGCTCGTCCCTGAAAAATGGCCACGGATTACATACTCTGAGGCGATAAACATCCTCGAGGAGCACATTGAAAAGTTTGAGCGGCCACCTGTATGGGGACAAGGCCTCGGGTCGGAGCATGAGAAGTTCCTGGCTGAACTAATCGGCTACGACAAGGAACGAAACGCATACGTCCCTGTGTTTGTCACTCATTACCCGCGGGACATCAAGGCTTTCTACATGCGGGAGTCGGCAGCCGAGCACCATATCAAGGGCCAGATCGTCGTCGACTGCTTCGATCTGATCGCTCCGGATATTGGAGAGCTTGCCGGCGGCTCGATGCGTGAACATCTTCTCCACAAGATCATCACCAATCTCAGGCACTTCTCGCTTGAGGCGTCTGCGAACGATCCGCGGCTCAAGTGGTACGTCGACCTACGAAGATGGGGATGTCCTCCACATGGTGGTTTCGGCATTGGGTTCGACCGGCTGCTGAGCTACCTGATTGGAGTTCGCAGCATCCGCGACCTGGTGGCATTCCCTCGCCTCTACGGGCGGACTGATTGTTGATTTGGGCCTCGTCCGGGTTCACAACATGGCCGGTTGCCCACTTCTAGGGGTTCGATTCGGTCCGGTCTCGTTTCCCAAGGTGAGAGTTTGTCTCTCGTTTAAACCTTCCTCCCTCGGCCCGTGGCTGTTCGATGTGCATTGAGTTCGCGAAAGAACTTTGGCCGGGACGATAGGTCTATGGGTCAGACTGTAATGCAACGACAGTGTCACGACTTCAGAGTACAAGACTGACTCTAGTTTCACTCAAACAAGGCATGGCTCGGAGAGATGCATTTGCCAAATCTAACACGAGGTTGTGCAACTACAATAGCCGCTGTGTCCTTTGGCTATGGACCGACAACGTGTGCACTTGGAAGCTTTGGGTGGAGGAGGGTACATGAATCGAGATGTAGAGGCTCCAGCTGTAATTGCCAGGTATACACTCGCCTTTCGTCAATGTTGTATCACAATCATGCAGTCTTGGGCTGCTCATGTATCACCACAATCTCGCATAACATGCATTTGTACTATCAGAGCTCTCGACAATAGATACTACTAGGGGCTGGTCTTGGATTTAGCTTAGGCGCTTTGGAAACGATGATAATCATCCTCACAGTTCAGCTGTGTTTGCTCAAATCTCTTTGTCTCTCTACGGGTAGCACAAGCAGTCACAACTCTATTTCCCGTGGTCATCTTGTCTCCAAAGACGAGAGACCCTTACTCACCGCCGTTCGGACGAATTACACAGTGGAAGCACAACAGCGCAGCACGACTCACGGGCAGAGACCTACTCGCAAACTGCGTAACCGTACGGAGCGCAAACACAAGGTCGGTTTCATCACCACAACACAACACGTGGCCCCAGAATGGGACCCCGACGATGGGCGATGCGCCGGATAGCCGGTATAGGGAGATGAGGCTGGATATATCGGCAGCTCCTGGGCCCGGATAATGAGCTGACGACCACGAAAGGCGCAGTGTATATACGTGGAAAAACGTCAGACTGTGCGCGGGAGGGAGGCAGCCCGCGCATCCCCACCATCTCCGGGCTTCCCAATCGTCATGCCCCAAGGCCACTGCTCGGCGACGAGAGAAGGCCTTGCCAAGGCCCTCTGCTTCTTGGTCCATATCCCGGCCCGGGAGGCCTGACGACGCGTAACCTGGGCGCCCCGAGCTCGATTTCAGAGTTTGGTGAGTGAAGGGGGGCAAGGCGCCACTCTGCTCCCCTACATACACTATCCCTTCCCGCTCCGTTGCTAACGAACATCCATCTCCTCGGCATTCCCTCGCCGTGATGGTAAGCTTGTTGTGGTCCCTTCCGGGAAAGTCGGCACTCCGGGGGCGTGCCATGGAGAGGAAAACCTTGTTCCTCATGGCTGCAACCAGACTAGGCCCGAGGGAAAGAAAATAAGAGGGGGGGAGAGCCTTTACGTGCCAATGACACATGGGCATAACCTAGACACACATCCCCCCTCAGAAAGTCTGTATTGTTAAGCATATCTAAGAAAGGGCGGGCCGATCGATGTCATTTCGCCGCCTTGCATGCAGAGAGGAGAAGGGGACCCAGGTCCCCAATGCCGTGACAGCCGTGGCGTGCGGGCATGATTAAATAGTGGGCTTTCTTCGCCCTTCTTTTATTGGGAAAGTCGTGTTTATTTTATGGTGCGGCGCCAGTCGAAAAGAGGGAAGAAAAGGGGGGGGCGTGTGTCTGCTGGGAGGATGGATGGACGGCATCCCCTGCCATGGGCTTTGGGCAGTAGTAGCGAGCACGAATATGAGGCCTTTTTGATTTGGTGATGGATGGCCTTGGCCTCTAATCTGTTTATTCCCGGCCCCAAAGCTCTTGCCAGGGCCGCAGATATCACGGAAGGTCCCATGCAACTCGATAGCAGGCGAGCTCCATCTTTGGGTCCGTCATGGGGTTCTGTTCGGATGTCCAAAGCCGAAGGATAATAAGGGACATTGGCAAACGCCCGCTGGCGGCCTCATACTTGGTCTCACATGCCTGCCTGATGGAGGTTTAGGTAGAGATGAAGGATAGAATAAAGGGCATCAAGCCCGAATAGCATAACCTACCCTGTAGTCGTCCAAACTACCTCTGCGCTTCGGATGTGGCGTGTGCCCTAAACTGAAACTCGTCGTTGGTATTTGCCTGCACATCTCTCGTCGATCCGGTCGATCCGGAAATTTCTTTTCACCGCTTCATTCTCGCAATGTCAGGTGTGCAGCTCACGAGACAACAATCGGAGAACACATGGTGCATATCTAAATATCCCGACTCCGCTGTGCAGACGTGAGCGGGTCAGCGCATGCGCCCTAAATTTACCGCCACAGGAGATCTCCCATCCCAACCTAGGGCTAGGTAATAATATTCGTAGTGATATAAGTCAGTTGTGCATACCAATAGGTAGTATGTTATAATGCCATGAGGATGAACAAAAGTTTAGTTTAATGATGCGTCTGCCGACATTAGTGTCGCTGACTTTGATTAGCAGCCTCCAACCATCGGCGCAGAGTGACATAAGTTAAATACGACCAGAAGCAAATGCTACGGTACTTGTCTAGTGAAAGCTCTGGTCGGCCTTATTAGCTCTAGCAGAGATAGCAGAGATATCATCCATAAACACCAATGGAACCATGAGTCCTAGTTTTATGACTCTCCATCGTCTTGTCCAGCAGCGACAGCAAGAGCAGTGATCCTTGTATTGCCATCAAATAAGCTTAAGCAGGGATACGGTGGAGACTGAGCTTGGCACTGGTCAATGGCAAAGTTTCGTTAGTCACAAGCCTTGGCATCATCTTCAGCAAACCTTCTTGCAAGCCCTTTCCTTCTTCTCTGCTTGGCTCTGTGGCTGGACAAGGGATCCTGCCACCGCGGTATTCCTACTGCATATGGCAGGAAGGGCAGCCAGAGATCTCGATACGCCCAGTTTCCGAAAGCAAAGCAGACACGCCCACATGGTCCGGTCTGAGTCTTCTGGTAGGTGGATCTGCCTCTTGGCATCAGGCACGCAGGTCGGAACTGCAGAGCCGAGACGCCAATCTCGTTCACTCGCACCTGATCCAGTTTATCTCGTGCCTTTTCCTGTCTCGGCCAGCGACGGGAAAAAAGAAGAATGAGAGCCAAGTCTTTTTTTTTTTTTTTTTTTTTTTTTTTTTGTCTTGACAGGTGACTCACTTGGTGCGTCACTGGCGTTGTCACCCATGACGACATGCCTGTCCCTCCCGCGAGACACACAGCAAAACCAATCCCAGCCAAGCCGGAAACAGATTGACACATTGTGATGTTACCGTACCAGACGCTAGAGGAAGGGCTGGGGAACTTTTTTTTTCCCTACTCGTTTCATTTTAACCTCTGCTCTTTGCTTTTTATTGTCTCTCATGCTTTGGGTGATGGATCTGCAACTGACCCGCCGCACACGGGCCTTTTATTGCCGACTGGGTCCATGTCTGGAACAAGACCTACATAGTATGACTTAATTGGCTTTTTCCCACGGCATTGAGATGTCAAGGTAGGATGAAGTAGATCATGACGGCGCTGAAGCCGTCGTGGCCAGTCACCCGACGGCGGCCAAGCCAGGGCAGGGAGGCCTCAGACCGGCCGGGGTGAGGCCATGAATACGCTGGCGCGGAGGCTGTGATTTTCTCCTGACTCGTCTCTGACAGTACTGGTGGAATTAGCAGCATGTCCCTTGCCCCTGTGGCCTTCCCTTCTAGAAGCCACATGTCTCTCCTGCTTGTTCAAAGTTCGTGGTACCCCCCCGAGTAGGCCAGAATTGGAAAGCGATGGTACAATTGGTCCTGCGCCTCTCCCTGGGTCCCCTGCGGCTCTGTTAGTATGTATGTTCTTTGTGTGTTGTGATCTCTGGCCAAGGACGGCCATATCAGCAAGAGACGGGCCCAAGAACAACAAACACCCGCCTGTCGGCCTGCCCGGTCATACGAACAGCTGCGTGTCCATACATGATTCCATGGCACGCACCCTCTCGCGTATCGGATTAAGCTTGATACTGTGGTGGGAATAAGCGGAGGTACGGGACTGACCACGCACCGTCGTACGTAGCGTCTTACGTGCGCCCGCGTGCACGCACCCTTTGAGATTGAGCGTACATATGTCCAAGACTGTTGATGCTCTTGGCTTGGCTAGTCGCGCTTGGCCTGCATTATAGAAAAAAAAGGTACTGTCAAGGCCACCAAAACAATTGACTGAGCTTAGAGATGCAGCTTGGCTCCGCTCTTGGTGTCTGACCAACTCCCAAAACGATGCTCTCGTCTAACTAAGGCAGAGGGAGGCAAGAGAGGAACAACACCAAGGAAAGATACCCTTGGCCCCCCGCTCCCACAGAGTATAAAAAAGAAATTGCCCAAAATGTCCGGGAGGCCGCCCAGGAGAACAACGGTCGAGGTATGGCACATGTCTATTTGCGGGATTATGCATAACCCAAGTGAACTATCATGTTATCTTGACCGCACCTCGCGCTTTGTACCGAAAGCATCAGCTCGATGCGACGCTGTGGGTTGTCATGTCTTTGAGTTTAATTCATCTCTGGGCTGCATGCGCGCGGCGAATTACACGGCACATAGCAGCCGCTGAAACAGCACACCACCTTGGCAACCCTGGAGTAGCGATAGGGAAATCATGAATGCCTGCCTGCGTGTGATTTGATGTGGGCAGGATGCACGTTGCTTGCTTATCTTACTTACCCTTTGTTCTCGCTGATGAGGGATCTTAGCTGGTAAAGATGGCTCTGCTGCAATAACGCTGACTCACCTCGCGTGCTATTTCTGGAGGGCAAAAGATCTTCCAGGCACTCAGATCCCAAAACGCCGCCGCTCATGAGCATGAGTAGGAGCGGCAGCGGCGGGAGAGCAGATGCGTCCATTGGGGGATTGTCAGAAATGCAACCTTGCAGCAGCAGGTGATTGGTTGTCGTGGCGCAAATACGGATGCGTGCTACCTCACATATGACAGACACCGCGAACGAATCGAAGAGCCCTGCCTGTGCCCGCGACGCTCGCTCCTTGTCGTACCAGGGCGGCGTTGAGTAAGTCTTGAATTTAAGCATAACAGGTGCAGTAGACCCAAAGCCACCTCGCTGCTGGTAGGCCCAGGCCTGACAGACACCCTACTGCTTTGGTACAAGGGGATACGATAGTACGCCTGTATGCAGAGGCTTGTTCTGGACCCCTTTGGTAGCGCCGCCCCTCGTCCTCCATTCCTTTCGCCCTCAGCTCGTCCTCCTCTGGGCTGGTCTGGCCTGGCGCCCGTTCTGGTGTTCTCGTAATAATATCGAGCCCCCAGGGTGAAGGTGCCATTTCCGCCCCACGGCACGGCTGACTGCCTCTGCAACAGCACACTGGTGCCGCCGTGGGACTGACTCTCCCAGACGGAGGCTTCTGCGGGCTGTCTCTGCCCTGCCTAGGCCGGACAGACTTCTCAGGATGCCCGCAACTAAACCGTAAATCTTATTGTGGGGTTGTGTGACTGTAGCAGATGCTTGTTTTGGCATTTTGCCTTCTGACCTTCATGTAACCAAGCATTCCCTAGCAGTTTGGCATCGACTTACATAACTAGGTCTGATCATCTGAAATCAGTGTATATTTTGGGCCTAGTGACGAGACAGACCCAGCACTCGCACAAAGTTCTCGGCAGCCAAGTCGGCAAGGACGGCATCTCATGGCGCGGCGAACGCCAGCCACCCCAGCTCGTGCATATACCCCGGCCTTGAAGGAGGGGGCGTGGCTCCACGGCTAAACCACTCGTATCTACCTGCGGTCTTGTTTGACCTGGACAGCACGGCAGCGTAGCAAACGAGGCCAATCCGGGCGAGCGAGCACGAGCACAGTCCGCATGGCCAGATAACTTCGCTCGTAGCTGCACCATGACGAGGGAAGGTAGAGAGACGCGGACGAAACCACCGATCTGCTGGGGGCGCCGCATGCCCATGCCGCTCTCCCTTCCTTATTAGTTACACTCCCATGGCCTCTTGTTCGAGAATAGCGTCCGTGCCAAGCTCGAGGGCTGACAACGCTTAAATTCATGCTTAAAAACCCAGCGCAGGGTTGACCGCGCCCGGCCGAGTTATCCGTAGCGCGGCCTCTGACTGGCTGGCTCCCCAGAGTGGCTCGTGGGCTGCCTCTTTGGCGACAAGGACCTGGATCTGGATGACGATCTCAGGGCCAAGACTAAATCCCTCCCTCTCGCGCGCTGCTCATGGCTCACTCCTCCCCAGGCGCAGTGTCAGCAGCACACTGCTGAGTCCGAGAGGCCTCCTCTTTTCCCTTTGCCATCCCATCACCACCACCCACCTTGAGTAGGTAGGTGGTGGGGTTGGATTTTCGCTCTCTCGCACGCGCACCCCCCATCTGGCCCCCAGACTCGTACCTGCCATACATTGGAGGCTGCTCGCGATCCGCCTGCTGTCAGTTGGATAGTCGGGCTGCCAAGGCTGCTTGAGTGGATGGGCATGGTTGATCAATATGTGTATCGTGATTCTCCTCTGGGCCCGGTTGCATCGCAGCACTATTGCCAGATAAATTCCCTTCTAAATGGCGTGCTTGGGCCATCATTTCACCCCATCCGGCGTATAAATCGGCGGGCTTCTCGATAGTAGGTTTGGGGATCGCCCTGCTGTCATGGAGCGATACTAAGAAGCTTGTTTCGGTTCGTGACAAAGCTTAAGGCCAGCCATTAGATGTGTGGCTGCCAGTAGGCTGCACGCAAATGCCCATTACCTCCAATAGCGTGGATGTGGCTTTCGCGACATTAGTTTTGGCTAACACGGGTGTCGAGAGGGAGGGGTGCAGATTGACCGGCACCTGCGAGCTGAGCGAGGTACCAGTACATCGTCTCTGCCCCGAGACCGATAGATTGATCCTGTGGCCTTGAATCCAGGGTCTGGAGTGGGAGAGAAGGGGGCCAAGACCGCGTAACCACAACGGACGATGATATGCACATCTCAATCTCAACTGGAGTCCATCTCCATCACACACACGTATGTACTTACTGTCCCCGTTGATTCATACACTGATCATCAGTGGCTCTCGGCTGGTTCTGGATCTAGCTGCGCTCTGCACTGCGCGTATAGCTCCGTGCGTCAGTCCAAGACAAGAGAACCATTGTTTTAAAACAGCGCACGCCCCCATTCTCCCCCCCTACACCCCACTCAGGCCGGTTAAACGGCTTCACAGATGACGAGGTCTAGAACGCTGCCATCGCTCACACGCCCTGCCTGGTCTGCGTCTGATGGCACAGAACATACGCTGAGGATGAAATGATACCAGGCCGCTCTGGACACCTGGTCAGCCACCTCCCTGAAAAAAGCGGTTGACCATTTGATGGGGTAAATCAAGCTTTTTCAAGCTTATTTTAAGACTAATCCTCTACACGAGACAGCGCTATTCCCCTACTTTGCTGCGATACGTCGTGCACCCCCAAAGGGTTCCGGCATACGACCGAGCGTCTGTTGATCGCCTTCGACTAGGCAGGCACGCATTGCGCTGTGCTGTCCCTTCGCTGTGGGAAGGCCTACGTAACGTAATTCGGTGAAGGCCGCTATCGTTATTCCCGCCGTGCGGCCTCCGGTGATTTGACTCGAGGCGGGAGAATATGGATCAGTCGGCAAGATAAACTGGGATGCCGCTTGTGCCGAGCTCGCTATCTGGTATGAGACTATGAGGCGGATTACGAATCCCCAACGACCCAATGTCGGCTTTGACGGCACCGTGGCGTCCCACGATTATTGCTTCAAAGACAAGCGTTTCGGCACATCGGATCTTATGCTTGTTTCTATCTCGATGGAGAGGCCGCCAGTGGCCATGAGCTGACAGCGGGCTGAAGAAATGACTTTGGGCTAGGGAGGCCAGCGCACCATCTACACCCGCCATGTTTTCAGCCCAGATTGCGCCTCAGACGGGGATGACCTGGACCCTTGCCACAGCCCCAATATCGTAATTTCTTCTAGAGCTGGTCTGGAATTTCCCCACTAACATTGCGCTGTGCCAGGCGTTGATGTGGCGCATTGATGCATCTGTTTGTGGGTGGTAGTTGTTCGATGCATCGTGTTAACCTTGATAATGTACTGAGGGAAGAGGTATGGTCGTAGTCAAAACTGACTTGGCACCGATCAGGTACAATAAGAGAGAGGCGCTGGCAAGCATATAAATGTGTGCTAAGTGGTACCCAGCAGGTAGTATGGCACCATTCTCAGCATCATATACGACCATGGAATTAGTACGTGAGCGCTCGTCGCCCACCGAGCTGCCCTGTACTTGATGATAGGCAGGGAGCTATCAAACGACCGCTATGTATGAACTTTGTCGTAATTCCGAGTGTTTCGAAAGTCACATCCCTCCCCGGACCAGAGGGCATAGGTCGATTTTGGACATCTGTGTGTCATTCCTTGACTCCACAGCTGTTAGAGATGGACTGAATAGGCACTGGAAAGCGGTGCCGAATGGGTAGCGTACCCCTGTTGCTGTTGAATAGTTACCCTTTCGAGGAAGACACGTGAGTGGTTCTTGGCCAAGTCTTCCTGCTCGTGTTAATCGCTCTGACGCTGTGCATACCTACAACATGGGCGTCTTGCTCTCGCGGAAGGCAATAGCCTCAACTGGCCGCGTACGCAGCAACATAGTAGCAGGTGCGCTGGAAACGCCACGAATGCTACTACTGGATGGACTGCCGTTCAAGACGGCGGCGGCGACACGAGCTATTGATCCTCCGCGTAGCTGGAGGTCGTAGTGGATAGATGTGGCTGCCCGGCTGTGCGGCACAAACCCTGACTCGAAGGAAGTCTCACCAGCCTTCATTGGAATTTGAACTGCGGAACAGCCAGCCGACAGCAGAAAAAACTGCACGTAGTGCTGTTACCCTATTTTGCCGCACGTAGGGTAATTACCTGAGAAACATGGGGTATTGCTTCGCTACGGTGGTCGGCTGGAAGCGAGCAAGCGCAACGTTTGCTTCAGCAAACATGTGGTTCCTCTCGCTTTGCTCCCTACACATAATAATAACGGCGTTGTACGAACCTGGCGGTCGATCTATTTAACCAGCGCCAACATTGGGTAACTGGCTGGATTTCCTCCCAGTAGCCCCGAGGTCGTGCAGGTTTGGTCTCTGACTGTTTGATAGTGCTGGGCTAGGCTATCGGAGAACACCCGGTGCTAAAGGGTGTTACAATCGATGCCTTGAGGCGGTTATCAGTCGCGAACCGTGGGGTATGACCCAGGGCAGCGGAGGACGACGTCACCATCAAAAAGAAGGTAAATGCACGAGTACTCGGTACGTCGTATCTACTATGCTATGCGAAAGGGGTGCAAGAGCCCGGCGCAAGTATGTAGCATTCGAAGATTGGCCGAGTTTAAATCGCACCCCTTGGCCGGGAGAGACGGCATTTATGATCCTGGCCAGGTCAGACGGAATAGAGACAAACAGACTCAAGGGCGGGGCTAGGGAGCCGCAAGATCCGAGTAGCTTATTATGAAGGACGCTTATAGCCCAATAATCGATGGCGTGTCTGAGTGTGCACTAAACCAACTTTAATGGCGTTCCTCTTATTGTGTGGGTTATTAGCTTTATGGTTGTTGCCCTGGGCCGCGAGACGCCGAGGAGGCGGCTCTGCTCATATTTCTGGAGGCGAAATATGGAGTATGCACGCAAGGAGCGGCAATGCTAGCAGAGAGGCCGCCAGCTCAAAGACCACTTCCTGGGCCGTGATTCCGTGCGGCGAGCTTCAAAGCGGATGAATCGGATTGGGAGTTCCTTCTGCGCACTCAGCCCTGCTCATAAGTGAGGTGAGCGGAAGCGAGGTAAAGACAGTGAAAGACGACACCTTGGGCTAGGGAGAGACTGACTGACGTGTATGCCTCAGGTCAGACCTAATATCAATTAGCCGCTCGTCGTCCTCGCGTAATGCATACACGCCAGATTGAGCCAAATAATTGCGCCGTGGTTGTTGTAGAGCCGTGGCCCTACTCTCTTCTGGATCATGGATCACCAGCGAGTGGCTACCAATTACGTATCCTGACTGCAAGCCACTGGAGCACGCGCCGCCGCCAATCCGAGCCAAGCCTTTTCGCCAGCAACTCTTGCAATTAAGCTTAAGGTGGGCTTAGCCCTCGCCCTCTCCCATGAGCGCGCTCCTGATGGGCCAAGACAGTGCGTATCCCGCCCAGCTGGGCCCCCTCGCCCTGGCAGCACACACAAATACAGTGTACAAGCCTATATTTCGCACCATGCCGTCGAATCCTGCAGATGATGCCGGTTGACAGGGGGGCCGCAAAACAGAGCAGGTGCTGGTTTCATTCTTTGCCGAATTCCGTGCTTCTGTCCCATTAGATTAGAATTGCTCCGGAGGACTTTCGATTTCCTCAGCGCCAGCACTAAATAGGGGTTGCAGTGGTGATCTGAATAGCATCCTGAATAGGCTACTCAAGCCACGTTGAAGGCAGGGCCGAGACTCGGCTTGGGCCTTGTTTTGCTTCAACCATCAGTTGCAGTAGTGAGTTTAGGGTCGAACGAGGCGTCGCCAGACAGGCTCAGGAACATCTCCAGGCTGCACTCGGTAGCGGTACTTGCTGGATGCCACGCCACACCACAAATAAACTGGCCCCCTGCATGCCGTTATACACGAGTGGTACCTCGCAGTGCTGGGAGAACCACACCTGGATGGATGTAGCGCCCGACGTACCGCTATTTGCAGCGTCGCAGGGGCACGATTCCCCAAGCCAACTCTCTCCCACATTCCGACAGCTCACGCTCTCGCACTCTCTTCTGCTTCCCGTGGCGTCTGCTCGTCGTGCTCATGCCAGTTGGCCCAGGGGCGATACGCTCTGGGCCAGCCAGACAGTGCAAAGGCTAATCTCAGTCGCAAGATGAAGACGAACCGCGTAATCGGGTATCCGGCCCATTGAGATGAATGATGCTCTGTCGTCCTGGGGCCGCACTCGGTCGATCGGCAAGAAAGGCACACACGCCTGTCTAATAACCAGCGGCGAGGGAGGCCGTAGATAGTGCACCAAGCGCAAACCTCAGACGTCTCGTCCTCGTGCGTATGTAAAGCTGGGTTGGATGGGGGGGCGTGGCTGCTGCGCTGCGTTCTGGGTTTCGTTCCAGAGGACGCAACTGGTGGCTCCTGCCTCAAAGTGGTAGGTCAGGTACGGGGGTACAGCGATACGTACCAGTACGTACTGGCCTCCCTCTGGCGATAGCGGCACACCCCCCATCTCATGCTCTGCAATTGAGACGCCGCTTGGGCCTTGGCTTTGAGCCCCGAGCCGACTTATCCATCCCCATTGTGAGGGAGGACCCTGGACGCCTTGAGCTCATCAACCCCATCATTCCCATTTCTGTCCACCCGTCCTTACCTTACTTCAAATCTTACTTCACTGCCCTTCTAATAAAGTTCCTCATCTGCCCAATTTCTTTTTGGAAGGCTTCGCTCTTGCTTCTTTTTCTACCTGCTCCCTCTTGCCCACCGAGCAACTCGAGATAGATCCAGCCTCGTCATACGGCGTCACCGTCGAGCTTACCACGCAAACCATTTATTGGGACACACGTTTGCCGTCGTCACCTCTAGCTGAAGGGTATGTTCTGTCGGTTCCTCTCGCCATCTTTCTTCATTATCAGCGTTCCTTCCCTTGATCTGTTTGCCTTTGCACAACTTGGCTTGCCCTGAGGTTGGCTTGCGGTGTGATACCAATGCCAAACCTCACCGAACCGTCCATGGGTTCTGCTGCCTCACCCTAAAATTTGGCCGAGATGACCAATTCCGCCAACTTTAACGAGAGCCGGCCGGTTATTGGCCATGGACCAACGATGGCGATGGGGAAGGGGACATTTGAAAGCTGCCAGGGCAAGTGCCTCGTACAGCAGGTACTCCCATATCATTTGAACCATCGTCACTGGCTGGTACTGCACTACCTGCCGGTCGATCGAGGGACGGGCACCTGTATTTGGGTTGTGGCCTGCAGCTTCATGGTTTAAATTTCCCGGCGCTTTGTTCAAAATATTTGGCAATGTTAGTCGAGAATTTAGGACTCTGTCGCTAGGACTGCCATTTTCACAACGCACCCGACCCTTGTACTGGCCACACGAACATGGCAGAGGCGCCAGCGTTACACTGTCAACGGACGAGTGTTGTACTGCACTCCTTGTCCCAGGGCCGGTTTCTTTGCACAAGTGTCACAGATCTTGTTTCCTTTTTGTTCATCACCATATGTGGATACTTGTATCCAAGTTGGTTCAAGGCGGGATATGCTAACATGCCAAGCAGGGACTGTCTTGAAAAGACATACTTCTTCTATGCTACTACACAACACACACCTTCAGCAACAATCCAACAATAATAGCATTTCAAAATGGAGACATATTTCGGTTATGTACGAACGCCCGCAGATGCCATCAAGCTCTTTGAAGCTTGTAGGTTAGGCCTGCTTCCCAGGGTTCAGAGGCGGCTCTCGGAAAAGGAACGTCAGTCGATTCGATCAGGCTCTGTCTTTGTTTGGGATGAGCGAGAGGCTGGAATGAGAAGATGGACCGACGGAAAGTCATGGAGTGCGAGCCGAGTTTCAGGCAGCTTCTTGACCTATCGCGAAATGGAGGGGAAGCGAGGGGGTGGTGGCTTCAACAGTATTCGCCGGGGATCTAACAAGACGCCAGAGTCAGGTCGTGGCAGCGATGATGATCGTGATGACGGGGAACCTGAAGGCTATCGATACAAGGCGGACGGTCTCATGAAGCAGTCCTTCAGCATTACAACCTCGAACGGCCAACACCTCCACCTCATCTCGTACTATTCGAGGCCGCAGCATGGACAGGCAGATCTTCCTCAACCTACGAATGACCCTGCCCTACGCTCAATTGTCCCAATGAAGGGCATGTATCCTGAGTCGAGCATGGGAGAAGCCAGTCAGACGCCTGCCCTGACACGGGCCCCGATGCAACAGCCCCCTTATATGGTGCCAACCCCTCAACATCATGCTCCTCACCAAGCCTATCCTCCTCAATATGGGCAGCCTGGATACGGGTGGCCTCCTTCACCCGCCCAGACCCCTCCTTACTCGCACTATTCATCAACATACCAACAACACCCACCCCCGGGACATGCTCCGGTGCCACCCCAACAATACTCTTCATACGAACCTAGAGCTTCTCTCCCCCTTCCCGCACCTCAAAAGCCAGGCTACACACCCTACCAGCACCATTCGTCTCAATACCGCATGCCCTCGCCGCCCCGTATCAATGATACTCGCGATCAAAATCTCCAGGCAGCTGCTCAAGCTGTGATGGTTGATCCGCGACTTGGGCCAACTTCTGCCAGGAACCCCCAAGGCCCTCTCCCAGCCTTGCACGCGGTGACCAACGCTCCTCTTGGGGCCTCGTTGACTTTGACTGCTGAAGGTCCTCTCAGCCGGGGTCGAAGCGTTACCCCTCCTCGGAGCTCCCACTCCGACACCAACAGCTTCAGCACCCAGCCCAGGTCAAACCTTTCCTCACTCCTCCATCCCACTCCATCTTCAAGCGAGTCTAATCCCAGTCCTCCTACCAATGGTGGCAGTGCTAGCAACAGCCCGCGGTCTCTCCCTGCACCCGAACCCGGCGCTGTTAGTGAGGATGCCCGGGCGCTTAGGATGCTTGACCGCAGCGCCTTCAGACGGATTGCTCTTGCCTAGAATGACAGCAATCAACATGAAGAAAACGAAGAAAAATGATGAAATTGAAATTTCCCCAAGCGACCACAGTACGGGTTGTTGAGAGAAGTGACTTTTGGGCATATGAATGGTTTGCATGGTCAGGCGTTTTTGGTTGACATCAACCTTGTTTTGTATTTATCGCATGCATTTCCGGTCATTGGAATTGGAGCAGTTATTCTCATGACGTGATGGGATTTCTCTTTGAGTGGTGTTGCAATGGAAGGATACTCGGCTTGTCTGGGAATCGAAGTCGGGTTGGTGTTAACGGTTCTTTGTCGATGGGGTCAAGCATATCAACATAGTACATAGGATAAGAGAGACTACCATTTGATTTATTCAAAAGATTTACAAGATACTTTTTGGACCAGTGTTGGGCACAATGTGAATCTGAACTCACCATAATTATGTCGTGACTACCTGGCCACTCTCATTGGCACCGGTCCTCTCTGGGGTCTGGATGCAGCATCCATTAAGGCATTTAAGACAATAGTAAACAAAATACTTCAAAGACCATCATAAAGTGATTCATTGTGTATTATTTAATGGTTGCTACAGTTAATCAAGGAAGATTGAATCCACAACTTGCGTGACAAAGGAGAGAGGGCGCTGTTGGTGTGCCATATTGTGTACATAAGCAGGGCGCAGGCTTCGGCGCATAAACATTGTACCGGTCCGTCTTTCACGGGCGCCGTGCCAAGCTTCTCCAGACGCGACGCAATAATCTTAGACGGCATAATCGCATTGTCTCCAACTATGCTGATTTCGACCCAATCTCTACCAAAACTTCTATTCTTCATCTGGAGGCACGGGTCTCATCTACTGTAACTCGGGTACGATCGAATTCAAAAGGCGACTTGCTACACAGGGTTTGGTGGATCATGGGCGGGTAACGCGACAACACAGCTCCCGATTGCGACCATGTTCACCTTTTGCCCCCTCCAGGGCGCTCTCTCAGAGTCCGCAGCCTCACAATCTCTTCTGGAGCTGGATGGAGGTGTAAAAGTCTTGGTTGATGTGGGATGGGACGAGTCGTTCGATACAGACAAGCTCAAGGAGCTCGAGAAGTAGGTTTGCGACCTCGCATACGAGCAAGTGCGAAGCAACGCTGACCAGCCGCAGACAAATCCCAACCTTGTCATTGATCCTCCTCACGCACGCCAAGGCATCCCATCTTGCTGCGTACGCGCACTGCTGCAAGAACTTTCCCCTGTTCACGCGCGTCCCCGTCTACGCCACCCGACCCATCATCGACCTTGGCCGAACGCTGATTCAGGATCTCTACGCCTCGAGCCCGGCTGCCGCAACTGTTATACCCCAGACGTCACTCTCCGAGTCTGCCTACTCATTCTCGCAGACCGCGACCCAGGCGCAGAATCTTCTCCTTCAATCCCCGACACCTGAGGAGATCGCTCGCTACTTCTCCCTGGTGCAGCCGCTCAAGTACTCGCAGCCTCACCAACCCCTACCGTCGCCATTCTCCCCGCCTCTCAATGGATTGACAATCACGGCATACAACTCCGGCCACACCCTTGGTGGTACAATCTGGCACCTCCAGCATGGGCTCGAATCGATTGTGTATGCGGTCGACTGGAACCAAGCCCGTGAGAATGTCTTCGCCGGAGCTGCCTGGCTTGGCGGCGCTGGCGGCGGTGGAGCCGAGGTTATCGAGGCTTTGAAGAAACCTACAGCACTGATATGCAGCAGTCGAGGCGCGGATAAAACGGCCCAGTCGGGTGGTCGCGTAAAACGTGACGAGCATCTGATCGATATGATCAAGTCCTGCGTCAGCCGAGGGGGGACTGTGCTGATCCCCGTGGATTCGAGTGCGCGAGTGTTGGAGATGTCGTATCTACTAGAGCATGCCTGGCGTGCCGATGCCGCGGCCGAGAATGGGGGCTCACTGAAGTCGGCAAAGCTCTTCTTGGCGGGACGAAATATGTCCAGTACCATGCGCTATGCTAGGAGTATGCTGGAATGGATGGATGACGGGATTGTTCAGGAGTTCGAGGCATTTGCAGAGGGGCAGAAGAAGACCAATGGGACGGGCGAAAAGAAGGAGGCTGGCCCGTTTGATTTCAAATACCTGCGGCTTGTGGAAAGGAAGGCACAGGTAGCCAAGCTCCTCAACCGGGATACTGGAAATGTCGAGACCGAGGGACGGGTTATCTTGGCGAGCGACACCACCATGGAGTGGGGATTCTCTCGGGATTTGCTGAAGGGCCTGGCTAAGGACTCGCGCAACTTAGTTATCTTGACTGATAAGCCCGGGACGATAAAGGACGAAACGCCATCTGTGGCTCTCACGCTGTGGGAGTGGTGGAAAGAGAGGAAGGAGGGTGTTGCGGTTGAGACGACGGCCAGCGGAGACAGTCTTGAACTCGTGTACGCAGGTGGTCGAGGGCTGGATCTGAAGGAGGGCTATCGCCAGGCGCTGGAAGGTGAAGAGTTGGTCCTGTACCAGCAATGGCTAGCCACGCAGAGGCAGCTGCAAGCTACACAGCAAGCTGGCGGCGTAGGTGCCCTGGAGGCATCCGGTGACATCGTGGACGATGCGTCCTCAGAGTCATCATCAGACTCCGAAGATGAGGATGGTGAGCAGCAGGGCAAGGCTCTTAACGTGTCTGCTACCATTGGCCAGGCCGGCCGCAAGAACGTGGTTCTGAAAGATGAGGACCTTGGGATCAATGTTCTTATCAAGAAAAAGGGCGTGTACGATTTTAATACTAGGGGCAAAAAGGGACGAGAGAGGACGTTTCCTATTACCATCCGAAGGAAGAGGATCGATGATTACGGAGAGCTTATCCGACCTGAAGACTTCCTGAGGGCAGAGGAGAAGGAGGACGATACCGCCGACGGTGGCGCGGTAACGGCCGAAGACGAGAAGGTTGGCAAGAAGAGAAAGTGGGAGGACGTTGCAAAGCACGGCGGTTTGAACAAGCGCCCGCAACCTAACCGCACGATATCTGCGGACGACACCAACGAGACCATCGGTGCGGATGGTTTCCCACTTGACGATCTTGACGAAGCCCAAGACCCAGAGCCTGAGGAGCCTGCAGGGCCTTCGAAACTGGTCTATAATACCGAAAACATCGTTGTCAACCTACGGCTGGCCTTTGTTGACTTTAGCGGCTTGCACGATAAGCGCAGTCTGAACATGCTCATACCTCTGATCCAGCCCCGAAAGCTGATCCTCGTGGGCGGCAATAAAGAGGAGACCATGGCTCTGGCGGAGGACTGCCGCGCCGCACTCAGCAGCGAGGGCGGCGACCGGAGAGCAGACGTCTTCACACCCCAGGTCGGCGACTCGGTAGACGCCAGCGTCGACACAAACGCCTGGGTCGTCAAGCTGGCCGACCCACTCGTCAAGAAGCTCAAGTGGCAGAACGTCCGCGGCCTCAGCGTCGTCACCATCAGCGGCCAGCTGCTGGCCGCGGCGCTCTCCTCCGCCAACGCCCAGCCGGAGGAGGACGAGACGTCGAACAAGCGGCAGAAGGTCGAGGCCGCCTCCAACGCCGTCGTCCTGGCCAACCCCTCGATACCGGCGTCTCTGCCCATCCTGGACGTGCTCCCTGCTAATATGGTCTCTGCGGCCCGGACGACAGCCCAACCGCTGCACGTGGGTGATCTCCGCCTCGCTGATCTCCGCAGAGCAATGCTCGGCAACGGTCATTCGGCCGAGTTTAGAGGCGAGGGTATGCTCGTCATCGACGGCAGCGTGGCAGTCCGCAAGACGGCCGAAGGTAGAATCGAGGTCGAGAGCGTGGGCTTGCCGGTACCCGGGAGGAGGAGCGCACTCTACGAGGTCAAGAAGGTCATATACGATAGCCTCGCCGTTGTGGCCGGCGCATGAGGGGAGGAGTTGAAAGAAACGATGTGTATTGTAACATTTCGCATTTTACAAAAGAACGGAGAACGAAAGACTTTCATGTATTATGTGCGGTATTCATCTAAGGCGTTCATAATTAAACGATGGGATTTTAGGATAAGGTTGCGATTTCCCTTGGAAGTTTTACTATCTAACAGAATTTGTGCGAACCAGCCGTGATGATTAAGAAATATACTATGTGTTCTCTATCCATCCCACCAAGCAGTAAATATATATAATAAGAAAATAATGGTGCGGCTCTCTCGAACCACAGAAGAAACAACCAGATAACGCCTCGCAATGCACGCTCATCTTGAGTACCTAGGCGTACCGGCCCGCCCAAATAGAAAATAAATACATGAAAAAAAGAAAAGGCTCTCGCTCAAATGTTACCGGCTCGGAACCATCTTGTCCATTTCGTACTCTTCGTTTATGGATCTGTCCCTTCCTCTCCCCCTTGAGAGTCCCAGCTCTATGTCCTCCTCCTCGTTCTCGTGCGGGTCGCTCGCGCTCCCTGCCGTCGTACTCGCGGGGGGAGGGCCGTTGTTGCCCAGTATGCGACCGCCGCCGAAGAAGACGGGCTGCAGCTCGCGATGCTGGCACCCCCACATGCCCAGGCTGATGGTGACCGTCGAGGAGAGCAGCATCGTGCCCCACCACATCATGTTGCTGGGGATGGAGCCGGTGTAGAAGGTGGTGACGAGGAGGTGGAGGAAGTGGATGGTGAGAGCAAAGTCCGGTACAAGCTTGCTTCGGGCGATGAGCGCGACGATGGCAACGGCCCTTGAATGCTGTCAGTATGACTCGGAAATCGGCCAAAGAAGGAGATCTTGCCAGGAAGGGGGAGACTTACATGCACAAGCCTCCGTCAATAATCCATACCAACGCCAACATCCAGCCTCGGGTTGTGTCGCCCCTGATGCGATCCCAACCCAGGATCATGTCTGGTCCAAAAGATATGCCGCCTATCAGGGCAGTGAACACCATGAGCACGAGGGCTCCAACATAGAACAGCGCCTGCAGCACTGCAATCTGGGCGGCGATTTTGAGAGGAGGAAGCTCGTTTAGAGCGCCGGCTCGAGGGGGTCTGCGACGACGGGCCATATTGGGCTATAAGATTATGCGGGGAGGGTGGTGAAAGAGTCGAGAGGGAGTTGAATAGGTTGAAACTGGAGTAGTCGTAGGGAGGGAGATCTCGTTCTATCGGAGAGCGCGCGAGTGTGTCTAGGATGGAGAGGTAGGGAAACTATTATGATCGCGATACCATCTCGAAATCTCGATGGTTGATGCCGTTCAGTAGGTCTTGTTGATGTTGGCTCAAAGAGCGCGAACGAGGAATCGCTCTATTAGAAAGAGCTGTCTCGCAATAACAGCTCGGGTTGATTCCTAAGAGCAAGGTGTTGAGGAGTCGAGCGTGAAGATGCAATGGGATGGACGGGACAGAAGTTGGCGGAATGCCGGGCTTGGTATAGGAAATGTCCCCAGTCCAGTGGATGGCGGATGTGTGAACCGAGAATCGCCTGCCTGTTGTCCAGCTGGCATAAGCGTCCAGTTGACACCCTGCTGAAAGCTTGGATAGAGCCTGCAGATGGTAATTAGCAGTGCTCGGCTTAGGGGACCCTGCGCTAACCCCATCCGTCACACCGCCCGTTTATTCTGCCGCAACTGACGCTTTGCCATCTCCAATCCAAGCACAGCGAACAGCTCAATCAATGCCTAATTTTGTGGTCGTTAAACCGGAATTACACTGCTCATTGCACGTATTCCACCAATTGTTCACACAGCATCACCGCAAATAAACCTTAGGACCCTCAAGCCAATTTCTCTGATATCGCCGGTGTTCTATTTGTAGAACCTACCTAAGCACCATCTCCGCACGGGCTGCAGCCGTCGTTAATTCGCCTCTCCGCCAGCTCTCGGCACACTACATCATCTCACTCCCCACCAAGCCGGGAAAGACCTCCCACCACCACATCCTCGAGGCAACTCTACCGGAACACACACATACATCCCACCACCCACAAAATCGCAGCCATGGGCGTGTGGCCTTTTGGCTCCTCGGACCCACGCGGCGACGCCATCCGCTCCGGCGCAGCCATCCCCAACCGCTCCGAGCGCAAGGTCTGCTGGGCCGCCCGCGACGCCTACTTCGGCTGCCTCGACGCCCACGGCATCGACGACCCCCTCAAGGACCCCAACCAGGCCGACCGCGTCGCCTGCCGCGCCGAGTCCCAGCAGCTCGACCAGGACTGCGCCGCCCAGTGGGTCAAATACTTCAAGCAGTGGCGCGTTGCCAACCTGCAGAAGCAGCGTCGGCTGGAGGAGTTGCGCCGCCAGGGCGCCACGGAAATGACCGTCACCACTACCTTTGCGCCAGAAGGTGGGATCAACGAGAAGGGGGGCAAGGGCATTGATGATATACAGGGCATGCTGGAGTCAAAGAGGAGATAACCGTCTTCCTTTTCTTCTTCTTCCTACTGTACTGGCCGGGGATAAGAAAAGCTGGTTGGGAGTACAAGAAAGAGGTGGAAAGCATTTGATGGGCGAACCACACTGTTCTATTTTATAACTTGTAAAGTATCTCTGTATATTAACATATCACTGGTCAGCGTCACGAATGGATGACGCCCGTGTACTAGTATCCAAGGTTTGAAACGAAGGAGAAAACTCTCCCATCTCCATATCATTTCCTTGCCTGCAACCCAACCCGAACCCTATGTAGACGAACAACAATCAAGCAAGGTAAACAGAAACCCAAGGATGATCAGAAACAAAACTGCAACAAATTATAAACACAACAGGCTGTGAGTGAAACATATATAAGTCAGCTTGCTTGAAAGCAGTAGTGGTATCTCTTCTATGTTCTGGCCTCAACTCGGCAAAACCCAGCCCCGACGAGGTTCATGTAACCTCCGTTACCCATTCTTCCACCACATAATAGCGCCCAGACTACCTTTAAAACCAATAGTAATGCAAGTCCTCCCTAATGGAGGCGTCTTATGACATATGGTAAGAGAAATGCGAAGAAGAGGAAGTTATGATGGAAAGAAAAAAGTTGTTTTCTAAGGAATGATGAAAGGTTGTCATTAAGCAACCTGAAGAGCCCCATTTGTGAACAGAATGTGGACAGAAACACCAGCACAAAGGAAAACAAAACGCCAGCGGGGATGTTCAGATGACTTTGTGAAAGAAAATCAAATCCTGTTATTTTCGCCATGTGTCTCCGAGTCTCATTCAGCGAGGTAGACAGCAAGTGAATGTTTGGACGAACTATGCAACCATTCTAACACCACTGTCGTCCGTCTCTTCCTGTTTTGGAAGCGGCGGTAGAGATTTGTTAAGACTCTCTCGGCTCGCCATGGTTTTCAATCTCCTACTGGCGGTACCGTTTGGGAAACCAAACGAAGCGTCAGCCAGCGATGATGGTTTCGGTGGAGTTGGGGGTGGAGCTCGGGTTGGTGGCAACATGAAATTCTTTGGCGGAGTTTCTGGACGAATATCTGAGGTTTCAATTGCCTCTTGGACGAGGGGTAGGATCGGTTCACGTTGAAGGGACTCTCGCTTATCCGAGTACGGGACTGCGGCCCTCAGTGTCCTATCAGGGACATGCTTTTCAGACATGCCTGCGGCCTCGGTTCGTTGGGCTTCCCGGCTGGCCATTTCCACAGTCTCTCGGCCCTCAGGAGATCTCCCACCCGGGGGAGGTGCCGGGGGTTGGTGATCGGGCATAGGAGGAATGCTGTGGTGCTTGGGCGGTTTGATCGTGGATTCCAGGCTTTGGGTAATTTCCTGTGCTTTCAACCGCGCTTCCTCCCTCTTAGCCTCCTCCACAGACATCGTGTTGCCCTCAACGAAGTTGTAGAAGCGATCCCCATATTGAGCTGGGGGTAGTGCTGAAATCTGTGTTTTGTCACTTGTCAGGCCCTTCCAGAAATGCTCAATCTTCTTGATCATTCCGTACTAAATTTCCAGGTTGTTAGTATATTATTATACGCGACTGGTTAGAAGCACATTTGGTGAATGACTTACATGAGTCAGGCAATCAATGACACCAAGATAATAAATCTCATCAGCAGGAGCATTATCTTCATGCGTGGCCCTGAAACCACCATCATCCTCGTTGAAAACGAATCCAGGCCGGCTTTGGCCCTCAGTCAATACTTCGGGCATTTTGTCGAATGCCTGTCCAAGCGGGACTGGCCTTTCCGCCCGAATCATTTGTCTGAGCTCCCGAGCTTTTCGTGCGTTTTCCAACTTCGAAGGAGTTCGGAGGAGCACAGATTGGGGCTCATCTTCAGGAGACTTCTCACCACCTGGGTTAAAAACCTGAAGTGTCTTATCGCGAAGGTTTTCGTCGTTGCCTCTTGATAGATCATGGATACCCACCAAGAGAGAATAGTCCATGATATCGAGGCGCTTTAGGAGAACGACATCGCGTTGTAGTTGTTCCAAAAATAATCTCTTCTTTTCAAGTCCAAGCTCCAGGGTGCGCTTTCGTCGCAACCAGTTAAGATCCTTTAACGTGGCTCGGGGATTCTTCTCCAAGTCTTCTTCCCTATAGTCTCGACCAATAGTCGAGCCTTTCAAGTCGAAGGTCGTATGGATATCGCGATGCGGGGGAAAGAGATTGTTCATTACGACAAAGTGGATCTTCTTGCCATACGGCAGCTTGACTCTATGGAGGCCGTAGAATTGAGACAAGAGCGTATTGGGGTTTTGCTTAACATGTGAGTAGTATTCTCTGAGGATTTTCCTCAGGAACTTGTGTTCAGCATGATGGATCGTTTTGATGATGTACTTATAATCTCTGGAAAAGTAAAAGAAGCTCCCACTCTTGCCTGGTGATCCAAGTTCAGAGAGAATGTACTTTCCGGTCAGAGACATGAGGTAGTCTGCAGGGTCCAGGCGGAAGAGAGATCGCAGATGTCGAAAGACCCAAGGCGCATAATCTTTAAACTTGAAATCGTATTTCGCTGAGGGGACCAACTCGTTGCCAGTTCTTTAACCATGTTAGCATTCCGACGAACGATGAATGAGGCAGCGTATAACAGTGGCCGGCCACTTACATATCGAAGGTAGACTTCTGCTTCACTTCAAAGTCTTCATCCGTAAGCTCACGGTCTAACTTTGCATTTGTTCTTGAGACTGATACCCGGATTCCTGTCAGCATGTTATAGGCTGTTACCCAGTTGGCATGGGACTCGTCGACTTTCGTTCCCACAAGGACCCGGTCATCGTCTTCCTCTTCCTTTCTCTTGCGCTTGCTGGCCCTCTTCTGCCGAAGTGCCTCAGCCCATCTTTGAGCATCCTCATCCGGTACAATCTCGTCGCGCGGACCTTCTGACTGCATAGACCTGGTTGTCCTACGAGCCAAGCTCAATGATGCTCTCCGTGAGCCGACGGGCGCAACGGGATGTGAATAGCGTCCAGTGGCCTGTGATGTCTCTGGTCCATCTTTGGCAAGTCGATTTGCGGAGGCTCTGGGTACTTCGAGAGTATGCCTCTGCCGTAATTGGGAGTTCTGGTGCGAGTTTTGCAGATTGGAGGACGACGGCGAGCCGGCTCCTGCCTGGTAGGTCGGCGATGAGGAGAGTCGATGCGTTGAAGAATTGGGTGGTGTGGAGTCAGGTATAAATGCTGTTGGCGAGGCATTATGGTCATTAGCGTTGATGGCTTCGCTCCCCGAATGAATTGTCTGGAGCTGATGTCGGACGTCCTCTCCCAGATGACGCGCAGATTTTGAACTCTCTGTAAAATAATCGGTCGTCGACTCTTCATGTTGGGAGTGGTGGGTCATCTCGTTCGTGTTTGCCGTCCCATTGACACCGGCTTCTTTCGAACTGCGGACTGTGCGGTCGGGAAGTGTATGCGTGATGCCATTGGCGAACGCGTCATCATTCTTGATAGGACCATCGGCATCATATCCACTGTCGTTCCCGTTGGACAAACTCTTGTTGTTAGGAAGGGAGCTCATGCTCGTAGGGCGAGTGCCGTTTCCATTCGTGTTCATGGGGACAGAGTCCGATACGTCAGAGTCGTGGATGGATGAGTTTGACGTCTCGTCGTATGGTTCATTGATGGTACGAGACTGGGGGTGTTGCGGGATGGTGATGCCGCCATCCACGACCCGAGCGTCCTTACCTGAGGCAGCGACGCCGAAGTCGTTGTGGGGATCAAGATTAAGGATATCCGCGTTGTCCTGGAAGATGGGCGAGTTGGCGTCGTTGAGGAATGAGGGCATCTCGAGCCGTGGGTAGATGTCAGGAGAAACCCGATCCTCGAGATTGGGTGGTTGGAAAATTAGATGCTACTTGGTGTACAATGCTATTCGCTGGACGTGGGAAGGGTCCTAGAAGGGATTGGGGCAGGCTTGATTCCCTCAGGATCGACCGCCAGCCTCGTGTGGTCAATATCGTGATGGGCTAGCGATAGGGCTGCTAGAATGCGTTATCGTGTCCCCCCTCCGGTCGTCTGGATAGTCGTGAGGATCGTTGATGTCGTCGTAGGGATGGGGAAGGTAGGCAGAGAGCAGAGAGGCAAGTAGGCTTGTATGGCACGCCAGCTCAGTTCATGCTTTGCTGTGGTGGGAGGCGGAAATGAAGGGGATTGGCATCTGGCTTGCTCAGCTAGGCTTGGCTGTCCGACAGGACGGTGGAGCTGCTGGCGTGGTCACCCTGTGCTGGGGGGCCTGTGCACCCACGCCGAGGCCTTCCCGGGATGGCTGGGGGACAGAAGGGTCAATTTTACTGGTACAGGCGGACGTAGCGCTGGAGATGCCCTGGCTGTGAGTGAAGGACAGCTGGGCAGAACTTCCAATACTTCTGGAAAGACCCCAATTGCGCATAACAGAAACCGACGCGAAGGCCGCCCTTTAGGAGGTCGATGCACCGTCGGAGCAATGATAATGCTCAGTGACGTGCCAAGTGCCCAGACTGATGAGGCCCGCTTTCATGGACTATGTCGAGAACAGGAAACAGGCAAGCCAATCTTCAAGATGAGATATGAAAGGCAGGTTGGTTGGCCGAGTACCTGCTCTATCAGCGCCACCGCGGTGGTTTAGCAGGTACCCCAGCAGAATAGCCTGGCGAGGGAGGCCAAAGAAGGCCTCCCGACGGCATGTGAGTCCTACGCCAAGATAATCGCGGCCACTGGGAGTCATCGCAGGACCGCCCGCAACGCTGCATTGTGCACAGGCTGATCCCACGGCGGTCATTGGCCGGTACGGGCCAGCTCTGACAGGTTGCACCGGGCAGGACCACCCAGGCCAGCGGTCTCAACGTGCTAAAGAGGACGAGACTCCTCCATTCTACGGCGCCTTGCCCACCTGAAGGCACTAAATTATAGATGGCATCATACAGTTCCTTACTAGAAGGTAAGGTACCAAGCGCATGGTGATTATCAGGGGGCTCCGCCACCCCGACGCCCCCTTTGGGCCTTAAGTTCCCAATATTTTTTGGGTCGTAATCATTGCGGCGGAGGTGATGCCGACTCAGGCACCCCGTCAACCAAGAGGACGGCAGAAAGTGTGTAGACATGGCGGCATCTACACATCCGTTGGTGTAAGCAGACGGGCCAGCTGTTTCCCGCAGTGCTACTGCACTTTTGCCGCTGGTGTCGCGCGTGTGCTCAGAGGCCTATCGCCGTCGAGGGTCGCTTACACCATTGGCCCTCGCGGACATGCAGAGCAGGCGTGCGCGTCCATTGTACATTGTAGTACGAGGTTGGAATCTGCTGCCGGGGACTGATTGGCACGCCAAGAACGAACCGGTCTGTTGGCAAGGAGCGCAGACCAACAGTAATGCAACTTGGTATTAGAAGTGCGCGTTGGACATGGGTGGTGGAAAAGAGCGTATCCGCCTGCACTCCGTATGCTCGCCTTGGCGTTTCAATTAGTATTCACTCAGCAACGAGAGCAATTCCCCCTCATCAATATTGGGTATCTCCAGCCAGAAAGTGAGGCAAAGCCGGATTGGCTGCCGCACCTCCCAGTTTCGTACGGTCATGTCCGTCCGTCTGACTGGGGCGGTGGTACGAATGAGAGACATTTCGGTTTCGGGTTCCAGGACATCCAAAGTCCCGAGGCGAAGGTACCTCGCCAATAGCGTCATAAACGGATAGTCTAGCGCCGCTATTGTACTAGGAACCAACCACTGGTCTCCCCGCGTGGCTCGCTGAATAAGTTTGACTGCTCCAAATACCGAGCTACGTCCACGATGGCTGGCCTTGCTGCCCCCGACTTGCAGTAAGGATCACATTGTCGTGCCTAGTCACCAGCCATCTAGTTGGTGGGCTGCACCTAGACAATGACCTCACTGCGGAGCTCGCATAGGGACGTGTTTGGTAATTGTAATGTCTGCAGTGCAGATTGTCATCCCTTGATTTCAGTCGGTGTTGAAATGCATTCCGACCGAGATTCTAGGATGACTAAGAACACACTATAATTAGCTCTATCAAGTGATAGTGTCCATCATGCATGCAGTAGTCCCCTGTTGGGTAATTGCTTCTTTGCATTGCAGGCAAGCCTCACCTATGCTCAAGGGGGGGGAGGTAGTAGCTTGTATGAGAGCCGTTGATGCAGGTCAAGAAAAAGCCTGGGTGAGCATGAATCAGCCTTAATATATTAATCGTATCAGCAACCACTGGGATGCAGTCAGGCGCCTAAGGGTCCCTAGAAGTCTACTCGAACAAGAAGGCAGCTCATGCTTTGAGATAGAGTAGCGCCTTCCCAATCGAAGCACCAGTTCGAGCTTGGGTTGTTATTCAGATCTCTCAGGTCCCTGCCGTCATGGCTTCTAAGAACTCAACCAAACAAAACAATTTTGTTCGCGACAGAAACGCCGACGAGCATTTTCCTTGGAAATCCTATCTCAAACGCCCGTCTCGACGCGCATCCGAATGATTTATCCATACTCTGTCTCTAACTTCCCTTTTTGTTCTTATTGTATGATCCATGAGTTCGTTAGCCCCAGCTGAAAGCAGCAAGTATCATCAATGTCCAGACGATAGTGTTAAATCAAGGCCACCGCCGGCGTTTAAGCCTGGCCGGCCCCAAATAAGTTCGAAAAGGAGACAGTGGCCGAATAATTTCTTCAAAAGAGGGCAGGGATGGCGACCTCAAACATCCCAGAGTGGCTCCGACACCTCTCCCCAGACAACGTCCTCGAGTCATCTCAAACACGGCATAGCTTCTTGTCCGGATCTGACCCGGGTGTACAGAAATTCAGGGGTATTCTAGCACCCTGCTTGCTTTATGGGATGAAGCGCTGACACATCTTCGTTTAGAAGCAAAGTCCCTCCTGTCCTCGTTGCTCATACGAGGTCCCTCCTGTTGGACTAAGGCGCATATCGCTATCTCAGCCAACCTCCCCGACTGGTGTCCGGAGAAGACTCGCCCAGAGACTTCGAAGCACGCGTGTCTGGAAATCTGCCGGGCCTACGAACCAATCCTCACGGAAGAACACACCCCCAGAGCTACCCAAATTGAAGGATGGCAAAGAACGAAGGCGCATAGCACGCTGTCCACAGGAACACCATTCAATTGACAATGTAGGGTTGGCTCAGTCAACGGAGGGGACAAGTCCTCTGGCAATGGCTTCTGCGGTACTTGCAACGGCTGAATTGGATAGGCTGAGTCAGAACGCAAGGCAGAGTGAGGAGTTGCGACGGTTTCAATGAGCTTACGCACATCCCTCGATTTTGTTACCCGCAGCTTTGGCTGAGAAGCCAAGAGCAGGGATTATGTCTCAAAGGCACTCTAGTATGGTTATTTGAGTATAATACAGGTACTACTTCCCGCATTTACTTAAAGATCACCATATTCAATGCGATACCTCGTTCGGCGTGTTGCTATTATGAAGGCGGCTCTTCTGGCCAACTGCCCTCACTGCATAGTATTCGAGCTTGCCGTTAACCACGTTTGAAGAATGCGCTGACCTGTCTGCTGAAGAAGGGTGCAAAGGTATGGCATAGATCGTTTTCAACTGAAGAGCATTGTAAGCTTGGTTCCAATTCATCCAAACTACCTAGGCGCCATCTACACTGCGGTTCGTTTCGAAACACGCAAATACGTCATAGCCTACCATGGGAAACTTGTTGATATCTTGTCAGCCTCATATTCCATTATGAGGGTGGGCCTTTTGTCATTGCACCGAGATATATCAGCCGAGGTTGCGCGCTCTCGTTGACCAGGCAGGATTGAGCTACTAGCCTGTGCGAATTTCGCACATTCGCTCATTCGAGATAAAGGAAAGCAGGTGGCTCTCACTTAAGTCGCAGTGTTCGGCTACTCCCATGTGCGAATTCCATGGCAAGAATGTGCGCGTTTTCTTCTTTATTAGTGCAACTGCTTCCCCAGGTTGGAGGTGGGGCACCCTCTTCTGGCATCCCGACTTGAACCTCAAGCTCTCGGAACTCTTTGATACACAAGCAATTGAATCGTCGCCATGTTCCGTTCAGCGGTAAGAGTCTGCGCCAGGCCTGTTTTGCCACTACAGCAAGCTTCTAGGCGTTTTGCATCAGCATCAGGCCCCCAATTCAGCTGGGAGGATCCTCTCAACGCAAGGAGTCTCCTAACCGAGGATGAGATAGCAATCGCCGAGACCGCAGAGCGATACTGTCAAGAACGTCTGCAACCGCGGGTACTAGGTAGGTTGTTCGCAGCCCCCCAACTGTAGCAGCCAAGCTTACATATTCCAATAGAGGCATATCGCAACGAAGACTATGACCCGAAAATACTTGAGGAGATGGGCGAGCTGGGCCTGCTCGGCGCCAACTTAGAAGGATATGGATGCGCAGGCGCATCGACCGTAGCCGCCGGTCTGATTACTCGCGCCGTCGAGCGAGTCGATAGCGGTTACCGATCCGGAATGTCTGTCCAGTCCTCGCTTGTCATGGGTGGCATTCACGAGCACGGCACCGAGGAGCAGAAGGAGAAATTCCTGCCTGAACTAGCCAAGGGTAAGCTGCTCGGAGCATTTGGGTTGACCGAGCCCAACCACGGCAGCGATCCAGGCAGCATGGAGACTGTCGCGAAGCCGCACCCGACCAAGAAGGGCTATTATTCTCTGAGCGGTTCCAAGACTTGGATCACCAACAGTCCTATTGCTGATGTGCTGATGGTCTGGGCAAAGCTACAGGAGACTGGAAAGATCCGAGGATTTCTAGTTGAGAGGAAGGATTGCCCCCCGGGCACTTTGGAAACACCAGCGATTAAGAATAAGACCGCGCTGCGAGCTTCCATCACTGGAATGATCCACCTGGACGGTGCCCCGGTTCCGGAAGCCAACATGTTCCCACACGTGGAAGGCCTCACGGGCCCCTTCAGCTGCCTTAACAGCGCAAGGTACGGCATATCAATGGGAGTAATGGGGGCTTTGGAAGACAGCATTTCCCGGGCTAGAACCTATGCTCTCGAGCGTCGGCAGTTCAAGGGTAACCCGCTGGCCAGGTACCAGCTCATCCAGAAGAAACTGGCCGATGCAGTGACCGATGCAGCCTACGGGACGGTAGCATCTATACAGGTGGGCAGACTCAAAGACGAAGGCAACGCGGTGCCTGAGATGATTAGTCTGGTCAAACGCCAGAACTGTGATGCAGCACTTCGAAACGCAAGAATTCTGCAGGAAATATTTGGAGGCAATGCTACGAGCGACGAGTACGGCATCGGGCGACATGTTGCGAACTTATTCGTAACCCAGACATACGAAGGCCAAAGCGATATTCACAGCTTAATCCTAGGAAGGGCTATTACTGGCGTTCAGGCCTTTGTTTAGGATACCCCCTTCTTCTTAGACACAATAATAAGAGAACAATAAATTATTCTACGATATTTAGCTAGATATTGTATTTATTACGGGGTGAATTGTTTTGATACTGTGTCAAAATCCAACCTGGGGGCCGTTCGTTGACTCATCGTCTGGTGTGCCACATACACCTAAGGGCGGACTTTCTCTGCGCCTCACCGGAGAGTTCAAGTGTGTAAAGTTAAAAACACTAATATAAGATGTCAAACCCGACATCTTTTCCCTTTCTAGCCACAACACACGAGCCTACGAAAGAAGATGGATCGCCTAGCCAAAGACCACATTTTCTCTCCTGAAGAACTCGCCGCGGCCACTCCAGAGCAGATTCTTTCACGCATGCTGTCAACAAAGTCATACATTTCCCATGATAGCGTCCAAGATGGTTTCCCTAAGCAGCGTTCTATTGAAATCGGAAAAGGCCAATGCGGCACGATCTTCGCCCTGAGCGGCACAGATACAGTAGCGAAAATCCCAAACTCTACTGAAAAAGTCGACCAGCTCTTGTCAGATTTTCGGATCCATTACCTTATCATCCAAGCAATGACCGAAGTCGATACTAAGCTCAGGATGGATATCAATATTCCAGAGCTTCATTCATGGGTGTCTCCAGCTATTAAAACCTTTTGGGCCCATTATGGATTACGTTCTCCCCAGGATATAGATGCCACGAGCTTCGCCCTGGTCTCAAATCGAGTATTTCCTGTTCCTCTTCCAGTTCGAGATGCTCTCGTGGACGTCCTTTGCCCGCCAGCGATTCGAAAACAAAAGCAGGTTTTTCTAGCAAAGCCAGAGAATCAAAACTGCCTTATTCGCCTCTACCTGGGTCGTCGAGAGATCACTAAGGCTAGGAAAAACATTCAAAATATTCGACTCCAAAACTTCCCACTTCATGTTAATGAGATGGAAGATTTGGGGCTAGATACTGCTTCATTTGCGCAAGTTATGGCTCAGACCCTCGCTATTCTCCACTGGAAAGCTGGTGTTGATGGCAATGATATTGAGTTTATCCTTGGAAGCTCACCTGAGTCAACGAGATTGCCATCACGAGCTGAGATTATGAAGGCTGATAAATATTCTCTTGGAACTCTTTTCCGGTTTGACTTTGGTCGCCGGTCTATCAGTCTCTGGGTAATTGACTTTAACCAGTAAGTATTGTTATTTCTTAAAATTTATCAACACTACTAATGACTTAATAGGTGCTCTACTTTTGAAGATAATGAGGCAGGGCTCAAGAAGATTGTCGATGCCTTCTTCTGGAATGATCCATACTACCCTCGCCCAAATTCGACTGATGATCGGGATCAGAATCTCTGGGCTACCTTTAGCCAGCGATATCTTGCGGTCAGCCGAACATTCACAGATAGTGCAACCCCAGGGGCCTTTATCGCTCAAATTGAAGAACGAGATCGTAAGGGGACAATAAGCGGGCTCTTTTGATTGTTGTGGAAGTCAGTCACATCATAATGCTTCTATTGTGTAATAATAGGTAGATCATGTTGCCTAATATATACTCAATAATTTATTACTGTTTTTATTATCAACTATTTCTATCAATATTGTGGCCTGTATTAGAAAGTTGGCATGTTATTCTGACGTCCACTTGCAGTGGCGACGAAGAAAGCCAAGGACTTGGGCATTTCCTTGTTACGAATGCCTAAGCCACGGTCAGTGTTGGAGTCGTACATCGAAGTCAGCGAAAGGCTGCGACAAACTCTAGATACACATGCAACGTGCATCACACTGGAACATTCTAGATTAGCTCAGCACATCTCGGCTTCCACCCTATCTGATTCACGGAAGATAGATAATTAATTTCCAAGTGAAAAAGAGAAAAAGCATCGTGGTGTCGTATCTGCAAGAATTCCAGGGACCTTGATGAGCTTGGTCAAAGATGGGTGAGCGTTGATAAGCATCGAATATTTGGCCACAGCACGTGCAGAGGATGGTTTGAACCAATAGCAACGAAGAGAGTCAAGGACTTGGAGATTTGGTTGTTATGAATGCCTAAGCCACGGTCAGTGTTGGAGTCGTGCGTCGAAGTCAGCGGAAGGCTGTGGCATGTTCACGCCTTAGGACTGACAGGCTGGACAAACTCCAGCTACATGTGTCCCGCCACAGCCCATGTCACTCCCTAGCATCAGGCGGTGACGCACAGGCGCATGACTGTTAGTGGGAGTTGGTGCTGAGTCGGGCGCCCCTCCCAGTGGACGTACAGGGTTTAGTTGGGCTGCGGACTGCACTTCTCAGGCAGGGAGGGACCAGCATTGATGACGGCGGGCTTAAAAAACCTGACTGACGGGCCCCTCCACTCTCTCCTTCCACCTTGCCGCCGGCCCTGACAATCACCTGCAAGACTTCTTCTCATCCATCATCTCCGGCGATTATTAACAGTTCTTTACCAACCCCAACCGCCATCCGACAACCACCCCAACTGCATCGCAGTCTTTCTTATTCTCTTGCACGCCTGTGTCGTCTTGAGAAAGGCATACTTTCGTTGACGTGCGTCATTCCCGCATTCGGTGGCATTCGTCGTCATTCCCGCTAACCACCTCTGCAGAAACGCAACGATTGTGAATCTCACACTCTCACGCCCTCAGATACCCCCCCAACGCACCACACAAAATGGCTCTTAAGCGCATTAACAAGGAACTCACTGACCTCGGCCGGTACGAAAGAAAACCATCCCCTTCCTTCCCCAGAAACCTTCCTAGCAGTGCGAAGATGGTGTCAGGTGGGGCTGCGAGTCAAGCGGGGTCCTTTCTCCTGGGGAACTCAAGATGCAAAAGACACCTCTACGATGCTTCGATGGACTTGAGGGACGACTTCAAACAAGATACGGTTATGCTGACAGTGATTTCTAGTGACCCGCCCTCTTCCTGCTCTGCTGGTCCCGTTGGAGAAGATCTGGTATGCCCATCCACCCCCTCGTGATATGCTGATGATATTCCTTCAAGCCTCTCGGGCTGCTTTGGCAGCCTTAGGCATGCTTGAGTTGTTCATCGAGTTGCTCGCGTCAAACTCGTTGCTCTAGCTAACCAGATTCACAGTTCCACTGGCAAGCAACTATCATGGGCCCTTCAGACTCGCCTTACTCTGGCGGTGTTTTCTTCCTTGCCATCCACTTCCCTACAGACTACCCTTTCAAGCCTCCCAAGGTGAACTTCACCACCCGCATCTACCACCCAAATATCAACTCAAATGGCAGTATCTGCCTGGACATTCTTCGTGACCAGTGGAGTCCCGCATTGACAATTTCCAAAGGTAAGCGATGTTGAATGGAAGGCTAATTCAGTACGGGTTTCCACTAACAAGCGATATTTAGTTCTTCTGTCCATCTGCTCCATGCTGACGGACCCGAACCCTGATGATCCGCTCGTTCCCGAGATTGCCCACGTCTACAAAACCGATCGCCCACGCTACGAGGCGACGGCCAGGGAGTGGACTCGCAAGTATGCCATCTAACATACTTGGTGGCGTGATAGGAGTGTGAGGCACGGTGGTCTGTCTGTTCTCTTTGGTTCGATGACCTATGGTTAAACGGAAACATGGAACATGCTTTCACACATGGACTCCTTTGTTAAATGTGATTCTGCAGACACCGATCGACGTTGGTTTGAGTTAGAGCTGGCGGTGACGGAGAAGGCCAAGATATCGCTTAATGGAGGAAAGACAAGCAGGAGCAAACCAGACCAAATACGTGAGATATTGAAGGGAGCTAAGCGGCCGGGCCTCGGAGTTACATTAACGACTTGTCATGTTTTTGACCAAGAAGCGACGTACTTTACTACTAGTCAAGTTCCTACTTTCTCGTGATTCTGTGTGTGCAGATGTGTACCAATCGTGACTACCGTAGATGACAAAGGTGGCTATCAATGAATGTCTCAAGGATTGTTACTAGAGGCTCGTAGGCGTTGACACGTGCCACCACTACTGCAAAAAGTTGACCCAGCAATTAGCAATGACCAGCGCGAAGAGGCCTCACGGTATATTGAGATGGTTCACAGTAATAGGCCACAACTTCAAGGGTGATTTAGCATCAACGGTATTCATAATGTTTCACTCTGGAAGACGTGTCGCAGTTCTCGCCGTCAAATCAAATCTCTCGTCTTTTAGTCCCGAGACCTCTCGATAGGAGAGATTCGGCTACCGATATCCATGCAATACACGGTATCTACCAAATGCAAGGAACAATTAAACTTGACTTATGATCTACGGCTAGCTCGTCATGGGGAGAGCGATGGAGTCTCGCATGGAGATGACTGATCCACCATAATCTTGAACTTTTAGTTGATTCTCCTCATTCTCATCGTATCTGCTCCTGCTCTTGTTTCGGTCTGTTTCTCGGTTCGGCCATGTGCCGAGTGGCTGTGCCTAATCGAGGCTTGGTGGTTGGTCCTGTGGTGGTAATGTGCTGCTGTACGTACCTCAGATCCGGCGCTTCTAACCACTACCTATGTTGGTTCAGTGAGGAAAATAATGCAGCATAGGAGCTATTGTGATAACGGTACACCCCAGGACGGCCTGGTTGGTCCTACTCGTGTTCGTTGGTAGGTGGTGTGCTTCCCTTCAGAGTTCAAGTGCAGTCAGCTGCTTTGTCAGTTCTTCCATATCGAGCCACAAATAAGACAGCGCTGAATAATACAGTGTCGATTTCAGTTTGGCTGGAAGTTTAGTGCCTCTCGGAAGGAGCATGTAAGCACGACCCAACAGTTGATATCGGTGGCATCGTTCTTTTTTAAGGTTCGGTGGTTATTTTTCGCTCCTACATACCCGATCGATCTATAAATATTTATGATGCAGGTAGTCAGCTCGGCTGTTGAGTCTCCTAGATCGACCGACGAAGAATAGTCCTGTAAGAGAGTGGGATGGTGAGGCGAGCAGTGTGTATTTGAGGAATAATATCTATGCAGACTGCTACAAGCCTCACCACTGCTCCCCACTAGCATCGTGCAACTCTACAACTGAATCGCCAAGCTGGGGACGGAAGCGCCATGGTATCGAGTACATGCGGCAGACCACCTGACAAAGTAAATTGGAGAGACGGATGATTGGTGGGCAATGAGGTAAGCCGCAGATGGCCTGGCCCTTTGTGCACGATCACCGTCTGAGCCCGATGTTTTGGGCTCGACCAACCAATCCACCAAGACGACCACACTCTCAATGAAATGTCCCAAGCCACACCTGGATGCTGAGCAATTAGTGCACACGACTACCAGTTGCTGCGCAGCCACTGTGTAGGAACCAGCACGCGGCAGCACGTCAACAAGTTACACCCGTACCTTGATTTATGGGTACGCATGTATCAGTCCAGGGAGAAAGGCGAGGGGACTGAAGGGTTCTGAAGCACCGCGAAGAGCGATTCCCACATGTGACCTACCCGATACAGCAAGATGTGCTGGTAACATCGTGTATTTCGTCCACACAGAGGTGAGTTGTAAAACTTGCAACATACCATGGAGAGCAGGTCCTCGGGTGCAGGGGGCGGCATGACAATCGCCGGCCAGGCCTTGGCCGCTGAACGTCTGAGTTGGGCTAGTGTCGCATTGGAGTAATATATGGTGATATTAGGTCGGTCTGTGAGGGGAGGGCATTGATTCTCCTCTGACCAGGTGCCTGTTTTGGCATGGCCCCGAGCAAGTGGATCGCCGCGTGATGGATGGCCAGGCCATGCCAGAACCACGGTGAGGGTACTTTTTGCCCAGTCTCCTCAGCATGTAGGTACTGTGCGTGCGATTGGTGGTTTTGTGCGGGATGGGCGAGCAGGCGTCAAGGGGTTCGTCCGCCGAATCGCATACGGTGGTCATGAGGGAAATGCTGAAGAATCCATCAAGCCAAGCGTGGGAACATGTGTGCGCTGGCGACTTCAGCATGCAAAGCAGGTACATGTGCGCCTGCAGTAGCTTCAGAAATCAGGACTTGTTCACACACTCGGCTGGGCCAAGGATGCCGTACTCCGTGCATACAGGAAAAACGTCCCATGTAGAAGCGATGCTGGTCAGTGGTAGGTGTGGCGGCGCAGGTGGGGACAGGGGATGTCGCTGGAACGAGGTTCCATACTGAAGTGGCCTGGGCTGGTTTCGTGCAGTGCGGCTGCAAGGCCTGCCCGGGATGGCTTCTCCGCGCATTCCATTCGCTGTGCAGGCGGGGGTGATGTACCTGTGTGCTGCTGGATGAGTTCACAGTGGCCGAGGTAACCTATCAACGTCGCTGGCAGACACCACCAGCACGCTGGCCACACGGTATGCGATGGTACCTCTGCCTGTCCGTGGTAATGGTATGGTAACGGATGGGTTGCAGGCCCCCTCCCACTTGGCCTACCCAAAAGGGTCTAATAATACCTCTTTGTGCTGCCATGCTTTTGCTTCTTTCCCCTCTTCCACTCACACTTTTGCACGGTCACTTGAGAATCCGGCGCTTCGTCAAGACATTCATCACGCCCAGCACATGCTTCAACATTGCCAGATTCGTCGCCTCTTTCGCCATCCTGGCACCGAACAATCACCCATCCCGGCCCTGAGGGATTCCTACTATTGAGCAGTCGATTGCGCCAGTCCGGTTCTGGGTGCCCAGCTCCACTTCGGTACAGGCCAGGCTCGTGTACGAGGTAACGGCCAATTTGCGTAACCCCCAAAGCCGCAGCCGGCGTGGGACAGCGTTCACCTCATCGCAAATTTTCCCTGTCTGCGCGGTCGCTTGCCCTATTTTCTCAGGTGGCAATTCGGTCCAGCAGAACGGCCAGAAGCAAAGACTGCAGAATAGAAGCCGGGAAGGAGCACATATAGGGCCCTCGTCGCTAGCACCAGCCTCGGCCAATTAGGTTCAGGCCCGACCGTCGCCCATTGTTTCTTTGGCTTCACGCCATCGTCCTGCTCGCTTTCGTGGCGGGAAAATCAATCGCTGGGCTACGGCGTCCCCACTCATTTCTCACCCCCATTCGGCTGACTGGACAGCGCTACCGCGGTGCCTGAATCCATCCCCTACCTACGGCCCCATCTCATCACATTTTGTGTTGCTGCGCCCAGCCAGTGACTTTGTCCGCTCGAAGCTTATTTCCCTCCTCTTGGTTCTCTCTCCTCCAGCCCACTCCCTCACCACCATTGATCGGCACCACTTTGTACGCCATTCACTCGGGAGGGAATTCATTCGTTCATTCGCTCCCACCTTAACGTCTCTCTTTTTGTCCAAAGTCTTATATTTTCCAATTCTTTCTCTCCTTAATTCCTTACCACCGGCACCATGCGAGCTCGCTTGTTGCTAGTTCCCCTGTTCAGCGTGCTCGTCGGCACCGCTGCTGGAGCAGGACTCGAACGACGCGCCGACGAATCTTCTTCCTCGGAGTCTCCCAAGACCAGCGCCACCAATGACTCCAAGACGACAAGCGCCCCTGCCTCTCGCTCGAGCTCGACTGAGGATAGCAAGACCACCTCTTCCAGCAAGACATCAGATGCCGACGTAGTAGTCACTTCTACCAAGACTGTCACGGGAGATGTCGAGACGGTCACCAGCAAGACCACTGTCGGATCGACCAAGACTGTTACCGTTACATCGACAAGGACCAAGTTCGAGACCGATACTACCACCGCGAGCGGAGATGTCGAGACGTCGATTGTTGTTGTCACTACCACCGTGGCAGGTAACGCGAAGCGAGCTGTTCCCGAGATCCCAGCCGCTACTACTGCCCCCGCTTTCCTCGATGGTGCTTTCGATCTGGTCCGACTGGCCAAGCGTGCCACCTCTACCGAGGTCGTTGAGACCACCGTTGCTGGGAAAACAACCACCGTGTGGGAAACCCAGAGTGACGAGGCGACATCAACCACGGTTGTGTCGACGGAAATCACATCCAAGGTGACCATAACGAAGAATCCCGATGCCGCATCGACCACGACAATCACCAGCACTCAGACTGAAACAAGCCTCAATATTAGCACCGATGTTGTGACGAGAACCACGACAGCATCATCCGGTGCTTCTTCCACCTCGAGCGCAGGCAGCGGAAACAGCGACGGAGGCAACAGCGGAAGCAATAGCGGGAGCGACAGTGGCCTGAGCACTGGTGCCAAGGCTGGTATCGGCGCTGGTGTTGGTGTTGCCGGTCTTGTTCTCATCATTGGCCTAGCCTGGTTCTGCATCAGGAAGCGCCGCGACGGAGCTGGTCACGACCATGATGACCTCTTCCCTGCTTCTGAAGTCCCAGTCGGTGCTGGTGGCGCCCGAGCCAGCACCCACACTGCAACCATGTCTCATGCGTCCATCTCCCACCAGCCATCCATGTCTCAGAGCACTGCTGGTGGCGTCTACCCAACTCCCGCGCGGAGCCCTACTTTCCCCAATGTTGCTGCCGAAGGCTACCGTGGAACTGCTATGGGAGACGGTCGAGCCGGATATGCCAAGCCAGAGCCCTATGGCGCTGGATACGCAAAGCCAGAACCTTATGGCTCCGCCTACACCAGAACATCAACCGGACCAAGCTCAATGGGCAGTGTTCAAGACGCATATGCCCCACCAAACAGAACCAGCACTTACGACAGCGCGCGTGGCCACGAGGTCGATCCCGCCAACATTGGCGTTGCTTCCACAAGCCCAGTTCCTCATCAGTATGGCACGTCGGGCAGCAGATTCTCCGAAATGGAGACGAACGAGCAGCCCTACAGACCACCCTACATGGACAATGTGAGGTAAAGGCGGCGACTGGCACGGGCCTGCGCAACCCGGTACGTTGCGTAGAATAATATCTACTTTCGGTAATGGGATCTTGAAAAGGGAATTTTCGGACATGAGCGATTGGAGCCCACGATAGCAATTGGCACGATTATGCCAGTACGAATGGACCCTGAAATATTAATGTCGTATTTGCTGCTTTTTTTCTTCTTCACACTTATATATACATGTATATTCATTCTATCGTCACTTTGACAGGCACGGCTTGCTTGCTAGACCAAGCAAGAGGGCACAGTTGCCATTTTATCTTCTCTTCGTCGTAATACTATGATTGGGGTTGAATATACACAAAAAGCTTGAAGTTTATTCATTGTTACTGCCCGTCCCTTGCTTTGTTTGTGTGCCTACCTGAGTGAACGTCAATACATAAGTCGACTTGGCTCGCGTGCCGGTTCAGGTTTTGTGGTGTGAGCGCAGCACGGGACAAAGTGAGACAAGGAGCGGTTCGGGGGCCGTTCTCAGCGATGCATGTGACGTTGATTGGTGGGCAGCCGGAACCCAGACTTGAGCAACTGGGAAACTGGCTGTTCCACCGGGCGGATCATAATAATCACTCATGCAGGCCACGCATGCAGAGGACTTGGCGCTGTGAATAACAACATGGGTGATAAAGTGACATGATGAATGCAGCCTAAATGGAGCAACCTTGGATCATTCATTGTACGTGCTGCGAATCCCAGTCACATTCAAAGGGCTACGAGACTGATAACGTGCGAGAGAGGCCCCCGCGAGTGAGGAGTGCGGGAATGCGGGAAGCTTATGTTTTGGGGTAACGGTTGAAGAATTTTTTTTAAGAATTTTTCCCGGTGCCCGTTCGTTCGCCTTCTGAGCTAGAACAGTGGCTTGCCCGGCTGGCCCCCCATCCATCCCTCGGCGACTCGGCGGCGGACCCGGGGTTATGTACATTAGTAGTGACTGACAGAAAAGAGAGACAGACAGAGACAGAAACAGAAAGACTGAGAACCAGAGAGGGTCTCGAACTAGTCCGGCTGAGACTTAATAATGAACTTGCTTCCTAATCAGCCCAAGGGTGGCCCCCCGTTGATGTGACTCTTTTATCCTTAGTCCCAGCTGCCATGCGGTAGTAGGTAGTTTATTCCTACTTCTTTTTCCCTCCCACTCGGAGGTTTTGTTTTACAGCGGGCTTACGTTCTCGAGACCCAGTCCGCAGGAGAGTTGGCCGTCAGGAAGAGAGATAATCCCAAGCGGTAATTCTTCGTTTCCCCTCTTTGGTTATCTTCTCCCTCTCGTCCGATCTGTGTCACATCCCGGCACCACTCTGAGTCACTTGTCTCAGACGAAAACACTTCTCTTACTGCGCCGGGCTCTACTGCAAGGAGGTTGTTCTTATTAGATCGTCGCTGCAGTCCGACTGCAACATTAGCGCGGTTGCGCGATACTGGACCAATCCTGTCCGCAGAGACTTTCGCAAACGTCTTGTTCCTGACAAGGCCTCGCCCTGCACTCAAACGGTTCACGGCAAACCAACTAGCCCTCGGTACAAGGCTTATTCCCCTCTCTCAAACCTCACTATTCGAAACTGAAGAGCCATGGGAGAAAAGGACCCCGGCAACGGTCAGCCACAGACCGTGAGGTCCGTGACTGACGATGTGAATGACCTGGCGCTTGCTGCCGATGAGAAGAAGCTCGTGCGCAAGCTCGACCTGTACATAATTCCCCTCATCATGGCTTTGTATCTCTTCAGTTTCCTCGACCGGTAATTTCCCCGTCTTTTCTATCCCTGAATTGTCGTTGGTTGTCTCAAGTTTTCCGGAAGCTCACGATTGCGCTAGAGTCAATATTGGCAACGCTCGCTTGTACGGGCTCGAGGAGGATCTCAACCTCTCGTCTCAGCAGTTTCAGATCTCCGTCTCCATCCTCTTCGTTACCTATCTGCTGTTCGAGGTGCCGTCGAATCTTGTGCTCAAGCTCTTCACACCCCGCCTGTGGATCGCGTTCATTGCCTTCTCTTGGGGCGTCATCGCCACGGCCACCGGCCTGGTTGAGTCATACGGCAGCCTCATCGCCTGCCGTCTCCTGCTGGGAGTTGTCGAGGCCGGTCTCTTCCCCGGCCTCACGGTGTATCTCACATTCTTCTACACCAAGCATGAGCTCGCCCTCCGCGTCGGCTATCTCTTCGTCAGCGCTGCGCTCGCCGGCGCCGTCGGCGGGTTGCTCGCCTATGGCATCGGGCACATGGAGGGCGTCCAGGGGATGCGGGGTTGGCGATGGGTCTTCATCATCGAGGGTCTGCCGAGCGTGGTCCTCGCCGTGGTGACCTTCTTCGCCTTGCCCAACGACGCGCAGACTGCCTACTTCCTCACCAAGGAGGAGAGGGCCTTGATGGAGGTGCGCCGAGGCCGCGAGTACGGAAGCACGGAGCAGTTCAACACCAAGGATATGAACCGTGCTTTCCTGGACTGGAAGGTGTGGGCGTTCAGCATTGCCCAGTTTGGTGTAGACACCATGCTTTATGGTAGGACCCCTCCTTTCATCTTCCGTCCGTCTTAGCTCCCAGACACCGTCAACTGACAATCAAACTCACCCGCAGGTTTCTCAACTTTCCTACCCACCATTATCAACAGCTTGGGCAAGTGGACCGCCGCAGAGGTCCAGCTGCTCACTATTCCGTGCTACTTCGTCGGCGCCGCCGTCTACATGGTCGCAGCTTTCCTCTCCGACCGCACCCAGCAGCGTGGTCTGTTCTGCGTCATCTTCGGCGCTGTCAGTGTCATCGGCTATGGTGTGCTGCTCGCCGACGTGCCAAGCGGAGTGCACTATTTTGGCTGTTTCCTTGTTGCGGCTGGACTTTATGTCGTTGTTGGACTTCCACTGGCTTGGGTAAGTGTTTTGGCGGTCATTGAAGAGCGAGGGTAAGGGCAACTTGGGGACTTTGACTGACTGTAATGCCAAAACAGCTGCCAACAAATTCTCCACGTTACGGAAAGCGAACGACCGCCACAGGTCTTCAGCTCACGCTGGGCAACTGCGCGGGAATCATGTCTGCTTTCATCTAGTGAGTCTTTCTTCCAGCCTCCCCCCCTTTTTGGGTGTTTTATCTTTGCTATAGAACAACTTGTTAACACTTGCTCCTTTCTCACAGCCCAATCGCGGACAAGCCCCGGTACATCCGTGGGCACGGAGTCACGCTCGGCATGGTCGGTTTTGGCACCGCCATCTACGCGTTCATGTGGTGGTGGTATCGACGGGAGAACTCTCGCCGTGATGCTGGCGTAATCAAGGAAAAGTATCAGAATTTGGATGAGGAGGAGTTGAAGGAGCTGGGCGACGACAGCCCACACTACCGGTTCACGGTGTGATTCAGTGCATGCATTAGAGCAAGCGTATATATATCTCTTGTCGTAGAGTATCTATCTTCGGGCGAATGTAACAGGCGTAATGGTCCAAGCATAAATACTGCGGCCATCCGCTCCATCCTGTTTGCATGCCCCTTGACCCCTGGAGTCGACAGAAGGAGAGCGAGTATGCAGGCGGTTGGTGGTTGGTGAATGGAGTGGTCCCCACAGTCGCCCTGCTCTGGGCGGGGTTGTATGTTTATTGCGCGGCTCCGAAGGAAGTGAGCTTATGCCGGCATCTTATGCTTGGCTCTTACATACGCCGGTGGCGGTAGCTATTCACGTCTGGAGTTATCGTTTATATTTGACTCACCTGCTTTGCCCCGCTTGTCCATCTTCCAGCCTTTCTCTCCATCCCGCCTGGATTGATCGACGATTCAGCAGACTACCCTACATACCTTCATAGACAATGGCATCCCCAGTCGACGCCATCACGCACGTTGTGCTGGTCCAGGTCAAGCCGGACATTTCGGCTGTCGAACGAAGATCGGTAGGCCTCCTCCCATGAATCAACCACCAAATTGCTTCTCTGTCACATCTGAAAATTGACCCAACCTACACCGCCTCTCTTTTTGAGATCCGGAAGGGCGGGATATAGGTGCCAGATGACCCTGGGGAACTGAACTGGAAGTTAATTGGAACGTAGGCCTTCGAGGAATTCTATGCCCTGAAGAACAAGTGCCTCAACGCAGAAGGAAAGCCCTACATCAAGTCGATCATTGGCGGCAAGGACAACAGCCCCGAGGGTCTCCAGGACGGCATCACCCACGTCTTCATCGTTGAGTTTGAGAAGTCGGCAGATCGGGATTACTATGTCAAAGACGACGCGGCGCACAAGGCCTTTGTCGAGACTCTGAAGGGCACTGTTGTCAAGGTGCAGGTTGTGGACTTTACGCCCTACCGGCTGTGAGGGCGGGGCTGAGCGGTCTCATGGCTCTACCCAGTCTGTCCTACCTAGAACGTTGCAGGTTGAGTCTCGGTAGCGATTGATAATCAATATAAATATTAACTGCAAGAGTATGCTGGCCAACATTTTGAATGAATATCGTGCTTGAGATCTCTTGCGGAGCGTGGTGATATGGACGGCAGACCTAGGCTGAGGGGGCAAGATGGAGCTGCAGCGTCTTGGAGGGCATGCTTCCTTTTCTAAAGCCACTGCATTCTATAGTCGCATGGTCGAGTAGATATCCAGGATGGTATAGAGGCAGACAACCCAAGTGAAGCCAGCAGCTTAGAGTTCTCCCTAAGGGCCGCTAAATGCCAAACAAGCTTACCTTGGGTGCGTGCCAGCATGGCCACTGGTGCTGGCAACACAGCTGGGCGGCTCCTTCTGGCTGCCCACTGCGAATCGCAATATTAGGCATTGTTTAGCGAATTGATGGACTGGAGGTAATACGTCATTCAGCCTGCCCCACATCCCCCGCCTAACGGGAGTACAGGCAGTAACACCAGCAAGTATCGGGCGGTCCCTCAGTGGGGGTTCTCGACCTTCTGGAGGCGGCGACCGCCTGCAGAGTACCTGCGATTACTTGTTGCGGTGATCACTCAAGCAGCACTCGCACAAGTTTGCATGCATGGGCGCCTCGTAATTCTAGAGTAATACTAGACCCTCTTGCTCTCCTTTCAACATCACGCGCCTTGCTTGTGGCTTGAACACACACATCCCGCGTCCCTTCTTCATGCGCCCGCCACCCTGATTCCACCCATTGCTCTCTGCTTGTTTCCCTCTCAGCTATAAGACCATCGACGCCTGCATTGATCTACCGGGTGGGCACGAGGCCGAGCCATCCCCAGAGCCCGAGATTCGCATCGTCTCAACTGCACTTCACCTCGATCCAACACACTACGACAGACAGCTCAATCGTCGCATACAGATTAGGTCCCGATACGAACCTCCTCTCCATCCACCTGATCGCACCACGTATGTCTCTCCCTCATCTGAGTCCACCCACACACACCTCTGGGGGCTTGTCAATCGAGTCGGGGCTCACAACATTCATCGCAGACAGAGCAAAAACATCACCGTGAGACGGTATAAGGGATAGGATCCCTCCAGACCGACACGATGGCGCAAGCTTCCCATCCAACACTTATTAATCTCCCACCCCCCGACTCCAATCCAGAGACTCCATCTGAGATGCCGTGCGTTTCTATTCCATTGAGCCACCTCACATTCCTTTTCCAGCATCATCTACACCACTGTGATCCTCCTCTCCGAACTCCGAGCTGAAATTGTTTAGGGGTACGCCTACAAGTACCACCACATCTCTCAGTGCGCTCTCGACAACCGCTATCAAGGATGGCCACCGTGGTCATCTTCCCAGCGGACCACTCGACCGTGGCCACCAGCACAACCCCTCTACAACCAGCCTCGAAGCCGAACGGGCTGATCGCATTTCTCGACTCGCCGGCCTCGAACGCGTGTCCACACTCCGCGCGCCTCCCCAGATCCAGACGGGCGGATCTATTGGCGCTTCGTCACTGTCTCCCCAAACAACGCCGACGTCGACCGGCTTCCCTCCAAACTACCCCGCCACCCATCCATTGACACCCGCCTACTTTGATAACAATGGTCAGCCAGTCGCCGTTACCAAGATGAGCACTGTAGGGACCGCCAGTGCGACGGAGAGTCATGTGGGCGAGGGTGATGATGTGAGGACAACAGCCGGCGACCGCGATGAGGATATGTTCAGTACGGATACGAACTACCGCGGTGCCGGTTCAGTAGCCAGCACGGCGCCGGATCCTGATGCTATGGACGAAGATCTGGACCGACTGGGTCCCGCGTATGATGACCGGATGAGCGATGATGGCTCTGCATCCTTGGTCGGCTTTGGTGAAGGTGCTGGAAGCACCGTGTCTGGACCTATTTACCATCGACGGCCCGTACCAGGCTCAGCAGCTTCGTGGAATTTGGAGCGCACAAACTCCGGGCTGAGTGATTCTCGGAGGGATCGCGATACCCCGATGGCAGGAGGTGGCGAAACCCCCGTCACGCAGGCGGCAATTCAGGAACGTCGAGATGCTCGGATGATAGACGGGGTTGCTGCTGATCATGCTCAAAATCCCCGCGAGACTGAGCAAGGCGGCTTCGTCGACACCACCTTCCGCGGACCCGTCCCCGAAACAAGATCGCATGTTCAAGACTAGGGGATATTGGATTTTCTCATCATGTTGCAACGTTGAATGTATTTCGGATATCCAACCAACCTGTGGGGTAGTTTTGGGGCTCTGTAAGAGCCGCAGAGACGCTCATAATTCGGCTTTGTTCACGCAGAGGGACCAATGGAAGACCTTTGCGGTATGGCGTTGGGGGTGATATGAGATGTTGGGCTGAATGCAGGTGGCAGGAGGGAAAGAGGCATAGACAGGAACAAAGGGGGGTATCTTGATTTCACACAGGCCGAGTTTTCCCTCTCGCCTGGTGCGCTGTTTCTCTTCCTAACCATATTTGTACGCTATTGACTGCTATGTGTTCTCTTTATGTGTAACTTCTCAATGGGCCAAAAGCAGGCTCGTACCTTGACAATTTGGAGTTTCGTCTAGCTGGCTAGTCAAATTCAGTTTCTTGAGAAGGCCAAATAGCTGCTACACGCCCAACGTTGGTCACCCTGAATTTGCAGAGTTTCCCCAGATGCCCCGAGATCGAAATGCAGGGACAAAATGCTACTCCTAAACCTGCGTAATATCAAACATTTCGGGTTACACAATTCGGTAAGGAGCCGAGGCTTCTCCCCGCATCCAGAGGCTCATCGTAGAAGGCGTCAGGGTATATGGTGGTCAGATTAGTTAATCAGAATTATTCAGAAGGAATACGGCCCTTCTTGTCTAATATTAGGTGGTGTTCTGTCTAAGGCATGCTTTTATCTCATTATTCATGGGCCGTGTCGACTCTGGACCGTCATTCTATCTATATTGGCCCTCTTACAGAGCGACAGCGGCCTATGTTTCTGGTACCGGTCTTCAACCAGCCCGCTAGCTGTAGCTTTTAATTATCGACTCAATTTGGTTTGCGAAGGTCGTCCATGGATCTCGATGAGCAGATCGAGAAATGTGACCTCCTAAAGCCAGTGCTCCCTAATGGACGGGGGACATAGCTCGGAACGTATATGTGCGCAGAGGAGTCTGCGAAAGAGGAATACTATGGGCCGGTTTGCCCAGCCAAGTTCTCACCCCCCGGCGAGTCAATCGCAGAGAGTAGTGGTCCTGCCGTGGATAGCTTCCAGTCACTTTCACCAACTTTCAACCAGCGTGGCGCTGGTCAAGGCGGTGATACTGGATGACTTGTCTAGGCGCGCATGCTATGGCTTTGCTCTGTTTCCGGTCGGCAGCGCACCGCATCCCGCATCAAGTCAGATCCCTCACTGTGGAAGCAGTGAGGTGTTGCGTCAATGCGGAGGATAATGTTATAAAAAATGGAATAACAGGTTTTGGTCAGGTATTTGAGAAGCATACAGGAGTTTGGCAGGTATCTTGAGAGTAACAGAGAAAGGAAGAGAAAAGAGAGAAAGATAGAAGGAGGAAAATAGTAGAGAGAAAGATAAATGGGCGTCTGATAACGCCTCATTACCGATCCCAGGCATGGCATCAAGCCATAGCTCCTATTGCCCTAGAAATCATCAGGCGCTGGTAGCCCGGAACGAAACGTAAATCAATATGTCGCCAACCATCCAGTGATGTTCGAGAAGCAGAATTCCGCCCATTATATTCTATCCGTCCCCTTATGTCATCAAACAAAACGCCAGCCGTCAAATGTGTCATTGACAGATCGACAAAGGAAAACAAAGCCACCACGCTATCGCCCATTTATTCAAGCCAAAATTCAGAATCGTCGTTGCGTTCGGAATGTCGAACGGTTTCATATCATTGTGTGTGCGTGAAACTGTTGATGTTGGTTGCAGATGTGGAGTGCCCGAGAGGACAGTTGTTTCTCTAATCCAGGAGGTGCCTTCCAAATGGCGGACCCGAGGACAGATGAGGGACAGTATGCAATAAAGCACTGCATACCTTGAGAGATGCTATGCCGGGAGGACTTCACGTGATTTTGAAAACCTAGTCCAAGCAGTCCTTGTACTTTTGTGAGAGTCGGAGAGCGTCATTTGAAGAATCACCTCTCCTCTCTGATGATCCCCAAGTCTTAGGTGCAGAGGATATCGATTCCCAATCGCTGAGCGACGCCCTGCCAGTCCCAAACTGCTACCCAATCACCCTCATCCATAAGGGCCCACACGGCTTCGAGGAGCTCTGCGATCCGGTCACAGTTACGAAGGCCTGTGTACCCTCTCACGGCTTTTAATGCCTTGCGTAAGCGATCGCGTTGCTCGGTGGCGAAACAAGCAATGCCCACCAGCATGCAAGGAATGAGCAACAGAGTCTGGGCTGGCTCGGAAGAGCTGAAGGTTTCAAAGATGTTCAGTGACTCCTCAACAGCAGTTGTAAGACGATGATCATCGCTGGGGCGACGCTTAGGAGGAGGTGATTGGGTAAGTAATGAATCCAACCCACTCGAGCTCGATGAAGATGCGTCACCCTCATGCATTGAGTTGTTTCGGGACGGATTCCGGGACGAGGGGCAGCTGTGTGGCATCCCATTGCCGGGCTGTGAATGCAGCGAGCTAAGGACTGGAGCTGATGCAGTAGAGACGACGCTCGCAGCCATCGAGGGCCGTCTCTGTGGTGTTGAACAAAGTGAAGACATTGAAGAAAAGCTTGAGGGCCTCTGTCGGAGAGGCATTGAAGGAGGATATATCGTTCGAAACAAATAGATGAAGAGCATCTGCTTGTACAACAAGCCTACACGATTGCGGCTATCTCCAGGTGGCCAGCGGGGTACCCATTCCTGTATTGCCGTGTTGATTTCTGCAGCACGAAACAGCATGATGTAATCCACCGGTGGATCGTTGGAGACGG